ATTTTGTATACCATGTACGCGTACCATAAATCAAATTCATTAACTATCTCAGCTCAATCAAGCTATGCACCTTTCAGGTGTATTCAGTATTAATGTACCATTGACCCAATGAGGTAGACTAATTGTAGATGAAATCAAGTGATTCAATACAATTTGTTTTCAAAAGCATTTGTCATTTTTTTTTTATATATAGTTTTGTGGATGATAGGTATTATAGGAACCTGTAAACTCCTTAGTGATGGGTGTAAGGGTGCATGGGGAGATTAAGACATATTTTTAGACAAATCAATATTAATACTTTGTAAGTTAAAAAAAGTCAAAACAAATCTCATTTAAATAAAAAAGATCTGAGTTAAATCAAATAAATAAAAAAAAAAAAAAAACAAATCCCCCCACCAAAAAAAAATCGCTAACCATGGTAACTGGTACGGACTGATCTAAAACATATTATGGCCTTCTATCTTGATCGTAGATTGAACGAACTTTTTCCTTCTGTCACTGAACTTCATCATTTTTCACCACGACATCTCAGTTTTCATCCGAATTCCCCCCTGCCGTCTTCAACCCAACACTTGCGCCATTCAGCTGTGTTGTTTACTTCCGAGCGTGCAAACCTCACCCCAAGTTTGTTGCCCTTTTTCTTTATTATTTGTACCCGGAGGAACGTGGACCATACCCCCTCGAAGCATAATGGCTTATTCATTCTGACCCCAGTCCCCGTGGCACGCCATGTAACCCAAGCGATAAACAACTCCCAGGAAATTGGTCGACTTGCTTCCAAGTCTTTACGGGAGAATCGCCCAATAAAGGTAGCTCTTAATGTCATTACAATTTGAATGGAAGGCGAGGGACCACTAACGAGTCTACGTTTTCTGAACTCCACAAAATTCCACGGGATTTAATTTGGTTCTTTCTTATCCGGCCCCGAGTACCATGTGCAAACATTTTGGTGTCCAAAATGGTTTGCCTTTGCAATCAAAGTGCACCAGTGGATGCTATAAAATGAGTAGCCACATTTACAGTTTCAAAATTAGACCTACAAAATTAGCACCTTTGCAGAAATGGAATTTATTTCTAAACAACCTTTTCACTAATGTTTTGTTTATATAGAGTGGGACCAGATATTATTAGTCCATGATCAGTATGAAAAATAGAGAAACAAAAAAAATCACAAAAAGTAGGGAAATATTTTTTTTAATAAACCGCAACTGTTCACCTTTTTCAAAATTTTGTCCAGTAATGATTTTTTTTTAAAAAAAGTCAGAATTCGGCGTTCCCCCCAACCCCAAACTAGTTTAAAAAAAATCACTTATCAGAATGGTAAATTGGTAATCAGTGTTTAACCATGGGTTTAACTTACCTCGGCTTTATATTTCCAACATCAAATCGTCATATCTCATAAATTCCAAGTCAGCTGTATAGATGCGTATCCTAGCAACAACAGCTGTAGACATGGTAGATGAGCAAGGATGTCACTAACACTCGACTCGCGCACTTGAAGATAAGATCCAAGTCCTTCCTGCCTGAACATCCTACATTTTCCAGAACAAAATCTCCTTCGAGTAAATTCCAATATATCTGCCTTCTCAGTCATGCAGCTTCGGTTATTTAAGCTGTGTAAAATGTTGATATTGTACTGTCTTGTGATGACATAACTCCACACTGCTGCTGATTTCATTTACATGCACCTGCAAAAGCTAACATTCAGAGCAAAGGATGAACAGCCAGGGCTGCAGAACAATCTCCATCCATTGAGGAAGGAAAATCACGATAAATTCCAAACGATCTTAGCAAATCCACTAGGCACTATAGCTGGGTCAAATCATGGCGCCTGTACTTTAGCCAGGTGCGTGCACGCTGCGACTCGTACTAGCCAGGAGTGTGTGTAACTCCACGGCCCAAATCCAGTTTAGTTTAATACCATCAAGTTTACCAACTCCCAACAATCCACTGTCTCTTCGGATGCACTCACCGGTAAATTGTCATTGACGGAGAAGTTACGCCCCGACCCCCCGGGCCTTACCTGACGAGTGCTCGATCTCGGATCCGGACTTTTTAATTGGGACTGGAGTTGAACTCCTCATGCACAAAATGGTAAGACAGGTCATTGGCCAACGCGAGAGGGTAGAGTGTTCTCAGTTCGAACGCACAGTGCTTGTGTTGTGAGTTTCTAGCTCCGATGTGGTCCGCATAGTTGACATACCGATGACCTATACACAGCGCAGGTTGTTACTAATTGGTCACCTGTTTTGTACCCAGGCAGAAACCTGGACAGTACTCGCACCGTGTGGGGCTTATTATATAGATATTAGAGTTCGTTGACGTCTTCGAGAGATTGCTAAACCGAAAAAGTAATATACTCCACTCGTTTTTGCTTAAGTAAAAGTATTTCTTAATACATGTATTTTTCCACAATAAGAAGAGGCTGAGGGGACATAACAATTCCCAAGCATGTCTTGAAAATCACCGATTCCTCTTGGAAAATTACCTAAATTAATAGCCAAAAAAAGAGGAAATAAAAAAGCAACTTCATCTTATTAACAAATATCATTGGTTCAGAACCATCACGCTTGAAGTTAAAACCAGCCAAGCTGGGAGCGTTACATTGTTTTGTTTCTTGCTAACAGAAGTCAGTGAGAACAAAGAACATATTTTTGGCTGAACATTTTCCTTTTAAAATTAAAATATATATTTGCCCCTGCTGCTGCCACCTGTAACTTGTTTCCCAAGAAAAAGTTTTATAGAAAATTGGTGCGCTAAAAAGAACTCACTTCGACACTTCTCAATTATCATACTCAGTTCTTCAAGCGTAATTTAACAAATGGAAAATAAAAAATGACACGTTGAATTTCTCCCAAATTAAACCACTTTATTGCCCTTCATACATTTACTCAGAAAATATGTACCAACAATATACATAATCAGCAACAGAAATACACAGATTTATCTATAATAGGATAGATTATGTAAAGTACAAAATGTGGGATTACAATGTAAACAAAAACTAAAAGTTATAAAGGACCAGCTGAAGGGAAAGATGTTTGTGATTCTTTTTGGGGGGGGGGGGGGTCTAGCCATCACACTTCCTTTTAAAAAAAAAGGCTCTAAGGCCAAAAAACAAAACGTCTCCGGTTTCTGGTATGGAGCTTGCCCAAAAAGAGGTGCGGCGACGCGTTCTTTTTTTTTTTTTTACCTGATTTTTTTGCTTCAAATGTCGGCTGATGACTGCAAATGGTGCCCGACTAAACTTGGTGCAAATATATGGGAGTCCAGAGAGGCCACATAAAGCTTATTCTCGACCATAACCCAATCTAAAAACACGTTAAAATTGTGCAGCAGCAGGATTCCAGTCAAACCAGTGGGTTTGGCAGTTTTGAGACATCATCTTCCATTGAAAAAAAAACTTTTTCATTTTGCCGACGCGCATGGCTACGGCGACGCGCGCGCATACCAGAAACGGGAGACTTTTTTTTGGCCTAAAGGCTCTTTGGTATGAGCGACTAGTAAGTTTCTTTAAAGTTCTTGTACTATATTCAGATTTTTCTTTCAATTATGACTTTTATGCGTGGAAAAGCCTAGACAAACTACTTTCTCTTTAAAAAAGTTAGAAAATGATAGTTTTGAAATAACGATTCATACCTGCTATGTCTATAAATATGCTAAACTGTACATCTTTTTCAAGGTTGGATATAAACTACAGTCAGTACAAATGATTCGAAATTGATTTGAAAAATAATTCAATAATTGCTGAGAATAAATTTAAGAGAGAAAATTATTCCAAAGAAATTTGAACTTCCCCAAAATATAATCCTCACAAGCCCATTTATTGGTGTCGAACCTCATATCCAGAATAAGACAGATAATAAAATTAAATATGTGTGAAATGTGAATGACTTTCATGGCAAATATTCTAACTTATGAAACATAATTTTTTTCTCTCTCCAAAATTAGACCACTGAAAGATGAAACAAATTGCAGCATGTTGCTGCTTTGATTATCCAATTTTTTTTTTCATTTCCTCTCCCTCTCTCTCAGGGTGTTGGCTGGGGTAAGAGTGTATGAGGGTGGATAGGGTGTTGGGTGAGAGAGGTGTTGGGTGGGGTAAGTGCGTTTGTTTCTGCATTCAATTACTGAAGGTCCCCAATTATTTGGATTCGTGTACAAAACATATGGGAGGTCTTCCTAAAAAGTTGGAGTGCAAACAAAAGAGGGACAATAGTGGGTCCCCGATTGCAGGCTAATACACACTTGAGTGTGTTGACTGGGGTAGGGAGTGGGGTAGGGGTGTTGGGTTGGAGAGGGATGTTGGGTTTTGAGGGGGTGTCGGGTGGGAGAGGGGTGTCGGGGTGGGAGAGGGGTGTCGGGGTGGGAGAGGGGTGTTGGGCTGGAGAGGGGTGTTGGGCTGGAGAGGGGTGTTTGGTGGAAGGGGGGATGGGTTGGCTGAGAGGGATGTTGTGTTTGTGAGGGGCGTTGGGTGGTGGAGGGGTGTTAGGTGGAGGAGGGATGTTGGGTGGAAGATGGGTTTTGGGTTGGAGAGGGGTGTTGTGTTGGAGAGGGGTTTTTGGTTGGAGAGGGGTTTTGGGTTGAAGAGCGGGTTCGGCTGAGAAGGGTGTTGTGTTTGTGAGGGGTGTTGGGGAAAGAGGGGTGATGGGTTGGACAGGGGTGTTGGGTTGGGGAGGGTTGGTAAGTGGGAGAGGGGTTTTGGAATGGAGTCGGGTGTTGGGTTCAAAAAGGGGTTTGGTAGGAGAGGGGTGTTTAGTTGGAGAGGGCTTTGGGTGGGAGAGGGGTGTTGGGTTCGAAAAGGGGGTTTGATAGGAGACGGGTCTTTAGTTGGAGAGAGGTTTTGGTTGGAGAGGGGTGTTGGGTTTGAAAGGGGGTTTTGTAGGAGAGGGGCGTTTAGTTGGAGAGGGGTGTTGGGCTTGAAAGGGAGTTTGGTAGGAGAGGGCTGTTTAGTTAGAGAGGGGTGTTTAGTTGGTGAGGGGTTTTGGTTGGAGAGGGGTGTTGCGTTCGAAAGGGGTCTGGTAGGAGAGGGGTGTTTAGTTGGAGAGGGGTCTGGGCTGGGCTGGGTCTTGTTCGAAAGGATAATTTGGTGTAGATGCATAGAGGGGGTCAGCCAGCAGGGAGGTATAGGATTGGTCACAGCTATCCAAGGCCAACGTCTAGTGACATCATGATAATAAAACCAACAATGGTCCCCCAAGATGCCAGCAAACCATTGCCACTGAAATGAACAAACAAAAACACAGGATGAATAAAACAAGTACAACAGAAGAAGGACGGTTCAAAATCATCAAATGTTCACGTTTGGTAAAAGAAGACACATCAGAGATTTAGGAGAAATGATGCTAAAAAAAAAGACTGCTGAGGGATAACTTAAGATTTGACATATAATTGTTACCTTGTTTGGGCTTCCGGTAGTATGTCGTCAGCTACAACGTAAACCATCGCGCCTGCTGCAAACGACAAGGCGTAGGGTAGAATCGGCTCGGCAACCACCACGGCAAGGGCACCAAGCACCCCTGCGATGGGTTCAACCATTCCGCTCAGCTGCCCGTACCTTCAAGACAAGAAATAATGAACCAAATAGCGAAGTAAATATTTTTGAAACTGGGCGCCAGTTTGCTTAAGGTAGTTTAGTTTGCTTAAGGCATGACCTAACACTTCACTGAAAGTGTATGCTAGATATATTAACAAAAAATAATCCATTCATTGCTATGTGCCGATGACTTGCATACACTTTTAGTAGATTCTGTCAGCTCAGGGCAAGTTCGCTCAAGAACTATTGTTGACCATTAGTTAACCATAGTTCGACTGAAGTTAGCCCGAACTCTGTCTAGTCGACGGTGGTTGACTACACTAGTCGACTATTTGGAACCAGCCTACTGGGGCTGGTTGCATCGCTGGTAACCAATAACCGCGCGCATTCATAACGTACAGCAGGGAGTCAGGATCCAGACGTTTTGCGATGACATTTTGACCAGCGTTTGACTAGAGACGTTCGCACGTTGCTATTAGTGCGCAGGCGTAAGGTACGTCACAAATCAACCACTAGTCGACTTATGGTCCTTGCCCGAACTTTGCCTTTGGTGTCAGCTCTGTTGGCTGTTTTATTGTTCAGATGTGTAGCGCCCTCTGTTGCTGGCGAGAATTTGACTGCCGCCATAACTCACCAGAAGCTCATCCACGTGGAATAACCAGATCCTCGCAGGGGTAGACTCACGGCAAGGCCTTCTGGGAAATTCTGTATGCCAATCCCAATGGCTAAATTTCTACCAAGAAAACAAATCAAACAACAGAAAAATAAAGCGAGAATCATGTTTTTAATTTCTCTATTTTGAAACCAACAACTTGATCAAATCTCGGTTCAAGTAAGACAATTTAATAAAGCAGGATGCAAATCTTTATTAACCTAAAATATATGCATTATTATTACAAATTACACAGTTTTTGCATTTATGATAAGAACAAGTCAGGTGTGTTTACAAACACAAATGCCCCGCAACCGTGACTGTTCCCATGACATAACACCACTCTTTTAACATCAACTTACATGTACCTTGGTCACATGGAACATTCATTGACAGCATTAGTGTCTTCTGTAGGTTTTATATGAATTAATCCCTAATCCCTATAATCTCAGAATAAATACAAGATTTCTATTGTTTTAGCCACTGTGAACTTGACCCTTGACCTTTTGGCCCCAAATTCAATAGGCTTCTTAGGATTACCAAGAACAATCCACAAACCAAATTTGAAGTTCATATGTTAAGTATTTCTCAAGTTATCGCGCTGACAAGATTTCTATTGTTTTAGCCACTGTGAACTTGACACTTGACCTTTTGACCCCAAATGCAATAGGCTTCTTAGGATTGCCAAGAACAATCCACAAACCAAATTTGAAGTTCACATGTAAAGTATTTCTCAAGTTATTGCGCTGACAAGATTTCTATTGTTTTAGCCACTGTGAACTTGACCTTTGGCCTTTTGGCCCCAAATGCAAAAGGCTTCTTAGGATTGCCAAAAACAATCCACAAACCAAATTTGAAGTTCACATGTAAAGTATTTCTCAAGTTATCGCGCTGACAAGATTTCTATTGTTTTAGCCACTGTGAACTTGACCTTTGGCCTTTTGGCCCCAAATGCGAAAGGCTTCTTAGGATTGCCAAAAACAATCCACAAACCAAATTTGAAGTTCACATGTAAAGTATTTCTCAAGTTATCGCGCTGACAAGATTTCTATTGTTTTAGCCACTGTGAACTTGACCTTTGGCCTTTTGGCCCCAAATGCGAAAGGCTTCTTAGGATTACTAAGAACAATCCACAAACCAAATTTGAAGTTCATATGTTAAGTATTTCTCAAGTTATCGCGCTGACAAGATTTCTATTGTTTTAGCCACTGTGAACTTGACCTTTGGCCTTTTGGCCCCAAATGCGAAAGACTTCTTAGGATTACCAAGAACAATCCACAAACCAAATTTGAAGTTAATATGTTAAGTATTTCTCAAGTTATCGCGCTGACAAGATTTGTCCGGACACACACACCCACACACCCACCCACCCATTCTCAAATTTGTATCCTTGTGGAGACATTCCTTTGTTCTCGTGTAGTAAAGTGTTCAATTTTGAAAGTGAAGTTTCAAAATGCTCTTATTTTAACCAGAATTAGTTTCCTTGGCTGAAATTTGGACTTAATATCCCTTTTCTAAAACTCTTTCATTTGCGACAGATCAACCCACCTTGGAAATTCCTAGTTTTTGAGTAAAACCCATATATCTATTTCGTGAAAACCTTGTGGAGACCTATTCATCTATAGAAATTGCCCTGTGGAGACCTTTACAATGTTTTGTTCCCTATTGTGTGTGTGTCTCCACAAGGATACGAATTTGTAGTCACCCACACACCCACCCACACACACACCCACCCACCCACCCACCCACCCACCCACCCACCCACCCACCCACGGAAGGACAAGGCGGAAACAGTATGCCCCTTCGGCTTCGCCGCGGGGCATAAAAATACAAATCAATGACCTAAAGAAGAAAAAAAAATCAAGAAATCACCATGAAATAAATTCGGAGAACATTTCTGCAAATCTTTACCTTGCACTTTCAAATGTTGCTGATGGAGTTTTCCCAATGGCACCAAATCCCACTCCTACAGCTAAACCCTCTGAAAACAAATCAAATTAAACAAACATTCCAGTTATATTTAACTACTTAGTCTTCCAAATGAACTGAAGTGCCCTGCTGTCCAATTTATTCCACATACTTCCCTTAAATTGAATTGAACCAGGAATGCCTAAAACTCTTGTTCCACCTAACCCTCCTGCTATTTCATAGTCACAGTCAAAATTCACTTCCACTTCCCCTGCTATACTTTTAACAAAGGATAGTCACCAGCGCTCGGATCATAATGTCAAGCAAGCACTGTGACTTATCAAACTGGGTCAACAGACAAAGCAGGTAAGTTTTATCACTCACCTAGAGTCAAAGCATAGCTGTATCAAGTTACTTAAACAGGCACAGCCAGTCAATCCTGTTTTATCTAGGCTGGGAATTTTTAACTGTTGAAAACAGTCACTTGTTTGAATTTGCCTGAAAGGACTACTTGGCACAGAATGAATGTTTGCAAAGGAGAGTTAATACAACAATTGCAAACATGAAAAACAAAACTACAAAATTTTTACGAAATACCTTACTAGGATGTTGGTAAATGACAGTTTAAAGCATCCTGTAAAATTATGGCATCTGGTGTGATGTCATTTTCAAGAAAAGTTGTATTTTTGTATTAATTTCCAACGGTGGTCCGCAAATGTACATCATATCTCCAGAATGGGAGGGGCTATGGAGCTCTATTATATACAAAATGAAAGCTTACATTGTGGGCTTTTCAACCATATATAACTCAATTTCATGTTTTTGCGACATAATGCCTTTTTTTGTGGAGCAGGTCACATTAGTGGAATGTGAATTGTTTAACAGGAACATAAAACCTTGTAGCAAAAAACAACTGATATTTTTGGATATTTTTTAGCAACTTAAAGGGAAAATACAACATTTGCAAACATCAAAAAATAAAACTACCAAATCATTTTGAAATACCTTGCTGGACTGTTAGTGAATGACAGTGTAAAGCATCCTTTAAAATCATGGCACCTGGTATACTGTCATTTTCAAGAAAAGTGGTATTTTTGTATCAATTTCCAACGCTGATCGGCCGATCAACTGGCTTTTTTTTCAAATACTGGCCCCAATTGACCATCGCACTTGTTTACAATCGATTACAAACCTATGAACGGGTACGAGCCAGCTAGACTGGTTCCCTGACCTTACAATTCCCCAACGTATGTAAACTGCTCTGTTTCTTCTTATATGGAGTCAGGGAACCAGACTACAGGAAAATGATCGTTTTTCTTGGTTTTTATAGCATTTTCGAACCCAAATCCTCAAAAAAATCAGTGTAACTATATTTGCTATATATTTCCAACCCCCCAATTCCATCCATTTCTGAAAATTACAGCAAAAGCAAATGATGTATATTCCCTTTAAGCAACTTAATCATGGGAAAATCCTAAATTTGCAGGGTCGACCAATTCCCCATAGTTCCTTGCACCATATCTTAAAGAGCTACACCCACTGACCCTAAACAAACAATGTCAAACATTCTACAAATCTCTCTATTGTTGCTTCTGCACACAAGAAGAGCTTAAAAGTTTGGTTTCAATATTTGCTTAAAGGGCCCATGAGATGAATTTTACTTGGAAACATACTTTGTGCAACTTTCTACTCCTCCTAAGTGTATGAAAACCATAGAGCTATATTAAATTACTAGAGCGCTAACTCGATGTACAAAGTAATGCCTGATGGGCGCATCCATGTTTGTGCACAAACCTATGGAAAACTCGAAACTTTGCATGGCTTTTGTACGGCTATTTGCATATCTGAGTTTGTATTCCATACCGGTGCGTCATCGAAGCCGATACGCCCAAAACCAAACGCACGATCAGCAAATGAGCGTTTCATTTTGCTCTACGCAAACAGCGCAACGTGTGTGCGTCCCTCCACTGCAGATGCTTTTCGCCGTGACGTTTTTTGGACCATCATGACGCGCTTAAGTTGTTTGCGTATCTTCTACTTGCGCGTTGCATTTAAAGTACACTTTTAAAATTCAATCCATCTATTTTGATTGTGTACTACAAACACGCACATAATTTCAAAATGTCTGCGCCCAGAGCCGCTTCAAAGCGTCTCTGCGTGCAAGAATGAAGAGTTAGCACTCTAGTAATTTAATATAGCTCTATGATGAAAACAACTTGACATCCTTTTTTGGTTATCTTATTGAAAAGTGCACTTCTTTAACCCTAACTCCCTAGGCATTTTTACTAGGATGCAACCTCAATCCTGCCAAATCCTCCTTTTATTTCTTGAATGTGGTCACTGAAGGGGTGACCACTGCCTCAATCCTGCAAAATCCTCCGTCATCACTGTCAATAGGTTGAGGTAGAGCCAGTGACAAACTGGAGCAGTGCGGAGGATTTCGAGTGTAATATAGGCCTAAATTTATGCACGGCTGGGCATAAACAACACAAGGTCCAGCCCAAGACCTTGACACAGTGCATCCTCCAAAATCAGCAATGCACTTTTGCTATGTAGCCTCAATCCTGCAAAATCCTCCATTTTGCAAACAGGATTTTGGAGGATTCGGGAAGGTTAGGGTTCAACACTTAAAATTGTCCATGCTTTCCTGACAAATGAGGGTTCTCTTGCTGTGATGTCATAATTGTCATTTCAGGAAGACATTGTTCAGTTTAGGGTTTTCTGCTCAAATTGTGAACCCAAAATTTGCTCATTGAAAACATGCGTGAGAAAACATTGCTCACTGGCCTACTGCTATGTACTGAAAACAACAACAAATCACCAAAGAAAAGAAAATTTACAACAGCAAAAAATCCAAACTTCTGGCAAATTTTTGTGCTGAAATAGCTGTAACATTGAGGTTTCTGCCTGAAATGACATCACACTTTTGCTCATGAATATGCAAATTCCTATTAGCGCAAAAACAATGCCCTTAAAATGGCAAAATAAAAATTTAAAATTAGATTAATTGGGACACAAAGGTGCATTTTAAAAGGACTGCATTGAAAAATTACATTACATGGGCCATTTAACAGATTTTTGGGGAATGTGTAATGAACTGATATATTCAACTGTGCTTACCGGGAATGTTGTGGATAGTGATTGCAACAATGAGTAGAAGTATTCTTTTCCATGTCAAGAAACTCTGCTCGGAATTTGACCCTTGACCCGCGAGGTCATGACCTTGTGGTTCCAAGTCGCCGTTCGGGCTGGCGGCAGTCCCTGAGATTTTCCGCCTTCTCTGAGTTACTGTGGAATCTGAAAATGAGATTTAACAAAATGAAATGATGTTTAGCAAGGACAGTAGTGGCGGATCCCGGTTTTTTCCAAAGGAAATACAGTCGAGTCTCGTTAATACACACTCGTTCGGACCTAGCCAAACTGTTAGTTATATCAGAATTTTGTGCTAAGAGGAACATCAGTCCCATTCATTGTGCACATAAATGCACAGTCGGGACTAAGGCTTTATGTTTGTTATAACCAGAATTTTGTATTAACAGAGTTTGTACTAACGAGATTCGACTGTATATTACAAACCATCACGTTTGGGATGTGCAGGAATTCATGACTTTTCCGTGAGTTTTTGTCTTGGAATATCAACTTTCAACAACTACTTGAAGAATAACAAAATTCCAGGATTTTGCATGACTGTGGGAACCCTCAGCAATGAACCAATATTGAGTGATGAGATTATTCAAGGATTATTTTCCAATATGTAAACATTGATCAGTTGGAGGGGGGGGGGGTAGCCACCCAACCACCCTCTCGGTTCTGCCTTTTAAAGAAAGTCAGACAATAAATTTAGCAAGACTTTCCCCTACCAAAAGGAATTTGGGGGGGGGGGGGGTTGCAAAACACTCACCAGTGAGAGCTGCCTCTTCATCTTTGCTGCTGCTTAATACAGAGGTCAATGGTAGGTCATCTTCTTCACGGGCTTTCGGTTGGGACTGCAAGGCTAGTGTTGTGGATGGTGAACCCTGCGACAAATATTTAAAAACAAGAAATTCAAGTAGATTGGACTCGTTCAAAACTGATCCGTTCACCTCTAAGCAACCTAACCCTGTACATGCCAATCAAACTGAACCTAATGCAACCCAATATCAACCTCACCTACCCCATCCAACTTAACCAAACCCAACCCAACCCTCTCCTATTCAACCCAACCACAGCCAACTGAGCCCAGACCAGCCCAACCTAACCCACCCAGTCCAACCCAACCAACACCAAACCAACCCACCCCAGCCCTACCCAACCAACACCAACCCAACCCAGCCCGACCCAACCCAGCCCTACCCTACCCACCCCTACCCAACCAACACCAACCCAACCCAGCCCTACCCAACCCTACCCACCCCAGCCCTACCCAACCAACACCAACCCAACCCTACCCAACCCAGCCCTACCCAACCCTACCCACCCCAGCCCTACCCAACCAACAGCAACCCAACCCTACCCAACCCAGCTCTACCCAACCCAGCCCTACCCAACCCAACCCTACCCACCCCAGCCCTACCCAACCCAACCAAACCCAGCCCTACCCAACCCAGCCCTACCCAACCCAACCCACCCCAGCCCTACCCAACCCAACCAAACCCAGCCCTACCCAACCCAGCCCTACCTAACCCTAACCCTAACCCACCCCAGCCCTACCCAACCAACACCAACCCAACCCAGCCCTACCCAACCCAGCCCTACCCAACCCAACCCTACCCACCCCAGCCCTACCCAACCAACACCAGCCCTACCCAACCAGACCCAGCCCTACCAAACCCAACCCAGCCCTACCCAACCAAACCCTATCCAACCCAACAAACACCAACCGAACCCAACCCAGCCCTACCCAACCCAGCCCTACCCAACATAACCAACACCAACCCAACCTATCAAACCCAACCTCAACCAAACCAACCCACACATGTGTGTAAACACCTTCAATCGTGGACCCCCTATTGTCCCTCTTTTTGTTTGTACATTTTAGGAAGACTTCCCATATGTTTTGTACACGATCGTCAATTGTGGACCCTATCGTTCTCTATTGTTTAACATCCCCTATTGAATGCATAATTTATAAACAAACTCACATACACCCGACCTGACACAACCCAACTCAACTCAACTCAACCCACCCCAACCAAACCCAACCCAGCCCAACCCAACTAACCCCCCCAACCAAACCCGACCCAACCCAACTCAACTCAACTCAACCCAACCAAACCCAACTAACCCCCCAACCCAACCCAACCCAGCCCAACCCAACTCAACCCAGCCCAACCCAACCCAGCCCAACCCAACCAATCCAAAACCAACCCAAACAAACCCAACCCAACCCAACCCAGCCCAACCCAACCCAACCCAACCAATCCAAAACCAACCCAACTGAACCAAAACCCAACCCCACGTTCCCCAATTCTCACCAATACTGGCATCAGTACATCAGCTCCATAAACAAAGACAGCTCCCAACAAGAAGCCAACTGCTGCCGGGATGAATGCCCATTGGCCCTCAGCGCCATAGTTCCCTGATAATTGGGCCATCTCAATGGCTGGGGCTAGGAGCGACCAATACGATGCAGCCAGCATTACCTGCGAAGACATTTATTTTCAAAGTTTGAAATAACTTTAGAATTGAATCTATTACTAAGCACACTTATACTGTCAGACGTTTAGAGGTACGGAATTCTTCCTGGTTATTAACCAGTTAAGTAGCTTAGTTCCATAGTGACAAAGAGTGAAATAAAAACAGTCTAGATTTCAAATTCGGGAAACACAACTTTTCAGGAAGTTAAGCATGCATCGCTTTGTGGCTCTATTACAGAGGATGTCCAGTATTACTAATTAGTATTAGCGACACACATAATATGGGGCAAAGAGCAACTAGACACAACTCCAATTTCACTGTCATTTATAGGCCTACATATACTTGAATAATGTGACAAAATTCTCACCCCTGCAGCAAAACCCAAACTGCCATCAAGAATACGCCTCTGTTGAAAAAAAAATAATAAAGGAAAAGGTGTCGAAAATAAATAATTGCTGATCAACGACAACGCGTACAGGTCATTTTTACACTGGCTTTAACAAAAAACACAAGGGTGACTAAATTATAACACTTCACAAAAAGACACAAGATTATGATTGAGAGCACAGTCATTATTATGTAAACATGAATACAATCAATAGCAAAGTCTGCTAGTGCTAGTGACTGATTTTTGCAGAAAATACAGAACACACAAAAGAAAAAGAGATTGTCAGGCTATCACCATGGAGCTATAATTATAAAACACTTTTTTATAGCTCCATGCATCACGCAGTGATTTTTCACGTCATGCATGTGTTGCCGTGTCCTTTGCTCATAATTAACTTACTTTCCCACTGGAGAATACAAACACAAGGCCGGCGCCAGCTGCAGTCACGCCCCAAGTAAATAACGTCCCAAGCAGAGCCTGAGTAACGGGACCGTAGCCCTGGATCATCGTGGACGGGAGACGCGACTCGATCTCACGGTCGGGAAGTCTGCTTCAACACCGCTACTCCAGCGAAATCCGGGGATGCTTGACACTCGATTCAACGGTTTCTAGAACACAAATCACAAGGATTGTAGGAACGGTGTCTCACTGATGTTGGGTAGAAATCACAGCAAATGTCTCGCACCCATCAACTTTCATTCTCTCACTCTATCATCAGTCAGATTTGTCAACAGTCTACGTGTACATATCCAACAGATCAATAAACCGTTCGTACCCTCGTACCGTATAAAACACACATACCACATGCAAAACCGCGAAAACAGGAAGAAAATGCTCACCGCTATTGCGCCACCAAGAGGTGAATGTAATCCAGGCTTTTCTTGTTCCAAGAAATAATAAATTTTCCAAGAACTTTGCCTGAATTTCTGCCGTTTTATCGGCTGTTTACCTGAAATGGCAAATCCCAACGATGCTGGAGATCGTCAGGTGATCCTAGCGACTGCCGGGTATGACCACACGATCCGATTTTGGCAAGCACACACGGGAATTTGCCACAGGACAGTCCAACACCAAGATTCTGTATCCTTTGCTTTGCTTGCCAAGCCTGCCATTTTAAGTTTCCCCTTTTGCTTCATCTACTGTTGACAACACATGTAGTTGATTGCTAATAATTCTTTTCGAGTGACTGACATTGTAAACTTAACCTTATCATTTGTGTTTGCTGGCCAAAAAGTTTGTATTTGTTAATTCAAATATTTAATGTAAAATCTATATTTTTCTGCAGTGTCGTCAGGTCAGGGAAGCGGAGAGAAATGTTAATTGGGAGGGGCATATGGGGGGGGGGGGAAGAATATTCACCAAAAAATCTAACTTAAGGAAGAGTTTCATTACCATGGCAACAGGCCAGAGTGGTGTATTTTGGAAAGAATGTAGTGCTCTCTATCCAGACGCCTCTTCTTTGCTTGTGTACAAAGTCTATGGAGAGTTCCGTGCATTTTCAAAGTATTTTCTAACAAAATCGGAAATGTTTCTCAGTCCCAGATTCGTGTCTTTTCAACATTTTTGCAATGACTGACCTTTGTTGAGATGATATATTATGAAAAAAGTGGCATCAGGATGCATTATTCTTTCCAGTGTTTAAAAACTGAAGGAGGCATGTTAATAAATAAGAAGGGCATAGGGGAGGGGGGTGGCAAAATATCCCCCTGAAATCCATTACTGAATATTTATTTTAACTTGAGGGAACTCGGAAAAGGGGCATCATGATACTGCATTAGGATGCAGAAAACGTTCACACTATAGCTGAAGGTTGCTTAATGCAGTACATCGTGTACTTGAACTATTGTTTTTACTGTAGCGATATTTTCTTTGACTCTCTCCTCTTTACAGCAAGTAAATTGTTTGGAAATAACACCCGACAAACATCTACTAGCTGCAGCAGGTAGGCGTAGATTATTATACGAAACAATGATAATGGCGAGTAAAAAAAAAAAAATACGCAGTTTCTCGTCTGGCGTTTTTGAAAAAAGGAGGCAGGCGTTGTTTTTTGTTGTGTTTCTTTTTCTAGGATGGGTGGATTTTCCAAGATGGCAGATAGATTCTTCAATTTTCTCAACTTTTTTTGATACAAAATTGTGTCCATTACCATAAGCCATAACCCTTTCTACATAGCTACAATTTTGTTGGAAAAAAATAAAAAGACGAAATAGTATGAATTAAAAAAAAAAAAGAGACTCAGTACCAGATGTTTCTTTTGATACAGTTGATTGATGCAGTACTAAAGCGGTGTTGGACCGGTTGTTTCGTGTGCCAGTCTATTTCCTTTTCTTGTATTGCATGTTTTTTTCACTATTTTGAAATTCGGGACTCTCATACAATGTACACGTATTGAGAGTCTCCAATTTTTAGACTAGAAAGTCTCTGGTGCCAAAAAAAAGTCTAAGAAAAAAAAAGTTACTGAAATATTTCATGATTTATGTTTTAACACGCAGGCTATCAGCACATTCGTATGTATGACATTAATTCTAACGAGGCGTCCCCAGTCATTAACTACGAGGGGATCTCCAGGAACGTGACGGCCGTTGGATTTCAGGAAGACGGGAAATGGATGTTCACCGGAGGAGAGGACTGTACAGCCAAGATATGGGATCTTAGGTGAGGCCAATTGATGTCAAGGCCAATTAATGTCGATGTCAACGGTCAATATCATTGTCAATGTCACATGTAGACTGAGGCCACAAGTTTCTTCATCAACTTAAAATAAGGCTAACTAAATGTACCATTTAAGACTATGCATACCACTTGTAGAAGCACATTTCATTACGTCACAATGGCAGTTTTGTTGTTAGATATAATGTCGCATTTCAATTTTCGTCGGGTACACACGGTTAAGGCTGGTGTTTTGATCAGTCAAATATTCGATTGAATCCAAGTGTGAGTAATCAAAAATATGTGCTGAAATGTGGGGTGCTGTGGTCCAGTGGTTACGGTGTTCCACTCGTGTGCCGTGGTACATGGGTTCAAATCCAGACGGGGAACATGGTGCGTGTGCGCTTGGGCAAGGCACTTTACTACGATTGCCTCTCTCCACCCAGGTGTAGTAAATGGGTACCTGGTAGGCAGAAATTCCTTCAATGCTTGAGCGCCGTAATGGCAGCCGTGCTAAAGCCAGGGTAATAATAAGAGCGCCATGAGCTATACAAGAAGCCATTGTTAGGTTTAAATGTTTGAAAATGCACAGCCCTACGTGGCAAATGAGGTCAGGAGTAGTTTTTTGTCAGCCAATTATGAGCAGGGGGGGGGGGGGGGGTGTTAATGCAAAGTAATACTTCAAATGTGTAAAACATGCCACTATTATATTTTTTCCCTTGTTTATTTACAGAATGAGAAACTTGCAATGTCAAAAGATCTTTCAAGTCAACGCGCCCGTCAACTGCGCCTGTCTTCATCCAAATCAGGTAACAGATTGCATTTTAGATTAATACAAAACAAACACACTGCAGTTCCTTCAGTAATCTGTGCAGAACATATATTTTAATTTAATGATCCAATTTTATAGGCACTGTATACTCTAATGTTTATGAGCTTGCAAGAAAGGTACACAATCTTACTCAGTAGGGACTTGAACCCACGACCTCCTGCTTACTAGTGCAGACATCTTAATCACTGAGCTTGCTGGTGTCGGCTGGTAAGTCTAAATCTTTCACGTCAGCAGCACATACTGCACTCAATATCATGTAAATAACATATGTTGTGTTTTTTATGGGGTTTTGTTTATAGGGAGAGCTTATAGTCGGCGACCAGAGTGGAACAGTTCACATATGGGATTTGAGAAGTGGCCACAACGAACAACTGGTAGGTATTATATAAAATAGTATCTGTATATCAGATCAAGGTTTTATTCATTTGTCCTGCTTTTTGTCAAAAAGACACAAAATCTCATGAATTCACCCCATGACGTTCTGTTTGCACTTGTCTGGCTTTCCTAAGTTGGACGATCCGTTATGTGGTTGCTTTTCCACAGAAAAAATACTCTCCTCCGTCATCCTTCTCCACCCAACTCCCCATATTCTACTCGTATGCTGAAACGTGAGTTGACGTTAAATGGACTAACCTTTACCATGCTCAGCGCAACAGAATGCAACAGTGGTAAAACTTTGTTGCATACTGTTGCATTTAGCAGTCAACTCAAGTTCCATGCATTGTTACATCTTGTTGCATTTAACAGGATAATTGCTGATCGTGCCTTGGTTGGTGCAACAGAAGCCACTGTTGCATTCTGTAGCATTTAGTGGCGCAACTGCTAATTGCCATGGCTGGTGCAACAGAACCCACTGTTGCATTTTGTTGCATTTTGTGGCGCAACTGCTAATTGCCATGGCTGGTGCAACAGAACCCACTGTTGCATTTTGTTGCATTTAGCAGCGCAACTGGTAATTGCCATGGCTGGTGCAACACAACCCACTGCTACGTTTTGTTTTATGTAGCGGCGCAACTGCTAATTACCATGGCTGGTGCAACAGAACCTGCAACAGAACCCACTATTGCATTTTGTTGCATTTAGCAGGGTAACTGCGCAGTGCCATTGCTAGTGTGTAATTAATTCACTGTGCAACGCAATTTTGTTGCAATTATCAGGGTTCTCATTGCACATGTGTTCGAGTTTTGTTGCACGTAGCAGGGTACATGAAGAGACCTGATGAAAATATGTCATTTTTCAGGTGCCCGAGCCAGACTCTTCCATCCAGCATCTCAGCATCGACTCAGAGGCCACCCACATGGCCGCCATCAACAACAAAGGCAACTGCTACATCTGGCGGGTCTCGCCCGGCAAGGAGGACCCCATCTCCCAACTCCTCCCGAAGACCAAGATCCCCGCCCACAAGAAGTACGGCATCAAGTGCAAGTTCAGTCCTGACTGCACGTAAGTAACTCAAGTCTTAAAAAGATTTCTTCATAAATTCTAGGGTCCACGATGAAACGCATTTTCTGCAAATGTCCATTCGTCAGTATGAATATAACTAGATACACTTTTCATTCATATTTTGGGCATCAACCCGTAATTCATTGACTGTGGCAAGCTGATACATCAGCTCAGAGAAGTATCCTCACAATTAAGACCCACGATACATGCACAAATTCTATCGTTTATACTATGACTTTTTTAACAAATCCAGTTGCGGCTTTGAAAGAAATCTAAAATTTTGAACTTTTGAAAGCAACAATTTTAAGCTTGAAATTCAGGAATAAAATCTTTGAAACCCCGAAGTCGAAATTTCATATTCTCTGATATCATTCCTGTTATTTTTCAAAGGCTTCTTGCCACAACAGCAGCCGACCAGACAGTGAAGATTTGGAAGACGGCTGACTTCAGTCTCCTGACCACGCTGACCGACGCAGTCCAGAGATGGGTCTGGGATTGCGCCTTCTCATCCGACTCACTCTACCTAGTCACAGGTTGGTATTTAAAGCTCAGTCACTTTGCCTTATCATAAGAGAGCTGTAGCTTGATGTCATCCAAATGGGCTTGTAGCAGATGCTCCCAATTGCTTCTGTTTTCCTTCTGGCAGTTAGCAGAGGAGGCAGAGGAGCTTTTTAACTTTCTGTTTTTTTACGGATGAAACTCCCCTTATTTAGTTTTCAATGTTGAAGACATTGATGTTGTGAGAAATGTCTCAACTACATATTACTAAGACAAGACAAACCTACATGAACTGGTCTCAGTGCACACAAAGTTCTATTCAATTGTTTCAAAATAGCTAAAATTAGTTGTGGAAGCGGTTGTGGTAATGTGATGGAAATTACAAAAATCCACTTTCGCCAATCACATGGGGACTTGTTAGTTGTATTAGAAGCGCATGGAAAAAGCGACGTCAGACTATGTGATATAGATCGTACATGGCATTTAAACAAATCTTGCAAAACTGGTCCAGACCAATTTAAGTCACAGGTGACAGCAGTCAGTGAGTTAGTATTAAGTCAGTTAGTCAGTCATTCAGTCAGAAGGACAGTCGGACAGTTGGAAGCAACTTTATGGTCGTGTTAGATTTGAACCTTTACTGCCCTTTTTAACAAATCGTTTATTTCTATTTGTGTCCTAGCCTCATCGGACCACACAGCAAGGTTATGGAGTGTCGAGCAAGCGGAAGTCAAGCGCGAGTTTAACGGACATCAGAAGGCCATCACAGCCCTGGCTTTCTCCGACGGGGTTTCAACATGAGTGGCAGAAACTTCTACACTTGGGAATTTATTTGATGAAATGGAATTTACGTCTGGAGATGTAAATTTTATATTTTCTTTTGCTGCTACATCAGACTCAAACCGGCTGTCTGACCTCCTGCAAGCTCGGTGGTCGATCGGTAAGACGTCAAGTCTAGTAAGCAGGAGGTCGTGGGTTCGAGTCTCACCCGAGGAGTTTGTGATTTTTTTTTTGCAATCCCTCGGACAATACCAAGTATACAGTGTTTATAATATACATGTATGTCGGCGAAGGGCAAAACCCAATATAAAATTTACTCCAAAGATATTGGCAAGAAACTTGTTGGGTTGCTCTGCCTACATGAGAAATATTTTTAAAATCTGAGTTCCCAGAGAGGTGCTCTAAGAATTAGCACTTCAGAATTTACGTGGTACATTGTGTATTTCCACGAATTTTTTTAGCTGGACCATTTTTCTACCAATGTTGAAAGTAGACATGTTACAAATTTATGCTTTGTGTAGGTTTGGGCTTTGTTGTGCTTACTATTCAAGGCAGGAAACACTTTTCACTGTCCAAAACAAATAACAGCAGCAAGGACATTGTAAACTGAAGTCTGAAATACTCTGAAGTGTGTCTGTTGTAATAGGTGAGCCCATAATATGTAGGAAAACTTGTTCTTTAGTCGAACCCCTTGAGTGATTTACTAGGAACCTTCCTCACTCTTGCAAAATCCCACACCATATGGTAACTCAACAACCAAACTTTTGGACTCTGATTATGAAGGTATGCCTGACCCATGCAAAGCATAATCAGTTTACAAATACAAGTACTCGCTCCAACAGTTTCCAGCAAAACATGCAGTTGGATTTTGAAAGATTAGGTGTGGTTAGGGTTAATCTATTATGTTCACACTCTTTATTACAGAACTTTGACAGTCGCATCACTTGTGCTCTTCAACAAATTCAGTTTTTTTCTCTTAATACATTTTCAAATTGCATGTTTTATTCCAACCAAAAATACTCCTATTTGTATAGCTTCGGCATCTGTGAATTAGCCATATTCAGGTTTATGAAAATATACACATATGGGTTGGCCATTATCACAATGAAGCAGTAGTGATTTTGTTACTTCCAATAGCCCAGCCAGTTTTAAAAGAGTCAATTTTCACAACAATGTCAACCTTTTTACACTCATTTGAGTGCATTTAATAAAATGTACTGTACACAATTTTGAGGGCCTTTCAATAAATGTAATCCAGAGATCTATGTTAACTCAATTTATTATGTAAATTACAGTATTGTACATGTGCAGTAAACATTTGTGTAAATAGTATCATGAATACAAAAAAGTGATTAAAATATAATCAACACAAATCGATCTGAAACTGTCATGTGTTTGACTTTCTTGGCGTTCCCTTTACCGTCCTTTAATTCCTAACTATAGTTGGGACGATTTTTTTCACTTTATATTCGCTATGAAAGCCACTTACATGTACCTGTTAGATAACCAGAAAAAAAAGAAAGAATTTCCATACCTCTAAATGTTTTGTTATCCTGTAAATTTCAGGGAAATTTGGAAAGCATTTGTCCAAAAAATGATTTTTCTCAAGGTCATAGGTCATGCACCTTTGACCTTTTAATTCCCCCCCGTTTATTAACCAGGTTAGTAGCTTCAAATATCAAGTGAAAAATGGTCTAGATTTCAAAAATTCAGGAAACAGAACATTTCAAGAAATTTGGTACACTACACATCGCTATGTGGCTCTAAATGCATACAAAAGTCCAGTACAGTGGAACGCCGCTATAATGAACATCACGGGATCCACAAAAAATGTTTGTAATAGTGATCGTTCGGTATAGCAATTTTAAGCTGCCGGTGCTCCGGTACTCACTTTTCAGTAAATAGTGCCCTTCATAACTTCACCCTGCACGCCCTGGTAGTTACTGAAAGATGACTTCGAACACGTGCTGACTATTGAATTATGTAATTACACAGTTTTTAGCTTACTACCTACATCGATGGGTGGCTTTCCCTTTCTATGCCTTGGGGAAATAATAGCCACTTGTCGCTCTTCTGTTGACGGTTTTCAACAACAATGTTCGGTTGGTTTTGTACACAAAAATCGGGAGCCAAGGACGATGTTCGGTATAGCCGAATGTTCGGTATAGCGGTGTTCGGTATAGCGACGTTCCACTGTATTTGAAATGCATTTATGGGGCTAACTATTTAATTAATAACTTAAGATCATTTCAAGACAAATGTGATGTACGTATACCCTGCATCCATGTACGCTTTGTATGAGAATTGTTCAGGGTGCTGTTGAGTGTTGACAACCAACAGAGGAACATTATGTTTCAAGGGAGCTAGCATTAGATTGTACACATCCAAGCCAAGCACTGTGCCAACTGGGTAGGGTAGATCGCCAATTACCAATCACACAAGGTCAAAGCATGAACTTACTTTGCGTGTCTTTAGCCAAGTTTACATTAAATAAAAGAGCACACATGAAACAAAAATAATACCAAGTACCTGCACCAGGCCCATACGCTTGGGGGGTTGGGGGTGGGTTTTCGAACGAACCCCCTGCTCGGTGAAGAGTTACGCTCAGAAATAAAAAACAAAACAAAAATGCCTAACAAAATATCAATTTTTGATGGCCCATCCCCCTTAAAAATCTAGCCTTCAAGTTGTAAATACGAGCAAATTTGATTCAAAAAGTCGGAGGAAAGTGGCCAGGAAATGCCTCAGATTGCACCAAAGAGCATCTACATGTAGTATCCAATATTTTTCAAAGCAGGCCCCGAACCCCACGCCGTAAGGGCTTCGCGCTCCACGCTCGCATATAAAAAGTTCCACTTTGGGATTTGAAGAACCCCCCAAGTCTCGGATCAGGGAACAGGCCTCCTACACTGTATGGAAAAAATTGCAATATCACCGTTAGAGGGGTACACATGCACAAGGGGACAACTACAACTAGAAGCTGCTTCTACTCAGTCCTGTCTGCACCTGTCAGTGCAAGACATCCCTCATTTAGTATTCTGAGCATGTAGTTCAAGTCATTCACATAGTTGGTATTTCCCACAGGCAGTTGACGTCATTCACATAATGATTCTGTCATTGCCACTTTCTCCTGGTACTGTTTGTAGAAGGCATTTGCTAAGAAGTAGAATGGGGCTTCCACGTTCTCCCGCTCCTTCTGCATCAACGCCAACAAGGCAGAAAAAAAAATTACGAAAATCAAAATCAACGAAATTGAAAACTCAAAAGCCTGGATTTGTTGCAGTTGCGGGCTGGAGTCTGATCACATTGTGTACTCCACATGTGGCGTTGTGTACGCTACATGTGGAGTGTCATGGCCAAGCGGTTAAGAGCACCGGACTCATGCTCTGGTGTTTCAGAGGCAACAGTGGCGTGGGTTCAAGACTGCCGGGTGGACACTAATGCCCTTAAGCAAGGCACTTTACCATTACTGCTTCGTCCTTCGGATGGGACGTAAAGCCATAGGTCCCCTGTGTTAAATGCAATGCACGTAAAAGAACCCAGTAATATTTATCGCTAAGAGAAGGGGTTTGCCCCGGTGTTTCTGGCCTCCTGTTATTACTCCCATGCGGAGTCCTTAGGAGAAGAACCAACCAAGAACCAAGAACCAAGAACATGACTCATGAAAACAGTTTCGCAATCTTTTTATGCAGTACTGGGTGTGCAGTCTAGTACTTGGCGCGCGACCACTGCAGCCGCTTTGCGTCTTCAGCCTTCCTGTGTGATTGGTCACGGTTTTACTTAGATCGTTGTCAGTTGCACCGCAGTGAATAGGTTTTCTATACCTGAGTTTGTGTTAATTGATTGGGGTTGGGGATATTTCTTAACAAAAGGATTCCAGTTTCTTCTGTGGCCTTATTACGCTAAGTTTATTTCTGCATCTGGCAATTTTGAGTTTGACTTAACAAAGTCTCCGGACTGAAATTTCAAGTTAGCGTGGGCAAGTTTATACACGATTTGCTATTCTTTTGATAGGAGTAAGTTCTTTAATTTAAACAGGTTTTCGAGTTAACCGGTTTTGACCTATAGAGATTTCACTGTAACATCTTTAGAATTAAAACAAGTGGTAAACTCAGACAATCAACTGCAATTAAACTGCTAATATTCAAACAAAAATTGAGAGAAGGCAAACTAACCGATTTGACTTATCAAGATTTCACTGTAACATCTAGTAAGCATAGAATTCAAACATCATTAGAATTCAAAAAAATTGCTAACATTTCAAAAATTTCTGAGAGAAGGAATACTCACCGCAGAGCATTCAAAGTACACGACCTCCATCCCAGCAGCAGCTTTCTGTGCCATCTCTGCAGTCACCACTCGCCTGGTGTCCAGATCAGTCTTGTTCCCAACTAGGACAGCTGTATGATCAAGGGGATATTTATGTAAACACAGTATTATTACCCCTGCTCATCGTGCCCACAAAACATTTCTCAGACCATCTCGCCTCTCTGTGGGGATTGTACAGCTTGATGCTGCCGTTTTGGTGCAAACAGCTCATTCAAACACAACAAGCATCTCTGCCTCCACAGTACCCATTTAGCTTCTGGGAGGGAGGAAGCAAATTGTGGCAAAGTGTCTTGGTACGAACAGCTCATTCAAAAATAGACTTGAAATCAAGTCGGTAATTGAGCGGGGCTAAGTTTGCCTGTAGACTCAAGTGTAATTCAAACACAACCATCTCTACCCCAACAGTACCCGGCTTAGTCCCGGGAGAGGAGAAGCAAATTGTGACAAAGTGTCTTGCCCAAGGACTCATGCACTGCAGCCCACAATGCTGCCCATGAACAGTTCATTCAAAAATAAACTTGAAATCAAGTCGGTAATCAAGCGGAGCTAAGTTTGCCTACTCAAGTGTACTTCAAACACAACCATCTCTAGCCAAACAATACCCGTTTTAGAGGGGAGAAGAAAATTGTGGCAAAGTGTCCTGCCCAAGGACACATTCACTGCAGTTCAACAGGCAGGTCTCCAACCCACTAACATGCAGAATTACCTACATTATCTTGATTTTGCCAGACCAAAAGGTTGTGGGCATGGGGTGCAAGGGAACGGCCAAGGAAGACCGTGACTTTCAAAACGGTGCGATATTTAGCCTTCCTCGATATTTCTTTAATTCCAAAGACACCGTATCTGCTTGGATCTTACCATGGATGTCTCGCCCTGCTTTGGCCTTGACCCGTTCTAGCCATTTTACACAGCTGGATAGAGACTTCTCATTGGCCAAGTCGCACACCACAACAGCCAATGAGGGGCTGTCCCACTGTTAGAAGAATTGAAAAAAAAAATTAAAAAAAAATTAGGATTTAGGAAGATTTTGTTCAACGGCCCCGTTCCTGTAAGAGAAAAAAAAACCCAGTTATTTGGCTCTTCCAATAGTGATGTTTAAAACCAACAGAAGCATCATGGAGAGAAGCCAGGATTTTGATCTTTTTCTAAGCAAAATTTGGGTTAAAACAAAAAAAAAATGAAAGTGCAAACCAGCATTGATAAAGATGGCATCAACTTAAAGGGAATATACAACATTTGCAAACATCGAAAAATAAAACTACCAAGTTTTTGCGAAATACCTTAATAGGATGTTGGTAAATGACAGTCTAAAAGCATCCTGTAAAATTATGGCACCTGGTATACTGTCATTTTCAAGAAAAGTGGTATTTTTGTATCAATTTCCAACGCTGATCGGCCGATCAGCGTTGGAAACAACTGGCTTTTTTTCAAATACTGGCCCCAATTGACCATTGCACTTGTTTGCAATCGATTACAAACCTATGAACGGGTACGAGCCAGCTAGACTGGTTCCCTGACCTTACAATTCCCCAATGTATATAAACTGCTCTGTTTCTTCTTATATGGAGTCAGGGAACCAGACTACAGGAAAATGATCGTTTTTCTTGGTTTTTATAGCATTTTCGAACCCAAAACCTCCAAAAAGTCAGTGTAACTATTTTTGCTTTATATTTCCAACCCCCCAATTCCATCCATTTCTGAAAATTACAGCAAAAGCAAATGATGTATATTCCCTTTAAAAAAGTGTAAGAAAATTACATTTTCTACAAAAAGATACTATTCAAAATTTAAAAAAATGTAGGATCTTTAGAATTAAAAGAAGACTGTTTAAGGTTGCAGAAGTCATTTTGAAACGATAAAAAGACTTCAAGAACTATTGAGAAATAGTCAGGCTTTAATGTAATATATAATTTCACTGAAGAGAAAAACATTCAACAGTTTCAATTATTTGTTTTCTTAATGTTGCACTTTTTTGCACACTCGGTATAGGACACTGCATGCTTAAGTAAACTCAAAATGTTTTTGGAAAATCAGGCTTGATAAAATTTTTAACTCACCATCTGCTGAACATGATCTGAGAACATTTCCTTCCCTGCTGAATCATAGATGTATAATTCCTAAAAGGGACAAAAAACAAACAAGAAAGCAATTTACTACCCAGGACAATTAAATGAAACCATCTCAAACATTTTGTTTGAATAGCTAAAACTATGCATTACAAACTTGTCTTGAACAATTGAAGGTCTTAGATGAAAAAAAAAGTTTGACAGTTTAAAAATGAAACAGTAGACTTACCACACTGTTACTAGTTTCTGGAATGTTCACACTTTTAACGCACAGCTCTACTCCGATTGTCTAAAAAAAGGGAAGGAATTTTGAAGATTATTGGTGGATATAATCTTCTGCTCTAAAAAACTTTAAATACCAGTCACTTCTTGTCATTGAGGATTACCACGGGTTAGATCTTGAGTACTTCAAAAGCCAAAACTGTAATTTTTAAACGACTTCTGCATCTTTGTAACGCACTGAAATTGTTATGCCTCAAATATAGCATCGTCCCAGACTGGGACCTCGAGTGCAGAAAAACATGCAAAACATTTCCAGGCCAACTTTTTTCACTCTTCATCTGGAAAAAATCTCCAAATTTTTCATGAGGCAAAGACAAGGTCCGTACTATTTTCAGGTACCCGAGCCAGACTCTTCCATCCAGCATCTCAGCATCGACTCAGAGGCCACCCACATGGCCGCCATCAACAACAAAGGCAACTGCTACTGTTTGAAGTCTCAATTCAAGGAGGCTTTTCTTCAACATTTTACACCTGAGAGTGAAGCCAAGTGATTTCAATTTGAAGTTCTTACAGTTCTGGAAGTAAATTTGAAGCCTAAGACTAGACTGTTACATGTCCAACTGTCTGAAAAGACTGACCTCTTCACTAGTCTGGTGGTAGACTATGGAGAGATACATGTATAGAAATAGAGACCAGTACCAGATGTTTCGTTTGACACAGTTGACTGATGCAGTTCTAAAAGGGTGCTGGGCTGGTTGTTTCATATGCCAGTCTATTTTCTTTTGTTGCATGTTTTCAATACCTTAAGTTTTGGGATTCTCATACACAGAATCGAGAGAGCCACATTTTTGGACTAGCATCGTCCCAAGTTGAGACGGTCCACTTACGTTGGGGCCAATGGTATAGTGTGGGGAGTAACAAAACAAACTGATTCCAAGTGAGTAGTTGGGATTCAACAGTACAAAGGCAAACTACTTTTTGATAGTAGGCTAAACGTCAAAATGTTTACTCCGCAAACAGAGAATTCTCTTACCATGGAGTAGGCTTTTGGAAAGTGTGTGCCATCACTGTGGAAAACTTGGGTCAGTGCGCTTTTACCCACCGTAGAATCACCTGTGATACAAGTCAATGTAAATTTTGTAGTACTCATCAACTGCTTAACTGAGCAATATTGTAATTTGTAAACCACAATTCTACTGCAAGGAAGATTTCTTGAGTTCACTTTATTCTACTCAACTCTTGTCTAACAATTCATTGTTAGCCTACTTACATTAATAATAATATGCAAAATGGAATATAAAACTTTTTTGGGCGTTTTTCATTTTAAAGTGTAACAGATAACTAGGCATAAGTTTTGTTTATGTCTTACGTTTTAACTAAGTTTTCAAATTTAAGTAGGCCTAGGCCTAGGTTGGTTTGCACATTGTGTGGCAAAGGATACAGCGCAGCATTACCGCACTAGTGGGTCTATGTATTGTTTAAGTGCACAATTATGCGAAAGAAAATTTTAAGCTAATTAATTAAACAGTGCCCCCCCCCCCGGTAACCCCCCTACCCCCCCCCCCCTCCCCCCCCCCCCCCGCCCAAAAGTAAAATAATAAACCACCATGTCGCAACTGGTGAATGTAATTGTGTGTGTTTGTTGTCACTTGTCAGTTAATCATTCTTATGATAAACAGTTATTACGTACCTACAACCACACACTTTGCTCGCAAAACTACCGGCATAGCAACAGGCATTTTAATACACCTTTACTCTGAGGAGCTGAATGGTGATATTTACATCAAATTACGAGTTGTTTGGTTTCATTTTGCCACACACATTGACAGTAACTAGTGGAAACTGTACACAACTTCGTTCAATTCATGGAATGGAATGAGTGCGCTGGTATCCCTTCACGCGTATTCACATACAATTTTATACGTTCGGCAACCACTGAAACTCAGCACACTTTGATATGGAGTACAAATGTGCACAAAATTAAATGTTCATTAATTTTGTTTCATATTTAGCCCATACGGAATTAAGGCGGAGTATGCACGATGTAGACTGGACAGAGGCGGCGCAAGACTCAATTTTTTTTATTTGGGGGAGCAATTGGGGGAAATGAAATCTTGAGGTTTTGAGTTTTTTTTTTTTTTTTTTGGGGGGGGGGGGGGGGGGGACGCAGTCAAATCAAATCTGATGATATCCAATAATGTGGGAAAAGTAAGGAAGAGCCCAATAACTCGAGGCATGTTGACTTCCATTAGGATTGTATTTGTTGCAAATAAAATCCTGTATTGTTACGGTCATAATAGCTTTATTAATGGACTTTTTTTATGAAATGAAATCTTTGATGCCAAACATCATGACAAATGAGTGTACGAAAATTAATTTTAATGTAACGTGTATTTCTTGAGTTGTTGGCCCCAAATCGGGTTTGGTGGTAGAGATCGAGATCACTATAATAGAGGGCGCGCCACATAAATAGTGGTCTTAACAACGCATCAACACGGATGCTGCACAAGTGAAGAAAAAGAACACCTCGTTTCCGATGAACTACTCAAGAAATACAAAATGGATTAAATTGAAATTTCGTGCAATTAGTTTTCACGATGTGTAGCATAAGTAGTTTGAATGGCGTGAGAATCCGTGGAGCTATAAATACAATATGATCGTAACAATCTAGTGTTTTAAACATTAAAAATCCACGTTGACTTACATTAGGAGTGTATTTGTTGCAATTAAAATCCTGTATTGTTACGGTCATAATGACTTACATTAGGAGTGTATTTGTTGCAATTAAAATCCTGTATTGTTACGGTCATAATAGCTTGATAATTTGACGTTTTTATTATGAAATGAAATCTTTTGATGTCAAACATCGTGACAAATGAGTGTACGAAAATTCATTTAAATATAACGTGTATTCAGTGGCGTAGCCAGGAATTTTTCAGTGGGGGGGGGGGGGGGGGGGGGAGGCAGGAACATTTCATGGGGGGGGGGGCGTCATGTAGATCAATGATAATTATTTTAGAAACTCAAAATTTCAGTGGGGGGGGGGGCGACTGGGGGGGCGAAAAGATTTCATGTGGGGGGGGGGGGCTATCGCCCCAACGCCCCCCGTGGCTACGCCACTGCGTGTATTTCTTGAGTTGTTGGCCCCAAATCGAGTTTGGTGGTGGAGATCGAGACCAATATAGAGGGCGCGCCACATAAATAGTAGTCTCGGCAACGCATCAATACGGATGCTGCACAAGTGAAGAAAAGAACAACCTCGTTTCCGATAAACTACTCAAGAAATACAAAATGGATTAAATTGAAAATTCGTGCAATTAGTTTTCACGATGTGTAGCAAGAGTAGTTTGAATGGCTGGAGAAACCGTGGAGCTATAAATATAATATGATCGTAACAATCTAGTGTTTTAAACGTTCAAAATCCATGTTGACTTCCATTAGGATTGTATTTGTTGCAAATAAAATCCTGTATTGTTACGGTCATAATAGCTTTATTAATGGACTTTTTTTCTGAAATGAAATATTTTGATGCCAAACATCATGACAAATTAGTGTACGAAAACTAATTTTAATGTAACGTGTATTTCTTGAGTTGTTGGCCCCAAATCGGGTTTGGTGGTGGAGATCGAGACCACTATAATAGAGGGCGCGCCACATAAATAGTGGTCTCGGCAACGCATCAACACGGATGCTGCACAATCGTCACCGACACCACGAAGTAACACTCTACCGTGTTAAAGCATATTTTTTTCGATTTTCAGTTTTTTGGATTTTTAAACATTATTCATCAAGGCCTACCATTGCACGAAGTTTCAAAGCTTCAAGAGCTTTACTTTAATAATTACGCAAAGTATCTATGGCAACTTTTGCGCGAAAGTGACAATTTTCGTTTTCACGAAGTAACACTCAAGTTCCATTTTCCATTGCAATGCATGGCGCGCACTCTGCTCATAAGTGAGCAAAAACGTTTTCACGAAGTAACACTCTTCTTGTAACAAGTTACATGAGCGCGCGCGCGCTGACCTGAAGTTGCACTTTCCTCGTGTTAAATACATTGAAGAGTGTTACTTCGTGAAAACGAAAATGTACAGTTTCGCAGCTTTTTCGGTTTCACGAACTAACACTCATCTTTTTTCTCTTATTTCTTGTTTATTTAATACACAAACGAGTGAAAAACAGCAGATTTAATAAATTCAATTCATCAAGTGTCCACAACGAGAAACCCAACTGAAAAAACTCTGTCGTTTTGACGCAAAGTGTTGTTTTAGAAGGCGTTCAACTTTAGTTGCCGTTTTCTCCGATTGCTAGTTTTTTACTGGTATGTAGATGGGTGTTACTTCGTGGTGTCGGTGACGAATTGAAGAAAAAGAACAACCTCGTTTCCGATGAACTACTTAAGAAATACAAAATGGATTAAATTGAAATTTCGTGCAATTAGTTTTCACGATGTGTAGCAAGAGTAGTTTGCGTGGCGTGAGAAACCGTGGAGCTATAAATATAATATGATCGTAACAATCTAGTGTTTTAAACGTTCAAAATAAGAGCCCTTGAGGCCTGCGCGCGCGAGCGTACCGTGGGCATCACCTAAAATAAAATGGCTTGCTCGTCGTGATTGGTTCATTATGTATCCGCAGACATGCATGATTCATATTACTTGAAAACAAATGAATAATGATGAGCTCCACGAGATGGTAGCGCTCTTGGCTTCACCACTTGCACTGGTCTTTTTTCATGCCAGAATCTGGGGCGTCAGGCGTCCGGGTAGACACGCGCGCTTTGACCAAAGGCTAAATACGCGCACGAAGATGGCGCGCGCACGTGGTATGTTCCCTCAACCCTTGGGTACCGTTGCGTCGGTTCTCGAAAGTGCATGGTCAAAGTGCCATCTTATTCCACACACACAACAAAAACTTCTGGCGTGTTAATTAGTGATGAATAATGAGCCTGATTTAAGCCCCGATGTCTGTCCAAAGGTTTAGTTTAAAAAGGTGTCTCGTACGTTAATCATGTTAAAAAGTCAACCCCTTCTAGCCTAATCCCGTCCAGGTATTCCGTCAAATACAGACGGAAACTTTAGAAAACACTCCAGACTTTTTCTAATTTGCAATATATGACGCTCTGAAACCCTTTTGAAGAAATGATTTTCATGTGATTCCGTTGGACCGTAATTAGGGAATAACAGTGTGAGGACCCGGTCTTCATTGCACTGCGTCACATTATGACAGGTTAGGGATGGCCGATGTTAATAAGTTGAAGATTTTTAATTAAAAGGCCGCATCTCAGTGATTCCCGTTTGCTATTCCCAGATTCGCAGCATTGTCAATGATGCTAGCATATCGTGACTTGGGGCATGGAGGAAGGAATATGCTTGGGGCGACGGTGATCCCTGGGTAAAAGAAGTGTGAAGTGTTAATAGTATAATTTATATGTACATGTACTTCTACTTCTAGAAGTATAAAATGCAGAGTTGATGCGTCGCAGAAATTACCAGCTGCTCTCTCGTGATAGTTTCTCGTACCACACCACCTTTTATTGTTTATTTTATGGAGTTGTTTGTTTGGTGAAACCATAGAGCTATGGGTGAAACTAAGGCGGATATATAGATGCACCATTAATCAAATCATTTACTGATCCTCTCATATTTTGGGAGTACACTGACATTTTCACGTCACATCAGTCTCCCTAAACTTGGGTGATTTGTATGTAATAAATGCAAAATCGGCCGCCCATAGCTTTGAGCTTTTCATAGTAGTATGGTTCTATTTACAAGCGCCCCACGTTATGGAAATGACAAACAGAAGGACACACGACTTTTATTAACCCAGCCGCCCACCCATATTTTTTTTACTAACCAAGCTCAAGGTAGCCGCGGATTTGGCCGGATTTCTGGCCGCGCATTCAGCCACAGATTCAGCAGCGCATTCACCAAAAGACAAAAAATCTATAATACATGCGGCATAAGGTGATCTATTTTCAAGATCACTACCCCTTTAAAACAAGGTGTACCTCTCATGTTGTCAAAAACTCGCAATTTTATTTCATAATCCACGAGATCATGTTACTGGACACACTGAATTTTGGTATTGGCTTCAGCCGAACACTAATTGGTGCCTAATTAGCAGAGTTGCTGACTCGAGTCATGTGACTTAGACTCGAGTCGGACTCGAGTCGCTATTTTTGTGACTTGTGACTTGACTTGTAAATACCAGCTTTGACTTGTGACTTGACTTGGACTTGCAAACAATGACTTGTGACTTGACTTGGACTTGCAAACAATGACTTGTGACTTGACTTGGGATTGCAAAAAATGACTTGTTACCAACCCAAGTCAGACGCTACTCGAGCGACCCGTTGAATTAAGCTATTATACTTTTAATTAGCTTTTTCATTCCAGAAAATAGACCTCAGTGACTGAATCCAGTAAAATGAATAGTTTCCCACTAGTTTAAAAAGTGTTCAATAAGACCGTCACAACAAACTACAGTTTTCAATGACCAATTGTCTCTTGCTTAATGTATGGGTTGAACAAACTTTGAAAGGAACCTTTCATGAAAAGAAAGCAGGCCTTTATCAATTGCATGTAAAATACCGGATAGCCTAACCCATTGGTAGGCGTTTAGTATACATGAAAATTGAACAATAAAGTGTTAGTATACTACATGTAATCGAGTGAGGAAGTCTTTTTTTCACGGTCATCTCAACATTTATTTTTACAATGTAAAGTAAATTTATTAAAGTATACAAAGGGCTCATATCCGACAGATATGTGATAAACTACAAGAATAGTAATTGCAACACATTGAAAAAGGGGAATAAAGGAGGCATGTTCAAATAACTCGTAAGTTCACGCCAGGTTAATTCTTTTAGCTTATTACAGCTGGACAAAATAATGTGCAACTTGAGGTGTTCTTGGACAAAGATACTTGTGACTTGACTTGTTTTTAGACCAAATGACTTGTGACTTGACTTGTGACTGGACCTAATGACTTGTGACTTGACTTGGACTTGCAAACAATGACTTGTGACTTGACTTGGACTTGCAAAAAAATGACTTGCTGCCACCTCTGCTAATTAGCCCGTTCAAGTGACCATATTTTCCCTGCACAATAATTGGTTCTATTCGGCTGCGTATATCACTGCCTATTTCAAACAAAGTGTACCACGTGCATTTTGTAAAAAAACTCGCATTTTTATTTCCTAATATACGAGATCATTATACTGGGCACACTTCATTTTGGTATAAGCTTCAGTTGAAAACTAATTAGTGCCTAATTAGCCCGTTAAAGTGACCCTATTTTACTGCACAATTAGAATGCGTTCTTTTCAACTGCGCATAATTATCACTGCCCCTTTAAAACAAAGTGTACCTCACATGTTGTCAAAAACTCACAATTTAATTTCATAATCTACGAGATCATATTACTGTTCACATTTAAATTTGGTATTGGCTCGAGCCGAACACTAATTGGTGCCTTATTAGCCCGTTAAAGTGACCCATTTTACTGCGACCCCAGGCAGTCAGTCATTATACGCAGCCGAATAAAAACCAATTCTAACAGTGCGGGGAAATGGGGTAACTTGAACGGGCTAATTAGCTGAAGCTTATACCAAAATGTAGTGTGCCATGTAACTTGATCTCGAAGATCATGAAATAAAATTGTGAGACTTTGACAGCATGTGAGGTACACTTTGTTTTAAAGAACATACAGTTTATTGAAATTCAATCTGAATTCAAGTGAACAAAAATAAAGCACTCTGATAACTCAAGAAAAACACATTGCACTGAATTGAAATTTCGTCCAATAATTGTTCTGGATATAGGACTCAAACGTTTTGAAAATCGACGGGAACACTATGCAGAATAAATTTATAATGATTCAAAGAAAATACAGTTTATTAATCGCGAAAAACTCAATCCGAATTCAAGTCACTTTTAGTTGAATAAAAAGAAAGCACTCTTTCTGGAGATGATAACTCAAGAAAAACACATTGCACCGATTTGAAACTGCGTCCCATAATTGAATGATGATATACGACACAATAAATTTGAAATTTGACAGAAACTGTTGAAGAAAAAAATTAATACAACAAAAACAAATACTACAGTGTGTAAGGGCACTCCCGTACATTTTACCAACATCAATTTCTTCCAAAAGAGGGCGCGCTACACAAATACTGGTCACCACCGTAAAGACGTCTGTCAACGTGGATCAGGATCTGCCCAAACGAAGTTGGCATTAAGTGAACAAAAATAAAACACGCCTTGTGGAGACGATAACTCAAGAACGACACAGTGCACTGAATTGAAATTTGGTTCAATAATTGTTCGGGATACAGGACACAAATGGTTTGAAAATCAATGGGAACCCTTGAAGATTAAATTTAATATGATTTAAAGAATATACAGCTTATTAATCGCGAAAAATTCAATTCGAATTCGAGTCACTTTTAATGGAACAAAAATAAACCCCTCTTTGTGGAGACGATAACTGATGAAAAAGACATTATATTGATTTAAAATTGCGTCCCATAATTGACTGTGATATACGACACAATAGTTTCAAATTTGACAGAACTGTTGAAGAAAAAAAGTAATGCAACAAAAACAAACACTACAGTGTTTTAAAGAGGCAGTAATATACGCAGCCTAATAGAACCAATTATAATAGTGCATGGAAAATGCGGTCACTGTAATGGGCTAATTATGCACCAATTAGTGTTCGGCTGGAGCCAATACCAAAATTAAGTGTGAACAGTAACATGATCTCGAAGATTACGAAATGCAATTGTGAGATTTTGACAACATGTGAGGTACAATTTGTTTTAAAGGGGCAGTGATATGCGCAGTTGAAAAGAACTCATTCTAATAGTGCAGGGAATATGGGATCTCTTTAACAGGCTAATTAGGCACTAATTGGCGTTCGGCTGAAGCCCGTACCAAAATGAAGTGTGCCCAGTAACATAATCTCGTAGATGATGAAATAAAATTGTGAGTTTTTGACATTACGTGTGGGTATATTACACTTTGTTTCACTGAAGTGATGCATTTACTTTCAAACGTCTCCAAAAGCGTTGAAAAATACCGCGAAATGTCACGATTCCCATCATGCAGCTAATTTAATAGTAATTATTGCGTCAAAAATTGTTGCTTTTAAACGGTTGCTTAAAATATTGTTATTTGCCCGTTTATTATGGAAAATTCGTTGATTAAATGGATCCCCTTTTGCCGCATGTATTATACACTTTTTAATTTTGGTGAATGCGCGGCTGAATAACTCGCTGAATACGCAGCCAGACATCCGGCCAAATCCGCCGCTACCTTGAGCCCGGTTTTTTTACTCGTGCCAGTCGTGGGCAAAATATTGTGCATGTGGTATGTTTACATTATTATTTACGATAGATCGATCGCTGCAAGTTGGCTCATCATTTTTCAACTGAAGTTCCCACAGCCTCGTACTTGTAGTCGCATTGTATACTGCAAATAGGCAAAACAAACCAAAAGATGACGGAAACCGATTCATCGACATCGAGGAGAAAGGGCAAATTCGCAGCACTGATTCTTGCAAGAGGCGGAAGCAAGGGCATCAAGCTGAAGAACATCAAGTTGCTGGCTGGTCACCACTGATTTCTTGGGTCCTCCGATCAGCCGTAGATTCGGGAGGTATAAAATGACATGCTATTATTTTTTTATAGTAACTTTATATATTCATAGTAATTATTTTTTTCTTGTAAATATAACATTATGTAGGCTATGTGGCTAGGCAAATTACCATGAGTGCTTGTCAACAAAGACCCAGACAGCTCAACCGCTCCACACTGACATGACTGAGCGGGGTGTCTGTCAAATTTTGCGGGGCTCTGTCATGTCTGTGCCCGGCCCGATCTGGTACGGTGTCGAAGTCTGTCAAGCGAGCTAATTTATTTTTGAATATTCATGATCTTACGATTTGGCCCTTATTATTGAGTTCTGATTGATAATGATTGATAGGCCTAAGTCAAAGTGATAACTATATGACCATGATAACCCAGAGCACAATATCTTTCTCTTTAAAATGAACTATGAAATGTCATATTTGTTTTTTTCTCTCTAAAACTTTTTAAAGCAAACCTTATTAAAGGAGATTTGGGTGAGCAGTGTTCTCGAAAAAGTGTCACATCACATGCATACATGCCTGAATGCATCAGCCCATGTAGTTATTTTAGAGAGGAATTTAACATCATCAATTGTGAAATTAATCAAGTTTTGAGTGGAATTGTCACATATTTATAAACGAAGCTAACTCACACATGCTACTCATAACGGTTATTAAATTATTGTCAAGAGGAATTTAAATTGTTTTTTATCCATTTAAGCCTTTAGTAGCGCCAGAAATTGCCATGCCTATTACTCATTGTAACCGCCTGCAACCTTTGAGCACTCCATGTTTGATTGATTCTTCAGTGAATAAACACAGTGTGATACAATGTAGTACATTAAGTGCTAATGAGTTAATTGATCCTTTTTTATTTGTACAGAATTTGACGAAGTGTGGGTCTCCACTGATCATGATGAGATAGCTCGCATCTCGGAGGAGTGGGGTGCCAAGGTGCATCGGAGGTCCGCGGAAGTGTCACATGATGCCTCCACATCCATTGAGACTGTACAAGAATTTTTGAAATTTCATCCAGGTAGTAAAATTCATTCGAGTCACCTCTCCCACTAGACTACTCACCGTCGATATCAGAATTTTCATTAAATGATATATCGGAAATCCAATATCGAGAATATTTGATATATTTATTGATTATCCCATGTAAAAAGTTAAAGACCATAAAGATAACACTTTGATTTAAAAAAACCCCAAAAGTCCCAATTTTCCACGGTTTTCTCTGGAGCATATTGCTCAAACTTTTTAAAGGGAATGTATAAGGGAATGTGTGTAATCAATTGCAAAGAAAATGCGGAACACCTAAATATGAAAATTTCGGAGCAGTTTTTGAAAAAGAGCAAGTTTTCTCCAACGCTGGTCGGCCGACCAGCGTTGGAAAAATGCAAATTTTCTTGAAAATGTCAGCGCACCAGGAGCCACGATTTTACAGGATGCTTTAGACTGTCATCCCTAACAATCCAGTATGGTCTTTCGTGATGATTCGATCATTTCGTTTTATGATGTTTGCAGATGTTGTATCTTCCCTTTAAAATAAATCTCAGCACTGAGAGTTTGTCCAGAATGGACAGGTTCTTTTGAGGTTTTACATTGGGGGAGACCGCAAATTCTAGGAAAGGCAGAGCGCAAAGCGACGTCGCTTGACATTTCGCGATGTTTTTAGTTTGAGTCACAACCACAAATTGCCACCCGACTTTTATTTCATTATACAGCGAACGTTAAACACATAGAAAAAAAAAAACACAAACAGGAGATATATTGTGACGCTAATCTGACACAATTGTGATATGATTCCTCAATTATAAAAATTAAACATTTCGAGTGAACCGAACTCAATGCAAATTTTTTACAGAAAATAGTAGGCCCAACAATAAATATGCTTCACAATTTTGTAAGAAAAGTAAAATAACATCTTCTTTTTTTTTTAAATTCTTCTACAACCTAAGAGGAACATTTTTTTTGGGGGGGGGGGGGGGCCCTGTATTGTAAAACTTGGAATGGAGCATATAAACTAGTGTTACATTAAATAGCCTTTGTTTCAAAACCATTGAACTGAATCTAACAAAACTTCACAGAAAAAAGAAAAATGTTTGGGCTTATCAATTCTATAATTGCATTTGAAATATTTTTTTCATAAATTGTGAGAAATCTGTATACCCTCCAGAGTGACTTTTTGGGGGGGACGCCCTGTATAACGTACATTTGGGCTAGGTCTGGCCATAGTGACCGTTTTAGCCGATTTTCGGCTAAATTTGACAGATTTTTTTTATAAAAAAACGAGTTTGACAGAAAATTTGACAGAATGGATTTTTTTGGCAGATTCCTGGCAGAATTCCGCAAAAATGGTTGTTTGACAGAAAAAAACAAAGCAAATTTTTTAAAAAATGGGAAAAAAGGTCTAAAAAAGCTTCAATCTTTTCAAACAACCCCTTGCAAAATTGGATAGGTTACCTGGTCTAGGTGCTGAGGTTCACTGAAAACCAGACTTTCGTCTTGACGCAACCGCATTTTGCCTGAAGTTTACGCATTTTCATAACATCTTTATGTTTTGTAACTATAGTTTGTTTATAATGTAATTCTAACATTAATTAAGGGAATATTACAACATCTGCATGTGATATGAAATGTTTATAGTGCATTGCGAGTAATTCTGGGGAATTTGGCAGATTGTTGATAAATCTGACGGATTTTTTGAAGTGACTTTAGCAGGATTTGGTCATGACCTTACAGTCACCCTGGGTCTGGCTGAGTTTGTATTAACGAGAGTCGACTGTATCTGTTTCTCCCCCGTCTAACAGAAATTGAACTAATTGGGCAGATTCAGTGCACGTCGCCTTGCCTCCAGCCATGGCACCTACAGGGCCCCGCTCGTATGGTCAGGGAAGGAGGCTACGATTCGGTGTTCGCCGTCTCACGCAATCATCTCCTCCGATGGAAAGAGGTGAAAAAGCCAGGTATGTCAGCTTTCAAAAGCCTTGGAGAGAAGAAAGCTTCTTAGTGCTCTTGTGTGACCACTATTTATACAAAGACATTTTGCGTCAGGGACATGTACATTCAATATTGGTAATATTGTCTTTCACCGACATCATTGTTAAAACACTGTTTACACAGTGTTTAAGTGGCGGATCCAGGGGTGCGGAGGAGGTGCCCCCCCCCCCCCCCCCCCCCCCCCGCAGTGACTGCAGTTTTCTCAAATAAGGCCATTTTTCCACTTGATAGCCCTTCTGCAACCCCCCCCCCCCCCACGGCCAACTTTACTTCCCAGAGATTAGTTGAGGGTGGAGCACAAGTGTTGTGAGTACAGCACATGCCAAATGAGGCTTATAGTTCCTGTGGACAACGAAAAGTACTCCTGAAAGCTCGCAAAAGTCCTACTTTTATCTACTTTTGTCCTCCAAAGTCCTACTTTTGTCCTGTTTTTGTTTGGAAATTTTGATCCTACTGCTCTACTACTTTTTCACCTGGGTCTGCTTGAAAGCTTGCAAATACAAATATTTGTTTCACCAAAAAAAAAGTTTTTCAATATAATATAACATTCATTATAATATTTTTCTTCAAATTAGGTTTTGCCCTTACGCCGATATACATAACATAATATAAACATTACATAATATAGGGCCTAAACTATGAAATAGAGGAAAACCTATGTAAAATCAACCCTCCCCAACACACACTCATACATATATTCTAAAATTTAATAATGGTACACATGGTCATACGTATTTCACCACTGTGGGTATATTCAGTGACACTGCAAAAATGCATTGGATTTCCTTTATAGATACCTTTATAAAGAATCAATAACATCCGTTTGCATAGCATGCAAGCTACACTTTGAGCTGCTATTTAGAACATCTGGTTGTGATTTCTGTTATTGAAAGGGATTGTTAATTGTCCAGTCTTGTGTGGATTCAGTTTTCCATACTAGATCCTTCAGGACTTTGCTGTACACAGCATATGCAAAACAAATAAACACCCAGTTTTAATTGAATAATGTTAGCGCTGTTACATGTTTGCATTTTCCCAGTACGTAACAGTGCGTTTGTTTATGGTGTAAATTGTGGAGACACACATGCAACATCATCGATGTATCGAGGACAGGAACCAAATCGAGGACTCCTCGAAGTAGGATATAAACATCCACACAACTATCCTTTCAAAACTGGGCGTTTTTTGAGTTATTTCTGTATTATGCGTGTAAAATTTATTCTGTATAAATTCGAGCTGTTTTGATGCTAGTTGTGATTTCATTCGTAAAACCACTTTTTTTTTGCATTGGTGATTGGTCACCGCTGTTCCCGAGACACACAACATGTATATCGTACACTGAGAGCGACACGAAAAAACGTATTCGTACCGTACTCCTTTGTGTCCGATGTAAACAAGCGGGTTTTTCTCATCTTTTCTCAGGAACAGTAATACATTAGGTTGGGTTTCCTTTCAACCAGATGTTTGCAATAGGATAAGTAAACAATCCAAAACATGACATTTTTTAGGGATTTCAGGACCTAGTGCCCCTTTAAATTCTTGCAAGAAAATTCACAGATTTTTATCAATGTGTACTGAAAATCAAAATCTACATTTCAAAACGTAACACTCCATGGCGGTAGTTTACAGCGCTTTACATTGACCATGTCATGTTGTACATTAAGGCCTAAGCTAGAGTTGTACCAAATATATTTCTATCATTGCAAATACAGTCCTTCTGATTTGAGGCGTGCGATCACACCCCCACACCATCGCACACCTAAAAGCTTCCTGAGAAGTGCGAATAATTGCACGCCTGAATTTCCCTAGACCACAGATCACACACCCAGAAAACCACACACCTAGAAAAAACACATACCTAGAAAAATCCAGGTGTGTTTTTTTTCCACACGCCTGTGATTTTCAAATCAGAACTGCAAATATTGTACTTTGTTGTTTCGAATTTTTTTTTTTGCTCTGAGTGTAACGCCCATAACAATGGAATTGCCCAAATGTTGTAGTTTTTCATTCTGGCCATTCTTTGTGGAGTACCATCGATCACAATCGATTGCATAGATACCAAGTGGGTAAATTTAAACACGGGAGTCTGTGACTAGACTGGTCAGTGTTTGGTACAAGACGTTCACATGAAAAAGTGAGCACGGCCTGGCGACTTTTACACGATCTGTTATTATTATTACCTGTGTTTTCATGGCTAACTCTACCTGTTTGGCTACTACACATGTTCCTGTCTATTGTGACTTCCTTTGCAACGTAGTTGTTTGTCATTTTAGGGCATGAATGTTGACCAAGTGGCTATTTTTCTTTCGTAATTTGTGTTTTGAAGGTGAGCAGACAGAGGCAGAAAACTTCAATCCCGCCAAGAGGCCGCGGCGGCAGGACTGGGCCGGTCATCTCTGCGAAAATGGAGCCGTTTATTTTGCAACTCGGGAACTGCTCATGAGCGGGCTCTTCCAGGGAGGAAGGTAAAGTAATAAAGTAGGGAAGAAAAAGTTGGCAAAAAATATTCAGGGCAATTTGAAATGGCAAAAAAATACCTCAGTTTCCAATATTCTGTTTTGGACCAATTTGATTGCCCTTGGCAAAACGTGAAATTGTGTGCGCTCACTTGTTAATTTTTAGCATACTTATGCATGCTTGAAAAGGACTCCTACATCTGCATGTATGAGTATAAATGAAAGTACACACGCCTATGTCAACATATAAACATTAACAACTAAATTTATACATTTAAATAACAATTTTACTTTTCAAATTGTGCAAAAAAGCACTGTAAATTATCATCAGCAAAACATCCATCAGTGTGGACAATTCAATTTTTACTTTGGTAAAATTTGGAATAAATGTATATTAAGAAGAGCGTTTGGTTCATAAAAAAATGCATGAGGTGTCTTCAAAGGTTATACTTAAACATGAAAATGTTACTCTTGGTATCATGTAAACCATGAGCAGTTGATAACTTGGGCTTGCCTTCTTGCCTTGCGTTGTTTTAACTACCAGGGTTGGCTATTTTGAAATGGGGCCAGAGTACAGTATTGACATCGACACCGACGTTGACTGGCCAATCGCGGAGCAGCGGGTCATCAAGTTTGGTTACTTTGGCAAGAAGAAACCGCAAGGGGTACGACTCGTGGTCTTTGCAGCAGACGGTGTTCTGACCGACAACATGTTACACATCACCTCTGCCGGTAAGCTGCTATAGATAAGCGAACGAGGAACCAGGGAGCTACGAACTGTCGGGCCCCCGCCAGGCTCCCATAGAGCAGTGTTGCAGTCGAGTACTTTATTCGGAGTACCGAGTACTGCCGAGTACTTAGTTAACCGAGTATGAGTGCTTGTACTTCCGAGTACGAGTGCTTGTATTCCGAGTACGAGTACGAGTACTTCTATTTCCCAATGCAGCCATACGGCAAATGCTTCATTGTGCGCCCAGGCCCAGTCAGACCGATATACAGACCCACTCACGGCTAGCTGTTAAATGTGTTTGTCCGGACGTGCACAGAGAAAAATCAGGAAACTTTCATTTCTCTGCAAGCCAATCAACCATTTCCAACTGAAAGTATCGATAATAAAATAAGGCCGTGGTAAGTCAAGCTAAACCATTTTTTTTGTTAGTACTGCTTTTCGAGTAAGAGTACTTTGATGATCGAGTACAATTTTGATATGTCGAGTACGAGTACTTTGCTGCCCGAGAACGAGTACCATCATTTCGAGTACAAGTACTTTGACATTTGAGTACGAGTACTCCAGTAGTATTGAGTACCATTTCGAGTATGAGTACTACAACACTGGAAAAGTACACACGTAAATAAAGTGTAACGTCCGCGGTACAGATGCTTAAATTGATCAAAATTTTGGGTTTTTTACACAAGGTTATGTTTTTGACAACAAATGAATATTTGGCATCCGATATATATCTTGTACCCACTTACACCCCTATTTTTTTCTTCTTTCTTATTAAAAATGTGCTTAAGTATTGTAGCATATTGTATCTTGACTTTTTCTCTTTGGCAGGCGATGAGTTTCGTTCATACAACTTCAGCGATTCCATTGGCATCCAGGAATTAATACAAAAGGGAATGGCAGTCCGAATCCTGAGCTGTAAGTAGTTGTCTGAAGCCACAATTCATTTTGAATTTTCAAATGTCAAAGTGGTTCAGGGAAACTTTTGTCAGTACGCTCGGAGTCATTGTGAAAAAAGTTGAATGTAGTAAAAAAATCTCTGTGAAGTAAAATCAATTATTAGTCATGCATTGAATCCCATTGAAGCAGAGCTAGTTATGTGTGGATTACAAGATATTTACAATACGTTTGTATAACTATCATAATTATTCCTGTGTTTTTTCCCCTATTCCCCTTGAGCTGGTGGATTTGAAGTCATTGTTTTCTTTCTTCTGCAGGTGAACAGAGCATAACTCACCAGAAATACGCAGACAAGCTGAATCTGCCTTTGACCATGGGATGCAAGGACAAATTAGCCGTCTTGGAAGAGTGGAGAAAAGAGTTGCAGCTGGACTGGCTGGACATTGCTATTATGGGTAAGTTAACTCCAACCTTCCCAGACCCTAACTTGGCATTTTATTGCAAGGAACCTATCTCCATCTAGTTTTGCAGACAAATCCATCACATCCTGACAAAAGTCCTCACACATAGACACAAGTCCTGACAAAAGTCCTCACACATCGACACAATTCCTCACAAGTCCTCACAAACCTCGCAAGTCCACACAAGTCCTCAAACATCCTCAGAGGTCATTACAAGTTCCTAACAAGTTCACACAAGTCCTCACAATTATCCATGTCCTCCATGTCCTCAAAGTCCTCATGTCTCACAGTTCTTCTCAATCCTCTTAAGTCCTCACAGATCTTCACAAGCCCAAACAAGTCCTCATACATCCTCGCACATACTCAAAGGTCTTTGCAAGTCCTCACAAGTTCACACAAGTCCTCACAATTCTTCACAGGTCCTCACAAGTCCACACAGATCCTCACAAGTCCTCAAAGTCCTCACATGTCTTCACAATCCTCATAAGTCTTCGCATGTCTTCACAAGTCCTCATACATCCTTACAACTCCTCAAAAGTCTACAAGTGCACATGAGTGCACCCAAGTCTTCACAAAAGTCTTAAAAGTCCACACAAGTCCTCACATGTCCTCACAAGCCCTCGTGCACAAGTCCTCACAAGTCGTCAAGTGTAGGGCTGTCCATTACTGAATAAATTAGTATTCAAGTATTAAAAATTCGCTGATCAAGTTTTACATTTGCTAGCTACAACAGCGTGCCGCACCTTTCAAACTTTGTAAGCAAAGCGCCCCAGTGAAAATGTGTGTGCTGCGTCGATATTATGGGCCTCTGGAGTGTTTTGCAGTAGGCCTAAGTATGTTATAACTGTCCATGGTCTTTAACCTTTGAAAACAGAACTGCATCATTTTTTCACTTCATCTATAGCCTACAACTGATCAAAATGTAGAACAGGTTTTATGATGTTTAAGAAGTAGCAAAAGAGTTATAACCATTGGAGAAACATTACCGTATTTTTCATGTTTGAAACATTAAGATAATTTTGAAAGCCTTACAATGACCAGAAAGGCATGTTTGATTTGATTTACTTGTCTCATTGCAGGGTGTGACACGCCAGACTTTGAATGCCTGAAGCGCTGTGGGGTCAGCGGTTGCCCCGCCGACGCACAAGCGCCGGTCCAAACAGCGGTACAGTTTGTCTCCAAGCTTGCTGGCGGCCGGGGCGCGGCCCGGGACTTTTGTGAGTACCTCCTGTTACTCCGGGAGAAAGCCAAGTCGGCTGTGGAACAAGAGAAATGCGCAACTCCGAAATAGTTGGCTCATTGCTTAAAAGTTTGGCTGTAGAAGGTATCCAACCTCGATAGTGGCACCTCACTTTCAACTAGGCTTGCATGGTACTTTTTTGTAATCCCAAAACCTTTGTTGGAAGGTGATTGCTTCACACTACATGTACACTACTAAGATGAGAGTGAATTTTCTTACTCTAGTTTTCATTCAAGGCCAAAGGTGTAAAGATGAAACCATGTTAAAGGGAGTTGTCAGTGAAGTTTTGTAGAATCTATACTCTAGTACATTGTGCAGTATCTGCACCGTCACAGGCTGAATCATAAACTCATTCAGTTTTGTTGTGTTGAACAGAAAATTGAATTTGTTTTGTTAAACTTATGTTTTTTCCCCATGTACTTTTTACCAATAGTCATGAAGTGAACATGACTTCAATTCGGGCCAAAATTAAATTAATAGTTCTGCTTCGGATTACATGGCATTCGAAAATAGGGTAGGTAAGTTGGGAATCTTTTTTTTCTCCAATTTTTGTGTGCAAGATCATATGGAGGTGTCTGCGTGTAGTCAAGGGTAAAAGTAGAAATTGGGGTTTGGGTGTTTTTTGCTCATAGCAGAACTATTTTTTGTTTGGCCTCATAGAGTGCCAATGTTGTTTACTTAATGAAATATATATTACTTTGCTTACCGGATGACTGAGCTAAGTTGAGTTTGAAATTCAAAACTGCATTTCGCCCCCGTAGAAACAGACTTCCATCCTGTAGGAAAGAGCTTGCAGATTATGTACTTTTTGTAATTTGTAAATCTCCATGATTTGAGGTTTGAGGAATTCATGTTTAAATTAGCTGAAATTGTTTATTGTAAAATTGATATTTAATTGTTGAATTTTATTTTACAGGTGAGGTAAACGGACTAAAATATTACTGAAATGTACTTGTGGTTATTTTATAGGTGTTTTTTTTTTTGTGCTGTACAGGGCGACCCAAAAAATATGGAACCCTGAAACATGTGCCCTTTTTTCCAAAACGTGATCTGTGAATTTTTATGTTTTGGATATCAGATTAAAGCTGAGAGTTTTTTCTTCCAAATAACGAAAAAAAATCATGAAAACCTGGCATTACCAATGGCATTATCACAGTTAAGAAACAGTCAGTTGAAGAGGTCTTCCATTTGTGCAATTTCTTTAATATTTTGACAGATTTGTGATGCTGAAAAGGTTTCATAGGACTAAAAATGATAAGATACCTGTTTTGGTGGAAAATAATAGGTATTTCCATCAATTCATTGGTTCTGTTGTCATATTACGTGCCTTGTTGTTTGTAAGGATTAGGACACAATGCGCTACATGTATTTCATGCACAAATAGGTACAGTGTAAATCCCTTAACTGTGGTAATGCCATTGGAATGCACCAAAACGATAATTAGCATTTTCTCAGCAACCTAATGTGCTGTTGTCATGAATTTTTTTCCCAGAATTTGAAAGAAAAAATTCTCGGCTTTAAATTGATATTCAGAACATCATGTTTTTGGCAAAAGGCAAATGTTTCAGGGTTGCATTTTTTTTTAGGGTTAGTCACCCTGTACAGTCGTCATGCAACTTATCTGAGAAAATGTGCGTTTTGTTGTGCTATTTACCCCTTCCAATTGCAAGGCAAAGTTGCAATGCAACTATAGGGCGAGTACCACCCATCCATTGATATTGACAGTCTCTTGAAGAAAAAAGTTAAAACAGTTGTTGTTAACATCCAGTGAATTCTTAATCATGTTATTGAACCTTTTGCAATGAATCATGCAACGCGTGCTTGTACATGTATGATGAAAAACAAAACAATATTAATTGTAAATGTGCTCTTCAATAAATTCGATTTTTGTTCATTGACCCTAACCTTCCCAAATCCTCCAAAATCCTCCTTGCAAAATGGAGTATTTGCAGGGTTGGGGCTATATGGCGTAATGTGTGGCTGATTTTGGAGGATGCACTGTGTGACATCACGTAGCAACAACCGGCTGAATGAGAATCATGTCCCAAATACCGATTTTGGGATTGTGTCATGACTCAGCTACTTTTGAATTGAAATCGGGATCCAGAATATTGGGTTTTCTCAAAATGTACAGCATTCACAGAGATAACGCTTCATCAGGTTAGTTGTTAAACACCCGGCTTTTGATTTAGTGCACTTTCGTTTCGAACCAAAAAAAGGGCACAAATGACAAATGGTCTACTCTATCTTTTAAATAACTTTAAAGAAATTAACTCGTTAGTCCCTGTACCACCCCAAACCCCCCTGCCTATTACTCCCTGTAACGCCCCAAACCACCCCTGCACTTGATGTTTTTATGGATTCATTTAATAGTGAATCAACACAATGTTTTACAATGCGTACAGGTGGTAATGGATTAAAGGTTTTAATTTTTGGGGGCGGGGCAATAAAACTTGACTCTTTTACTGTCTTTACTTTACTTGATTTATCAGTTGCCAAATTCCGCAGTTTTGTTTTGAAGATTACATTTACAAGTCTCTCTCAAATGACGTCACCTCCTACAGATTGCCACGTGCATTGGCATTTTGTGCGTTAAATTGTCATGACGCGCATCAGCTGCGCCCTATTTCGAAGAAATTTTGAGCTGCATACGCGCGTGTTTAGAACATTTTGCAAACTGCGTGCACAAGCACCTGATGGCGTTGAATACACAGTTATGTTCCTACAAAGATGGCGTCCTATGAGAGAGATCTATTGGTAGATAGAATTTATAGGTTGAATAGGGGTGTGTAATAATGGGTACCCGATTGATCAATTAAAGAAACCAATCTCAAAATTTAAATCTTGGAAGCTGCTGTTCACATCATTCATAGAGGTCCGCATGATAATAGTACAACATTGGGGTGTCAATACAGAAAAATACAAGTGTGTACAGTGAGCTCTTAAGCTTCACAGTGTAAATTGGATTTTCGAAAGCGTCATAAACATGAATCTGTTTTGTTTTTCCATGTAGCCTTGTTTTTCATTTTGAAAACTCCCAGTATATGACATTCAAAACCTTTCTTTTTCATTGTCTGAGAAGTTACTAAGTAACTTGTAAAGTTGGTTATGGGTACTCGATTCCATAATCTGGAACCGGTTTCTGACATCAACAGTCGAGTGATCGGGTACCCAGTTCCGATGCACAGCCGTAAAGGTGAATTGTTAAAACGGTTATTTTATTCTTAAAAGTTTTGTTAGTCATGTTATACAGAAATATTTTACTAAGATCTGCTTGAAGGTGTGGGTATGAGAACTGTAACACATCTGGTTGTGTTTCAGTTTCCAGCATTACAGACTAAATTTATATGTATTCATTGTTTAAATTTCTTATATCTGTGCTTTGGGGCGTGAAACCCTTAAATAGTCTTGAAAATTGAATATCTAATATTTTTATCATCAGTAGATGAACATGAAAATAAACACGAATATAACAAAGACATCTGAGGCTCACTGTTTAAGCATAATAAAACAATTTCCTCACTGCGTTGCTTCTAATTGTAGTCTATGTAACAGACCCTTGCGAGGGTCTTTCATATGTGAGCCAATTTGCTGATTAATTATGCAAGACAACTGCCTCTTGACCTCTAGATTTTTACCAATCAGCGGGCACTTTCTATATCAGGTCTCGTCATGGATAATACAACCTAGACACGCTGTGAATTGAGCAAAAAAGTCTGCGGTCACACACTACGTAATGATACGTTACGATTCTCAGAGCCGGGCCAATCGCGCTCAAGTCTATGTTTGGTAGATAAATTCTCGCCGGCTGTTGAATTTCAAAAACACTGCATCTGAATCGACCAATCACAGTTTTAGTCCTGATCACAAACTAGTCGCATAAACCTGCATAGGGCTCCATGGAGAACAGGAGATACTCAGACTACTTCTACTGCTAACAAAAAAAAAGATTCAAATTTACTGACCCCAAATATACACACGTTTCATTGGAATGTTCAAATAGTACATTTATAAAAACAAACTTAAAAGATATATTTAAATGAGCCAAATCTGCAAATTTATAAAATATCATTTATAAAATGATGCAATTTTTTGATGCAGACAGTCTCAGTACGATTTCTCAGAGTTAGAAAAACAATTCGGCAATTCAGTAATCATTTATCTAGACCTGAATAATGTTCATACTTAATTTATCCAATATACATATTATGGTTTAATTTATAAAAAAATAAATTTAAATACATCAGCTTCAAATGATATTCCACTTTGTCATTCCAAGATGCAAATGACTATATGTAAATAGCCTTTCCAATAAAAAACAATAATTCAAATTCTTAATTAGTGCATTTTAAGATATGAGACGTGGTACGTCAAAATCAGGCACTTTTGGGCAAGAAGTCAATTTGAGTTATTGCAATATCAGTAAAATATAGACCATGCTCTTTCAAACGCGGCTTTGTTTTTTTAAATTGGATATTCCAAAGCAACGTTATTACATTTTAAAATTGAACTTCTCGAAATGTCACGCTAATTTTGCATCATTTTCAGAACAAAGCCTTGAACAAAGCATCATTTTGTGGCATGACATGCCTCCCTGAAGGTGTTTTAAAAAACACTGTCTAAATTTTACTTTGAAACTTTCACAGAACATTTTAAACAGTAGTAGCATCACAAATTTATAGAAAATCTCAAAATCGCTGAAAATCACCCCCATGTCATTCTGCAGCTCTGCCCATAATTCTGCCTGATTTTGACATACCACATCACACATGTGAAAACTTCCAAGCCTTCATGTTATGACTGATTGATTTTTCAATTATCAGTCCTGTAGTCACCCTCAGCTAAGAATTGCCATATGTAGACTCACTCAAAACCTTCTTAAGTACAATATAATTTTCAGTGTTTTAATGATTGACATTCAAATCCTGCCTTATTCAAAGTAGTAATACATCAAAACGATTCTTATCTTTCAAACTTTATAAGTCCAAATTTTGTTCAAATCGTCCGTTCATTCCACATTTTTATTCAGCCATCTTTAAAATCTATCCGAGACCCCAGTACAGGGAATTTTATAGTACTGTGGGATTTTAATTCTCAGGATCAGTTTTACAATTTGGCACTAGCCATAAATCTTTTCCCCATAGCCTCGAGATTGTTGTCGTCAGTCATCCAGCTCCCCCCGTCCACGACCATGGTATGCCCCGAGATGTAGCTGGCGGCTGGGCTGGCCACAAAGACGGCGCATTCGGCAATGTCGCGTTTCGTTCCCACCCGCTGAAGGGGAAGGTTCTGTGCTAGCTGGTCCAACCCTTGCTTGCCCATTGCACCACCACCTGTGAAATGTTTGAAATAGGTACCAGTTATTTCAGTAAGGCATATCTCACAGCTTTGTGTATAACATGTGTTAGGTACTTGGAAGATCCAGGGTTCAAACTGCGGAGGGGGGAAATGTTGGGGGGGGGGGGAGTTCCTAAAATTGAGATACTAACATCAAGATCTTAGTGAAAGGTTTTCCCATTTCACACCTTAATTCTGTATAGAAGTCAGTACTCAGCGGTGTAGCCGAGGGGGGGGGGGGGGTGGAGGGGGCACGCCCTCTATAAAAAAGTCGATCCTCCAGTGCCCCCCCCCCCCATTTGAAATTTGTTAGACCAAAAGGTGACCATGTCAACTGTCACATGTCACATGTTCCCCCCCCCCCCCCCCCCCCGTAACATCCAGCCCCTCGCCCCTATATAGTGAGAACCATGGCTACGCCGCTGCATATACTTCACCTAAATCATACCTTTCAAATGCTACTGTACACAAAACCTTAGCTATCCCAGATGCAGAATCAATAATGTAGGACATGATTGACACAAGTTAAGCAGAAGAAAAAATTCAGGTGCTTATTAGCAAAAATCTGCTGAGAAGTGAGAACCAGTCAAAATCAGATATACAGGGCATGACATTACAAGCCCGGTTACCAGTCTTTGCTTCATGTTTTCAGCGCTTACAGGATTAGACCTTAACTTTTATTTTCACTAGCCAGCCAGGCTACTGAAAAAGACTCTTAACTAGCCCCTGGACATTTTCACTGGTTTGTATGTTTTTCTTTTATAGAGTGTCTAATGGTCTAATAAACATCTATGTACATACATGTAAAACGTGCATCCTGAGGCAATCTTGTCAATGTTTTTAATAAACCGATCTAATAATTAACCCTAAACAGTTAAAAAATTAGACACAAATTGATACAGGTTTGCTTTGTGAATTTAATGATTTCTTCCTATCCTTTCATCTTTGCCGTAGCCCAACAATTTTTGACTCGCCAGCCGGGCTACTCAAGGAATAGTTTGACTAGCCCGCCGCTGTTTTGACTAACATTTTGCGGGCTACCCCTAAAGCCGAACCCTGGCTTATAGCCAATTATAACAAGACTCACTTGACAGTTATACTGAAAGGATTTATCGGAACGTACCCAACTTGTACCCACCCCAAATCTACAATTTTGCATCAGGCACCCTTCTCCTCATGGCCTCCATGTTATTATCCCCCGTCATCCAACTCCCCCCGTCCACAACAATGGTATGCCCCGAGATGTAGCTAGCGGCATGGCTGGCCACAAAGACGGCACAGTCGGCGATTTCACGCTTGGTCCCATAGCGTTGAAGTGGGATGCCATGTGCCCGCTTCTCCAGTGCTTGCTTACCATGAGAGACACCTCCTGAGAAAAGTCATATTGTAAAGTCCCAGTCTTAAGGCTGGCTCATACTTGGCATGAAAGTGAACGCGAATGCAAAGTTTTGACATCCGAGGCAAATTTTTGTGGTGCAAATGTGCACAATTCCAACACAATGTATATTTTTGTTAAGATTTTGTGAATTCTGATCCCCTGGAATGCACATCATTTACTTGAAGTATATGATCCAGCCTATCAGGGTTATGCTGCCAATCATTATACCCAACTGACTAGTCCGTCAACCAGTTTGTCAGCAACCGGTTAAATAAGTAGCTGGCTGACCAGTAAATGAACAATCAGTTAATTACCTGCGATTAGTCGACCAACAATAAAAAAAAATTTGAGAAAGCAATAATGTTAACCAACCAAAACTGAGAAAGCAATGATGTTAACCAACGTTGGTGAAGGGCAAAACCTAATTTGATTTACATCACCCTGACGCAAAACTCCCATCATATGAATAGTTAATAATGCGGTACCCGCCACTATGTACATCAGATTCGAACCAGTCAACCGACATTGGGTTTGAGTTTTTGTTAAATTCTTTGCTCGGTGGTCAAGTGGTAAGACATCTGCACTAGAAAGCAGGAGAGGTAACACTGTGTGTACAGTGTTTATACGTCGGTGAAGGGCAAAACCTAATTAATTGACAACCAACCAATGTTCACCAGATTGCCTGACCAAACAACCAACAGATCCATATCGAGTCTCACCCATAATGTTAAGTACAGTCATCATTGATGTCCACAAAATGTCTGCCGTGCATGCAGTTGCATATGACACCTTATAGATCATGCAGTTTAGCTTCGGATAGGCCTACATGTTGTTTCTCACATGTGCAGTGGGAGGGGCCTAATACAGTATGTCCCAAAAAGTGTCTGTCTGACTATCTTTGAAATAACTACCTAACCATGAAATCAATTTTGAAAATTTTGATTGTGTATAGCTACTCCTTATCCTTGGCCTAAACCCCTAACCCCTAGTCACGGGTTAGCGAGGAATTTTGGCTTTTGCGCACGAGTACATCCTGTGACAAACGATTCTGCTTACTGGGATAGCGCAGAATTTTGCTGCTAGCACTGTAGAATGGTGATCGTTAAGTGCGGAATTTTGCGGAATTCTCTGACTTACCCAGCCTTCTCATGCCCTCGGTATCAGCAATAGGTCCTGGAGCTATGCCCACCACACGGATGCCCTGAGGTCCCCACTCATTGCACAGTGTCTTCGTCATGGAGTCTGGACAAAAACAAGGACAATTAACCTGAGATTAATAAATTGGGCAATTCTTGTTAAATGTATGGTTTAAAGAAATGAAAAGCTTTTTTAAAAAAAGTTTAACAAAGAAATTGACTGGAGCAGGGTTTGTTTGAAACTTCAACCTTTGGATTGTGATTCCGGTGCTCTACCAACTGAGCTAGACCTAGTCATAGATTCTGCAATGCAAGACACTTTGAATTCAACCCAGTTTGCAAGTACTACAGGAAGTGGGGGGGGGGGGGGCATGCACCATGTGATTAATGAGGGCACTGTCCAAATCACACAATATTCCATTTTTTTTTTCATTTGTAAAATCAGTTAAAGGCTTGGAGGGTGACACTATCTTTTGGACCAAGCAGGTTTTTTTTCTGCTTTTCTTTTTGGCCAAGTCTCCTAATAATTTCTGGGACTTAATACAATCATTTACTTTGTGTGCTTACCAACAGCTGCCTTGGCAGCCGCTGCATGTAACTGAAAGAGCTGACCCCTGTAGGCGAGTGTCGCGCTGATGTTTATAATAACACCGCCATGTTTCTGTCAGCGAAAAAAACAAACAAGACAACGTCACCAAAAAAAAAATACCCAGCAGGTCTCACACACAATAAATAGAAAAAACTAATCTCAAATTCATTCATACACAAAACTGAATCCCTTGAAAACCGAATGATCGACCGACTTAAGACGTACACTCATGTACTTATCGTAGACAGCCTTGGAGGTGTTGTACGTTCCCATAGTGTCAATCTCCATCACTGTCTTGAAGCCGTTGTAGGACAGGCCGCTGGCAGGGACGAGGAAATTCCCTGCAGCACCTGAAGCACAGAAGAATTATTGTTATACAATATTATACTGCTTTCATACTTGGTTGGTACTTGGTTGGTTCTTTTCCTAAGGACTTCCACAAGGGAGCATAACTAGGAGGCCAGAAACACTGAGGCAAACCCCTGCTCTTAGCGATAAGTGTTACTGGGTTCTTTTACCTGCGTTAGGCCTTATACAACACACGGGACCTCCGGCTTAACGTCCCATCCGAAGGATGAAGCAATAATGGTTAAGTGCCTTGCTTAAGGGCACAAGTGTCTCGAACCCACGCCACTGTTGCCTCTGAAACACCAGAGCATGAGTCCAGTGCTCTTAACCGCTAGGCCATGACACTCCACATAGCCATGAGTCATTATCATTTAACATTATCAGATGTCAACAACAGATCATTGCCGAAGTGACTGGTTCATGGTTCGGAAATAAGGTGCATGGGCCTTATTCACGAGTCGGCCATATTGGATTGAGAGTGAGGTCAAATCTTGATTTTTGGAACTTGCGAAGAGAAATGAAAGCAAGTTAATTTCTAATTAATTCCAGTCTGCTTCAATGAATAATTTCAAATTTGTAATTAAACGTTCCCTAATGTTTAAAGCCAGATTTAAAAACAAAAAATGACAGTAAAATAAGGCTGCATCCGAATCAACTGTCTAGAGCTAGGTCTAGGTCTGCGCCCATTGAAAATAGCTCTGGAAGCCTGTTTCGGACACGGCCTAAGACTGCCTTATGCCTGCATAAATAGTCTGGCGCCATCCCATTCAACAGCTAACAATTAATGAAATACATTCAGGGAACTCGACAAAAATGGCCAACTCGTGAATAAGGCCCATATATGAACTTCGTGCACAAGTACCACATCAACACCTAAAAATACTGCAAGTAAAACTTGCGCGATCCCCCCGGCATCCATGCAGTTTGTATACACGTACAGGCAGATAGTAAAGACAATTTTCAGTGTACCTAACCGAAAAGGAATGTGTCATAACTACATAGGAACCGGGAGTAGCAAAGAAATATGGGCAGCTGTGCAAGTCGGCAACTGTGAAGCTATAAAGGGGCTGTTTATTACGAAACAATAACTTTCACGACACTAGAGAAACACAGTGAAAATCATTGGCTACCTAGGACCAAGGCCTGTAGAATAACCCTGGAGGTCATGACGTGTTGCCTGAGTCTAATCACTTTACTAGATACCATGAGCAATAACCACTTATCGTTAACGACATCATGACATCACGCTTTGTTTAAATGTGACTTTCTTATGGGAGCTTGGCGACTCTCATCTCCACCTGTCTCTCATAGGAAAGCGCAAATTATCAGTAAACAAATAATTATAAGTAAACAAATTATCTTGTCATTTTTTTTATGTTTCAGGCCTTTTTAGTTTCTCCACCTGACTATAAATTTACAAAATAATAATCAAAACAATGTAACCTTGAAAATTTCGACTCCAAAGCAGATACAACTGCAAATTGAAACATTGCATTTTATTAAGTAATCATCGGAATGTATTTACCATTGACAAGAATGTCAATCTGTCCAAAGTGGTCCACTGCTGCGTCTACACCTCGCATCACATCTTGAGGCTGTACGCGATGAAACCGAAAAACAAGATATAACACACAACTCTCTTAGTAGTTTATCAAGGCAACTCTGCAAGAAAGGGTCTGACATATGTTAGATTTATATTTATCAGAAATGGATGCTTTGGTCTGGGAACCAGACTAAGGAGCCCATCGGGCCGGGAGAGACATTTGAACGCACTGCGGATTCCTGACCCTCTAGCGCAGACGCTTTGACAATGTGCGCATTTAGAATAAAATAAGTAGTGCGTACTTCGCGCTATACGGGTAACACACGTGGACCAGTATGCACACGTGGTGTGTCCTGTCCACGAGGGCTCTCAAAAATGGTATAAAAGCGCCCTCTTTGTTGGCGCACGGAGAACATAAGTGAAACATATTACCTTCCTGACATCGAGCTGCAGTGCCAGACATTGCACGCCAGTAGCTTCTTCCAGTTTTTTAGCAGCCTAGTAAACAAAAAGAAATGACAACAAAATTAACAACAGTCATGGTTCTCATAATCTCCCATTACACGTCCCAATTCCAAACAAGAGTTCCTTCAGCAGTACTACTAGTACTACAGTATACGTACTATTAAACCTTCTGTTTATTTAACATTTCTGATGTTTTGCTATATAGTTCGCATTGCATCAAGCAGTTTTGCAATTTTGGCCAACAAAAGGCAAATGCTGTTCCTTTTCGAGCATTACATTATAATTTTGTATTACATTATAAATTAGCATTACATTATAAATTTGTATTACCAATTATTGAATTTGTAAAAACAAGAAATGTTCACATTCTTCTAATATTATTTGCAGAATACAGTACATACAGTACACAAATACGAGCTTGGACTTCATATTCAACTCGACTAATTAACCTACATGTATAGGGATTTGCTGTGTCATTCACTATTGCTAATTATATAACACCCAAGTAAATCCTTGTTATTTGATTGGAGGATTGTAGGTCATGCGGCATTCATTAATTAGTCAAACCATTGCATGGCCTATGTCGTAGACCGTGCATGTCTGGTTTCATTCAACATGCATTTTCGTTCCATATCCCTTTTGATCTATTGCACGCGCACGCGCTAGACCAGAGATCACCGCACATAGATGCGCAGCGGCGCTATACGATCTTTGCGCTTCACCACATCATGCGTTTTTAATATACAGCAGTAATTAAATTTGCCTTTGAAGCGGATGCAGTTACGAACTAAATTCGCATTGCTGAATTTTTTTGCATTGTTTTAAGAAGTAACAGTATTAACTTTCTTATTGTATAAATTGTTCACTTTTAACAGGCTGAAAACAATACATATACCAGAATCCAATTTTGTAAATTTTGTTTGTTCCAACAGTTTTATCCTCCAATCGAATAACAAAGATCTATGTTACATAAAACAAATAATGAATGTAATTTTGCATTCGTGCAATGCAGAGAAATATTCATTGAAAGATGGAATGTTCCATCTCGTTGAATGGAACATTCCAGTTTGCAACTCATGAAAATATTCTCCCCATTGCACTCATAAACATTCATTTTTTTAAAGTTGTATATTGTTTTCTCAAATATTGGAGCTAGAATTGATTCCACAGAATATATTGCAAAGGGGTAGGGGACATACCACTTGAACCCGCTGAAGATTCCTGCTTGCAATGACGGTTTGGCACTTGTGCCTGAAATGACAAGGTGTGTGAGACAATTTGTGAGACAATTTATCCATACAATTTTCAAGGTATATCTGTGACTTATCTGTGATTTAGTTAGGAGTGGTTCCCCCTGGCATTCTACCCTCATATTTGTAACGTTGATGGAAATGAATAAAATTGCTGCAAACTGTTTACTGTTCGACTGGAAATGTATCAATAAAAAGAGTTAAACCCGGTTAATACTTGGCACAAAAGCGAAAGCGAACGCGAATTTGTGACGTCATGGCAAGTATTCGTGCTGCGAATTCGTAAAAGTTGAACTCATTTCAACTCGGGCGAATTTCGCAGCAAATTTTTCATGACGTCAAATTCGCTTCGCATTCGCTTTCGCATGAAGTATGAACCAGGCTTTAGAGAGTGACATTTCCAACCTGGCTGGAAATATCAAGTAGGGTAGTAACAATTCTTACGGCCTAATAAAAAACTTCATAAACTTGCCCGGTGGGCTAGTTAAAAAAAAAAATTATGGTCGACAACCTGAAAATCATAAATAATGATCAACATAGAACAACAATCATCAACTTCCTAACTTTTTAAAGTTAGGAGCACTATTATTACAATAAGTTTTGTTTTCAAGTTTTGTGTTAAAAAAAAACACGTTTGCATATTGAAAATTTGTCTTCATTTTCCTCCTATCAATTTATTCTTCAGGACTTAGAAAAAAAAGAAAAGAAACATTTTGTATTATCCTACCTCATGAAAACTTCAGCAATGGTGAAACAGATCCCTGATCCACCACCTGTGATGAAAGCAACCTTGTTTCTACGAGGCAAAAAAAAGAGGAAAATTCTCAATTCAGTATCGCTCACTTCTCTGGGAAAAAAAAAAGCAAGTATAGGCCCCAGTGTTGGAGCAAAGGCTTTGACCCTCAAGGCCAAGGCCAAGGCTTTGACCCTCAAGGCCAAGGCCAAGGCCAAGGCTTTGACCCTCAAGCCTCGAGGCCAAGGCCAAGGCTTAACCCTCAAGGCCAAGGCCAAGTTTTATGAAATGACCACTGATATACAACTAATTATAGTCACATGAGTGACACATCATCACGCAAGGGCGGATCCAGAACACAATTTGGGGGGGGGGGCAAAGAAATTTTGGTCCACTCAAAAAAAGTGGGTCAAAAAATTACGGCTTGGGCTTCGGGGCCCGCTTAAAGGCCCCGAAAAACTTTTGGATTCGAGATGCTCTGTGGTGCGATCAGTGAGGCAATTTCTGACCATTTTAACCAATGTTTTTTTAGGAAAAGATGGTGGTGTACTCATTGCCTGCCTTTATTACGACGTCACATAAAAAAAAATGGGGTTTTTTTTGGGGGGGGGGGCAATGGCCCCTTTTGGCCCCCCTGGATCCACCCTTATCATCACGAATTGCTTGTTACGAAGAACAACATTTCTTTAATTGCAATCAACATGCTCGCATAGGCCTACACCGTTTTATGACTGCACTGTATCTATTAAAGTATAAGTTCAGGTCTTCAATATGGTTTAACTAAACAAAATAATGATTTACTTCTAAATTGACACACAATTCTCCCAAGTGTAACAGAAGGGGGATCCAAAAAACTGATTTGGGAAATTTTTATTTGCTGGCCCAACATGGTCAGAAATATCAGCATTATCTAAAACAGATACATGCACATCTTTAGCACTTATCAGGGAGACATATAAAACCAATCAGATCTATTCCATAGTTATATATGCAATTAAAGTGATCACCTCATTAGCCCCACAAGCGTACGGAATATTTTTGCAGCAAATCTACTACGATGGTAACAAAATGTGATGCTACAAAAGTGGAAGTGTGCCCAACACACAAATCTATAGGGTGCTTCCCTCCTCCATGGTAATACGATTAAAATGGTAACAGCAAAATTTCGAACAGATTTATCTGGAAAATGCAAAAATCTATGGGCCTTGAAGAGCCTTGACTCAAAATTGCAAGGCCCTGAACCCTCAAGGCCAAGGCCAAGGCCAAGGCTTTTGCCCTCAAGCCTCGAGGCCAAGGCCAAGGCCCTAAAATCCAGCCTTAAGGCAGCCTTAAGGCCAAGGCCCAGCATCAAGGCACTACATCACTGATAGGCCCCTATATACAGTGCAGCCAAATAAAATGTTAGAGATCAGGGTGGTGAGCAGGGGTACGGGTTGTGACCTCGGAGGGGGTGGGGGATCTGCTTGCAAAGTAAGGCAAAGTGGGGTGGGGGAAGGGGGGGGGACAGGAAGTCTCTAGGGGCGCTCGGGTGTGGCCTAATCTGTACACCATATAATTCAGCAGATCAATAATATTTTTTATTTGTCAATGGAGCTCGAGGGGAGGCAAGGGGGGGGGGGGACAGGACAGGAAAAGGGGGGGGGGGGGGTGGCACAGACGACCGACCCAGCTATGGGCTCCATCATGAACAAAGAAGCAATTTGCCGCTTTAGGGGGCGGGGCCACATTTTTAAAAGTGGGGATGATGATGATGATTTTCAGCACAGACTTTTTGGGGGGGCTCCATTTATTACACTAGAGGGCGCTGTTCATGATACATGCACTTATGCAAATTTGCACACTTACGTGCTTATTAACCCTACTTCAAAACTCGCCACAGATTTTCCAATGGCCCATTCAAACCCCCCCCCCCCCCCCCCTCAATAGGAGGATATATAGCCCCACCCCCATCCCTCCCCTCCCCCTGGGATTTACGCCCATGCTGGCAACATCCTTCCCTGTACATGCCGTACTGCACAGTCGCCCCCCCCCCCTCCCCCACCACTGCCATCATGCAGCCTGCCCCAACCCAAAAGATTCTCCCCCTCTCCCCCTCCCTCCCCCCCCCCCCCCCCCCCCCCCATTAATTGCTTTAAAAAAACCATGGAGGTAAAATTTCAAAATTAATCCTTCATGATATAGCTTGGGCATGTTGGGAAAACCTAGCCCCACTAGTGTGGCCGTCGGTATGCTGCGCTGAACCTAAGTTCAGCGCAGCATACCGACGGCCACACTAGTGGGGCTAGGGAAAACCTAGCTTAAAAACCCTAGCTCTCATCTGTAAATGTAGTAGGTCTAATCATGGTCTAATAATGTTTCAGCAATATTTCCAGATAAGTTGTACTACTACTCCTCCATGGTAGAGCTAATTTTGTACACATAATTTATACATACCTCAACACATCAGGTTGAAAAACATAGTCATACGTCGGCATGCAAACATCGAAATCAAAGTCGCTGGCTTTGGTACCGGCCATTTTCCCCAACATTTATATGGTGTATTAATGTGGGAACCACTAATCTCTGCTTAATATCAGCTCACACTACCTAAATTGACAAGCTCTTATGTTGGCAGCTAGATACAAAGGATGTACTTCGACCTCATGACCCGCGGCGCAGGGGCCGGGCACGGATCACTGATCATACCGATACGTACCACCAGCCGGCCGACCGGCTGGCCTGGTACTGCAGGAATGCAGCGGACTTATCACTTCCTGAACAAGTGCAAATCCACCTGATGCTCCCTTTTAAGGGCGGGGCCATTCGTTTAAAAAAAATGGGGCCTCACGCGCAAAAAAGAAACATATTTTGATTTCATTTTTTCCTCTTTGTAATTGGGCAGATGACCCAAGTGCTCCTTCGTGAACAAACAAGTACATGTAATTTGCCTCTTATGTTAAATAATAAGGATGATCAGCTTTTGCAAAGTAAATGTAAAAAAAAATGTCACTGGATTTCAGACAATATATTTATAAGCTATTATTAAAGAATTCTGTCGTGAAAGCATGGAAATAATGAAATAATATGGCAAATATATTGACCAACCAAGGTCAATTTAATCAGGCTAACAAACAACAAAACAAACAAACAAACAAACAAATGAAACAAACAAAATGGCAGTTATGACTCACAGTTACAAAACTTTAACGTAATATTTCATTGTATGAATATTTATTATGAAAGCAACATTTGGCAAACTGTCGACATTCGTGGTTCTCTGTCCAAACTATTCTTAGAGATTCCTTTTTTTTTTTAAGAATGCTTCAATATAAGTCAAAATCTACAAATTATTAAAATATAGTATTAAGGGAATAAATGTGTGCTCCGGAGGTTTTTATCACTCGTTTAATACCGCTTAGAGTCTGGGTGCTGATAATTACCCTCGCCTCCGGCTCGGGTAATTATCAGCACCCAGACTCTAAGCGGTATTAAACAGAGTGATAAATACCGACCGAGCACATATTTATTCCCATTCATAAATACCTTATCCGTAAAAAAATATCAAATAATTCGTTCAAAAAATCCCGATTTTGTTCAACAAGTTCACTTCATGCTTTTTGAAACATCCCTCTAGCAAAATAATGGAGTGTTCAGCTGGCGAGTAAGATGTAAACAACCCTTTTATGGAGATTGACGCGCGCGTAACATGTTCTGCGCGATGTCACGCAGAACGCACCTGGGGCGTTGCGTTTTGAATTTAGAACTATAAAATTCTGACTCGCTTGTAGTGTTGCGCATGCCTACGTGAGGATTGTGAACGTTCAACCAATGAAACGGTAAGAGGCACTGGATTTTTAGGAGTCCACATTTTATTGTGACACTGGAAAAGTGTTTAAGACCAGCTAGCCATGTCTTTATCATCCGTTTAAGACCGGCCACGTGACGGGCTCTCGACCAATAGGAATAGCTAAACTGTCTGAGGTATTTATGAATATCGCTTTAAAATGGCTGGATTCACAAGGGATTGGCAAACAAGAAGGTTAAACAAAAATTAAATGAGCAAAAAAAAATAACCGCCAAAACAAAATGCATACGCCAGCAAAATCATGGACTTGGTGCCAAGTCGGTAATTGTTTTGCGTACTGGCATAGACATAATAAAACCGGTTACTCGCTCCACACACGCCCTTATCTTTATCGCTGCAATGCGCGTAGATTGGTTCCCAGACCAAATACTGCTGACTATATTAATGTTCAATTACCGACTTGGCGAATACATTTTCTATTTTGTACACAACATATGGGAGTACTTTGAATCGCTAGCGAATTCTATGCAAGCACTCTGATTGGTTCAGATTCCAGAGCGTATTCTAGGCCGCCACGTGAGATCGTTCTCATTACCTCGAGGGTTTGTACTTTGTGTTGTGTAACATTACAAAATTCATTATAGGGCATACACGACTCAAATAAATCAAGTATATCACGATACATTTTATTTCTATACACAATTGACCAAGCTGAGTGAATTGGTCTTTAAAACGTCACCAGATCTGCAAACATGTCCCTGACATATTGAGAAGAAGTCCCCATGCAATGGAATTGAATGAGTCCTCATTTGCATAGCGGTTCGTGATTGGATCTCACCGCAAAAATGCACTGCATATGTATTGCGCTGCTTGCATATATGAATAACGGTGCGAGAACATAATCGTCAAGTCGTTAGATTTGTCGCAACCCGGCCGATTACGTACTAGTCTTATACAAGCCGAGCTGATGGAGTTCGACTGAAGTTCACGGACAAATATGACTATCTAACGACTTGTCATCAAGTCTAGCAAAATCACCGTTTGTTGCCATCAGTTTCCTCTTTAAATATATGGAATTTTGGGGCCCTTGCACATGAGGGTTTGTAGCAAGTAAAGATCAACCACCAAACCGGACTTTAAAGGTAGCATCAATCATTTGTATCTTGTGAATTCTGTTCGTTTGAGGCAACAAAAGTGCTCAAAATCTAAGCAAGGGTACTCAACAGCTAACCCGATGAAGCTTCAGCTCAGTGAATGCTGTATATTCCGAGAAAACAATATTCTAGGATAGCGATTTCAAATCAAAAGTGGCCGAGTCACGTTTTGAATTGGGCCTGAATTCAGCTTCCGAGACAGGTTCTCAATGCCTGCGCGCACTTCGCCGAATAAAAAACGAAAATTTCCAAGAATGCGTCGTTAGACACATTGTTGGAAATGGCCTTCTTTCATTGATTTCTTCAAAATGACAGCTTGCCAGAGTGAACAATTTCACAGGGAGTTACCATCTTTAAACCTAGTCAGTTACTTTTTGGATAGCTGCAAATGATGGACTGTACCTTTAAACTATTTGATAGCACTACTCGGCTAACAAGTGACATGGCGTCGGTGAGTAACAAAGAGCACCTCTCTGGGACCAGCACAAGCATTGTTTTTAGCCATCTTATAATTGCTTTTGAAACTTGTATGTACATAAACAGGGGTGTGTGATTTAAGATGAATACTGAAGTCCACTCTACAGTTTTGCCCCCATCCGTTTACTGTAGAAGCCGAAATTGTTGTCACAGGTCATCCAGTGCCCACCGTCCACCACGATGGTGTGGCCTGAGATGTAATTGGCAGCTGGGCTGGCCGCGAAGACTGCACAATCGCCAACGTCCTGCTTGGTACCCATCCGCTGGAGGGGAAAGTTCCTCAGTACCTCTTCATCAAACATACCTGCACCTGGGAGAAAAGAGTGACGTATTCAAGCCAGGCAAATTCTTGAAATATTTTCGAAATAACAGCGATGCTGTTGAAACCCAAAAGCCGGAGTCAAGATATCATCCGGAAACCATTAACCTTTAACTCACCACTGTGACCTTGACCTTTGACCCCACAACCAATCCCATGGTTTGTATTCACTCCATTCACCATACCTCCTCCCTGGCAAAGAAAGTACAGTTGGGGGGTGACCGAATGACGCCATCTTGCCTGACTGCACTTGCCTGTACTTACAAATCCCCTGGTGTATGTGCGTCACACACAAGGAACGGTGCGGGCGCGTCAACCAGCGAATGTGTGTGTCCCGCCCATGGGACGTCATTGCTAGGTAAAAGGGCGCCCTCTTTTGTTGGCACAAGGAGCCCATACTACTCCATAGTTTGAATTAGTGCATTGGCCAAGACGATTAAAAATGATCCATTTCCATCGTTGACAACCTCATTTTGACTAAAAAATATTGGCAAATGAAGATCAGTAATGTCACAGCAATGTACGTGATGTCATACCTCCTCTGACTCAATCAAATAGTTTTTGATTGCGACCATCGTTTTACCAGACTTGAAAAATTATTGAGGTATGAAATATGACATTTGTTTCTGTCCAATAAAAATGACATTGTAAATGATACTGTGCAATGATCATAAAAAAAAAATACACAAAGTATGTGAGAACAACTTTTTCATGAAAGAAAAACACAAATCACGGAAAGCGATAACTTTCATTTTCCTAGATGGCCTTTTTCAATTCAAAATTTGGTTTTGCCATTTACCAACTTTTTTTGTGTAAAGACTGTACACTCATTTTCAAAATCTTGCATTTTACCTAGCCGCCTTATGCCCTCTGTGTCGGCTATTGGTCCTGGAGCTATGCCCACCACACGGATGCCCTGAGGTCCCCACTCATTGCATAGTGTCTGCGTCATAGAGTCTGGATAAAAAAAAACAAAGACAAACCAAAATAGATAAGACTGGTGAAGCACTGTCTTATTAAACTTTTATGGTTTAAAGAAATTAAAAGTTTTTTTTTTTAAGTAGAACAAAGAAATTGACCTGCTACCTCCGGATTGCTATTGTGACGTGTGGTGCCAGCTCTCCTGCGTCAGGCTGGTTTGGTTGGTAGCGTGCCGTCCTGATGATGTCCTATCCCTGCAGTGGTGGGCCACAGCACCAGGCTATCCCCGCTTCTCGGTTGACCGGATCAGCCAGTAGTAGTCAGGGCAGTGGAATGGGAGTGGGAACCGGGAATCGGAATGTGGAGTCGTAGGAAGTGGGTGGAGTCGGAATGTGAGTGGAGTAGGAATTGGGCGGAATAGTCGGAGTCGGAATGTGGGCGGAGTCGGTGGAGTCGGAATGTGGGTGGAATAGGAATGGGGGGGAATAGGCAGAGTCGGAATGTGGGCGGAGTCGGCGGAGTCGGAATGTGGGCGGAATCGGCGGAGTCGGAATGTGGGTGGACCAACTTATATCCCTTGGGACTTTGCCCTTGACTTAGTCCTAAGTAGACCCTATACCCTAAGACAGACTAGTAATTGGTGAACAGAAACAGTAATCAAGTACGGTGGTCATGCCTTTAATCATCATCCGTCATGTCATTCCACATAATTAAGAGCCTGAACAATTATTCTAATCATAAGAGAATCAAGCAATCAACTGACTAAATCCTAGCCCTGCAGCTCCTTTTATAGACTTTGAGCCCCATAAGCTAGTGCACAACTTCTCTTTGCCATACAACAGTGCATAAACTCAATTGACCAATCAGAAACAAGGATTCCTTATATGCAAAGTGTGGGTGACTCACAGTGTGCTAGTGTATTTAAAACATACAGTTGGTGACTTAATTCCTATTCCGTCACATAGCCCCCCTCCCAAAGTTTTCAGTCCCTGAAAACTACAAGAGCTTTTAATAAAACAACTCAGATGAAATAACTAAGACAAAAATATTTTACATGAAAATTAAGTTTGGTAAATCTTTAGCACATTCCAATACTTCTCGGAAACATTTACTTTGAAAAACAACAACTTGGTGGTTCAAAACTTAGCTTTAAAACTTGACTTACAAATATCTCAGATCTGAACAAAATCGTATAAACTTTAATTTCTTCAGAAAACATTCCTCAATGTTATTTTTATAGAGATTTAGGAGTTTAGGTGGAAGTTCTTGTCATCCTTTCCTGATGGCAGGCTACATCGTTCCAACAGATTGTGTTGCCGTATTCCCTGTTGATGTCCTCTTCACCCTCTGAGGTGTGTAGCTGTCCCTGGTTACCTGGACACTGGACTGGTCCTCCTGGCGTAGCACTCTGTGGAACTTCCCCCCTTTTCGTGGAAGTACTTCTTCCACTTTCGGAGGTTGACGTCGGAGCAGCTTGCCTCTGAGGAGGAGCCGAGCGGCTTGCAGCTCAATTACAGGCGTGATGTGGACGGTCTACTGGACTTTTGGCTGGTCTTGGCCATTGTGCTCCCACCCCGGTGGTTTTTTTTCTCGTGCCGATCCCGGGAGTCCCTTCTAGAGAACCGTTCGTCGCATCCACCACAGCGAAATTGGGCCTGTTCCCTGTGGCACTCTCTCAGGTGTCTGACCAGGTTAGATCTTTTGGTCGTGGTCATTCCACACCCTGGCTCTGGGCAGCGGTGCACTTCTTGCCGGGACGGGTCTCGGGGGTCTCGTTGCCTGTCTTTTCCCTTGTCGGCTCCCACCTTGAGCTTGTCTTCTGGCATCTCCCCTCGTACCTGGAATCTCGGTGGAATGCCCTGGTGGAATACTGTTTGAATTCCTGTGGAATGTCTCGGTGGAACATCGGAATATCGGTGGAGGGATGCCGAAGTCTTGGCGGAATGTGGCTGGAATGTTGCTGACTTTCCCCCAGTGGAATGTTGTTGAACCTTCCCTTGGAATGCCACTGGAATGCTGTTGGAGCACCTCACTTTCCACACACGTGGCCTCACCATGATGTTCTCTCTCACCATGCTTGGCGCTTTTGCCACATGTTGCTTGAGTAGTCCATGAGCCTTTCTTCCATGGAACTTCGCATGGCCACAGCTCTCACAACTCGTTGCTGTTGTCCGTACATCCTTCGTCATGCCCGACCAGTAGTAGCGTCGGCGCACTATCTGCAGTGATTTGTAGACCCCGGGGTGACGTGACACTTTACTGTTGTGTAGTTCCTTGAGAACTTTCTCTTGAAATGTGGGCGGTAGGACCATCTGCCATCTGCCGCGTTTTCCATTCTCCAACTTCCATTGACGTGACAACACACCATTCCGGATCCGTAGCTGCCTCTGAGCCCAGTATGTCTTCATAGCTGCCGATTCCTCCGACATGGCTTCCCATACTGGCTCCTCACCATTCTCCATCGCCCGCATCATCGGCCCAATTGAAGAATCCGCCAGCTGTGCGTCCCTCAATTCCTGCAGTGTCCACCGTGGAGTTCTTGTCAACGTCCATGCCCCTCTTTCATTTTCTCCAATGGACTCCTTGAGAGTAGCCTTTGTCGTCGCCGTGTCGTGGCTCTGCTCTGGTAGAGACGGCTTCCCCACGACTAGCTGTGTTAGTCCCTTGGGGTTTCCAGTAGCCCATCCTCGGCTCGTAGGAGTTGGACAATTTCTTTTGAAATGTCCCAAGCCCCCGCAATTGTGACAGGTTTCGATGTCCCATGGTTGTCTTCCTCCTCCATCTCTCCGAATCCCAGCATCGTTTACTCCTCCTTCGTTACTCTTCGGAGCTGCGGTCTTGCTGTGCATTGCCTCTGCTAGGCCAGCTATCATTGCCTCCAATGCATTGAGTTGTTCCAACATGCCCTGTGTATGCCGGTTGAATTCCTCCCTGGAGACAGTTTCAACATATCGATTAGCCCTTGGATTTCTGTCCTGCCTACCACCTTGGCCCCGCTGCCTCTGTCTCTCGGAGTTGATGAACGATTCTGTCTCCAGTGCCGCCCGTATCGCCTCATCTAAGGACTTAGGGTGGGCTCTGAAGATTCCCGCCCGCACTTCTCCATCTGGGATGGCATCCATGAAATGCCCTCGGGCGAGTCTTTCCCGCGAATCTCTGGGGAGCTCAGGGTATGCCAATTCCGTCAGCCGTCGGACGCTGTGACCGAGTGCTTGTAGACCTTCGTTGACCCCCCTTGTCCTACTCCTCAGTTCCGACAGGAATCTCTCGGCCTGCTCCCCGGGACCGAATCGTCTTTCCAACCTTGTAGTAAGGTCGTTGTAGCTCAGTGTCTCACCCTGGACCCCGTCTCCAAGCACTTGCTGGGCCTGCCCCTTCAGGCTTGCTGCCAGGAAAAATGCTTTCTCTGCAGAGGTCCACGCGTTGATCGTTGCGCAAGACTCAAAGTGAGCCTTGTAATCCCTCCAGGGAATATCCCCTGAAAATCTGTCTGGAACAAAACTCGGCTTCCGTTGTGCTCGGTGGATCTTCTCATCCCCTGCACCTGTCTTTTTCTCTGGTTCCTCCGTGGGCCCCTCTGGTTTCTTGCTCCCAATTGTCACTCCCGCCAACCCTTGCTCCAGTCCCTCCACCTTCATCGGTGAGGAAACCTTCGGTGGTAGCTGTGGTTGACTCGACTCCATCTTGGTAGCAAAAACTGGACTCCACGTACTTGACCGTTCACTTGAAACCGGCATGTACTCGCTTCCGGCTCCCGCTCCCGCTCCGGGCACCTCAAACGGTCTCCCTTGAGCAGAAGCGGTGCTTACGCTTGCTTCGCTTGTAGTCTGCCTTGCTGCTGCTGCATACCCTGGGGATGTCCGCATTCCTGCCGTCATAGTGCTGAAGACTAGTGGCACATAAGGGCCGAACCCTGGTGGTGCTTGCCATGCTCCACTGACGGTAGTGATTCCTGGTGGTGCGGAAGTTCCAATATTCACACTTCTGGTGGAATATTCCCTTGCTCCCGCTCCGCCCGGGCACCAGTTTTCGATCTTCCCGATCGTCACTGGTAGCCTTGGTGCTTGCTCGACTCTGGCTCCTGATATCTGTAAGTTGCTCACTGGAGTAGAGGTGCTCAGTGGGTTCAACATCGGCGATCCTCCGGCTGGTTCCCCCAGCTCGCCCATCCATCCACGTTGTGGAGTTCTCTGTTGAGACCCCTCAAGATGTGCAGGGTTGATGCTCGCCATCGGTTGCCTTGCCCACTCTTTTCCAACTGTGGTCCATCCTGTCGATCTCCCTAGAAACAGCCCAGGGTTCACGGTGGATGTCATTGGAGAGAACTGGAGCTGCGATGCTTCCTGGACTGGTTGAAGGATGCTGCTTGCTCCGCTCGTCACCGCACTTCCCACAGCCGCTGGAAATAAGTCACTGCCTTGATACCGGAATTCCACTCCCGAGTCGACTTCTTCCACTCGGTGTCTCCCCGGTGTAAGCACCGCTTGCTCTCTTTGCTCCATTCCGTTGTCTTCTTCCTTCAGCTGCTGAATTCCACTGAAGTTTCTCTCCTGGTGGATCCCACCGCTGCCACCAATGTGACGTGTGGTGCCAGCTCTCCTGCGTCAGGCTGGTTTGGTTGGTAGCGTGCCGTCCTGATGATGTCCTATCCCTGCAGTGGTGGGCCACAGCACCAGGCTATCCCCGCTTCTCGGTTGACCGGATCAGCCAGTAGTAGTCAGGGCAGTGGAATGGGAGTGGGAACCGGGAATCGGAATGTGGAGTCGTAGGAAGTGGGTGGAGTCGGAATGTGAGTGGAGTAGGAATTGGGCGGAATAGTCGGAGTCGGAATGTGGGCGGAGTCGGTGGAGTCGGAATGTGGGTGGAATAGGAATGGGGGGGGAATAGGCAGAGTCGGAATGTGGGCGGAGTCGGCGGAGTCGGAATGTGGGCGGAATCGGCGGAGTCGGAATGTGGGTGGACCAACTTATATCCCTTGGGACTTTGCCCTTGACTTAGTCCTAAGTAGACCCTATACCCTAAGACAGACTAGTAATTGGTGAACAGAAACAGTAATCAAGTACGGTGGTCATGCCTTTAATCATCATCCGTCATGTCATTCCACATAATTAAGAGCCTGAACAATTATTCTAATCATAAGAGAATCAAGCAATCAACTGACTAAATCCTAGCCCTGCAGCTCCTTTTATAGACTTTGAGCCCCATAAGCTAGTGCACAACTTCTCTTTGCCATACAACAGTGCATAAACTCAATTGACCAATCAGAAACAAGGATTCCTTATATGCAAAGTGTGGGTGACTCACAGTGTGCTAGTGTATTTAAAACATACAGTTGGTGACTTAATTCCTATTCCGTCACACTATTCTGGCCCCCCCCCCCCCACCCTGTAACATTTTGAAATCTAAGTTACTTTCTCCTGCATTCTCAGGCAATTTGAGAATAACTTTAGAAGCTTTGAGTCAAACTTTTCCAGCTATTTATTATTTTTGGCGTAAAGTACAGTTCAGGGTACATTTTTGTACATAATGTACGCGTACACATGTCGCGCTGGAACTGCACAGCGCAAAACAGTGCGTGCTTTTCAGCATTGCGACTTTGAGAATCAAATCCTCGGACCCGAGCGATCATAACACATATACTATGCGTGTGTAAATAATCAGTCTCCATCGATCTACTTCAACCACGTTCTCATCGGACACATACATGTAGTTCATATCAGATCGAAGTAATGTACATGTACATAGGTAAATTTCGGCACGCAAAACTCGATATGAATAATTAATTAGTACATTCTACCCCCCCCCCCCCCATTTTCTCAACGGATTCACATGGGTTGACTTTTGAGGCCCCAAAAAAAGGATTTCCGAGGAAAACCGGACAAATTACATCCCTTATACTTACCAATTGCTGCTTTCGCTGCACTGGCATGGATCTGAAAAAGCTGGCCTCGATAAAACAGTGTTGCAGATATATTGATGATGACGCCTCCATGGTCCTAAAAAAAAGAAAAAAAAAGAATCCAAACAATGTTCGTCGATTGTAAACTGAAGTCAAATTTCAATTTCTTATGGTTTCTTTTTATGCCTGTGAAAAAAAATCGGATAACTGCACGACAATTTCCTATTTATTATTTTCAGGATTCAATACGAAAACCTGGCCATCCCTGACACCCTAAAACAACATGTACTTTTTTTTACTGCATATAAAGTCAGTCAGCAGCTTTCCACAGTTTCAATACTAAAAGTTACTCATGTACATCTTGTATGTGATTCAGGTTCAGGACTGCCGACAATGTACAGTTTTTTCAAACAAATAAAGGAAATTGTAAATAATGTGATTACAAAAATATTTGTGACCTGCCACAGCATAATGAGGAATAACCCCCACCTTTGACTTTTCAAGTTATGTACATCATGTTAAAGCGCAAATCATTGGCCTTCCAATGACGCCAAATTTATTTCTGTAGCTGAATTCCAAAGATATGCCGCAGGAACTTTAACAGTGTCCCGCCAATCTTCGCCAAACTCATTTCGAAAAAAAAAGGCTTTGAAAAAAAAAGATACACATTGCGCTGCCAAAAGCATTGATAAACGTTCTTCAGTTTTCCACTTTTGCGGGTATTTTTTTATATAAATGCATAGTGTGAATCTTGGATACCTTGACTACTCAAAAATACAAAAAAAAACAATCAATATCAATTTTGACATGATTTTTCTACTGTATCCGACTTAAGGGGTCGATTACTCAAAACAAGGTTTTGGGGGACAATCCTCATTTTGCATCATCAGGTCACGTTTAACCATCAGAAATAGTTATCACATAATATTTTGTATTGTAATATTCGTTTCCTTCCTTTATTCAGACTTGTGCCAGTCTGAAGTCCTTCTTTGTCTATCCCACTTGTTTAGAATCTATAACCCTAGGCAAGCAAAAGGTTTACGAATGATACCAAAGTTGGCGTACCCTCATGTATTTTTCGTAGACGGCTTTGCAAGTGTTGAAAGTCCCCACCGTGTCAATCTCCAGAACTGTCTTGAAACCGTTAAAGGAGAGACTACTGGCCGGTGCTGGAAAATTTCCGGCAGCTCCTAAGACGGACAGATTGCAATGTAAAGAATATAACTTGACAAGCAGCTGAAATGATTATTTTGTGGTAACTTTCACTTCTTGTGCCTATCTCTTGACAGTCCAAATTTAATTTAGATATATTGAAGCCAAAGCGTGGAATCTTTTGGCAAAACTGATATTTCAGGCAAATTTTTTTTTCAATTTTTTTCCCTAGGGCAAATATTTCAAAAAGCAGTTGGAAGAGAGTTCAGGTGTGGTTGTTCCACTTTGTGGTTGGTTCCACACGTGGATTGGGTTTTCAGTCCCCACTTGATAATTCCGTGGGTTTTCCCCAGAATATTCTTCTGGGATTTTCCTGCAACCTTTAAAAAAAACCTGTCGTTTCTTCTCATTGTCTCCTCTCTACAGGTTTCTTCAGGCTTTCGAGCTACAGTGCCTATTACTAGGACATTTTTGAGGACTCACAAAAAATATCAAAATGAACATTTACCATTGACGAGAATGTCAATTCTTCCATAATGATTGAGAGCTTGCTCAACACTGCGCAGCACTTCCTCCGGCTGAGTAAAGAAGAAAAACAAAGTCATTATAAATATGTTTAGGGAACTGTTCGGAACCTATTCATAGGATAGAACGTTGAATGTTTAAAACCAGTTATAGACCCCAACAATAAACTTTACAGATTGTCGCAAAGTACATGTGAGAGAAGAGATACTATTGACGCTTATAATTATGCACTACTATATTGCTACACAGCACATTGCAGAGAGAAGTAAATGCAATGGAGGAGACAAAAAAGCAAAAAAGAACAGCCAAAAAGTGTTTGTTAGAGTTTTGGAGCTTTGGGGATAAAGATTGATGATATGCGAGCAGATTCGGCGGGCCGGGCGCCTTGTATAGGAAATTCCGTAACCCGGTTGTTGAATTAAAACAAGTCAGGTGTGTTTACAAACACAAATGCCCCGCAACCGTGACTGTTTCCATGACATAACACCACTCTAACATCAAATTACATGTACCTTGGTCAAATGGAACGTTCATTGACAGCATTAGTGTCTTCTGTAGGTTTTATATGAATTAATCCCTAATCCCTATGATCTCAGCATAAATACAAGATTTCTATTGTTTTAGCCACTGTGACCTTGACCCTTGACCTTTCGACCCCCAATGCGATAGGCTCCTTAGGATTGCCAAGGACAATCCACAAACCAAATTTGAAGTTCATATGTAAAGTATATCTCAAGTTATCGCGCTGACAAAATTTCTTTTGTTTTTGCCACTGTGACCTTGACCCTTGACCTTTTGGCCCCAAATGCAAAAGGCTTCTTAGGATTGCCAAGGACAATCCACAAACCAAATTTGAAGTTCATATGTAAAGTATATCTCAAGTTATCGCGCTGACAAAATTTCTATTGTTTCAGCCACTGTGACCTTGACCCTTGACCTTTCGGCCCCAATGCAATAGGCTTCTTAGAATTGCCAAGGACAATCCACAAACCAAAAATTGAAATTCATATGTAAAGTATTTCTCAAGTTATCGCGCTGACAAAATTTCTATTGTTTCAGCCACTGTGACCTTGACCCTTGACCTTTCGGCCCCAAATGCAAAAGGCTTCTAAGGATTACCAAGGACAATCCACAAACCAAATTTGAAGTTCATATGTTAAGTATTTCTCAAGTCATCGCGCTGACAAAATTTCTATTGTTTCAGCCACTGTGACCTTGACCCTTGACCTTTCGGCCCCAAATGCAAAAGGCTTCTAAGGATTACCAAGGACAATCCACAAACCAAATTTGAAGTTCATATGTTAAGTATTTCTCAAGTTATCGCGCTGACAAAATTTCTATTGTTTCAGCCACTGTGACCTTGACCCTTGACCTTTCGGCCCCAAATGCAAAAGGCTTCTTAGGATTACCAAGGACAATCCACAAACCAAATTTGAAGTTCATATGTTAAGTATTTCTCAAGTTATCGCGCTGACAAGATTTGTCCGGACACACACACCCACCCACCCACACACACACCCACCCACCCACCCACCCACGGAAGGACAAGGCGGAAACAGTATGCCCCTTCGGCTTCGCCGCGGGGCATAAAAAGATGTCAGCCCAATTGACCAATCAACAGCTTAGTCCACATTTCTGATTTCTAAAATCTGTTGACTGGCGCGCAGGGTCTCATAACATTTGAATTGCTCTGATACATAAGACGTTAGATACGGAAAAGGCTCTGTTGGAAAGCGGGCGATACTCAGACTAGGGAGGGGTAGGGGCTGGGGGAATTATTTTCTTAAGGAGGTAGTTTCAAACTTACCTTTCTGACATCAACTTGAATTGGTAGACATCTTTGTCCAGTGGCACTCTCTAGTTTCTTAGCTGACTGAGAGAAAAAAGGGAATTGTTTAGAATTACTTTTTCATTCTCCAGAAAATCTATGGTACGGAGCATAGGTATGTTAAGTAAAAAGTCTGTCAATGGCTTGATCAGGCTGGCTCCGGTTTCAGTAGCATGAAACTACTGAGAATATTTCTATTCCCCTGGACGGGATGCTAGTCCATCGCAGGTTACTCCCCAGCTAATGCTGGTACCCATTTATACTTCTAGGTGGAGAGATCAGCGAGTTGGGGTGAAGTGGCTTGCCCAAGGACACATACAGCATACGACCAACAGCTGGATTCTAAGCCATGACCCTCTGATCGTGAGTCACGAACCCTAACCACTAAGCCACACTGTAAAGTGGACTGGTCCATTTCAATTTGCGAACTTGTTCAACGAGTCTCTCCACACCGAGTACATACAGGATACAGGTACAAAAACAGTTTTGTTTGGTCTGGTCAAATTAAACAAATAAAACTTGTATTTTGGCATGTGGGGGGGGGGGGGGAACCTTGATACACCACTGGGTTCTTGTGACTACGAATTGTCATGATCAATTACTTGCAATTGATTGCTTAGGTCATAGTACAGATTAAGATGATTACCTCTTGCAATCTATTATATTTTCTGCTGGCTATAACTGTGTTGCACTGATGTCTATGAAAGAAAGAAAACAATGATTGATATCAAGCACTAGTATGGATACAATAGTGAATGGCTTACTGTTTATAGCGAAAAAAGTGTACGTTAAAAATATTGCTGGTACATGTAGTATGATCTGGGAAAGTGTATTGTTTTCAAAGGCAGCCTTAGGCCGAGTAAAAAGAAAAACAGTTCCTCATCACAGCTTGCCTCCTTGTTCCTGCCTGCCTCTAGTCCCACTAACTGGGGCGCTAGAACTCCTTTTTTGACATTTGGGATGTTGGTCTGTCGTAGTACGACAGACCAACATCCCAAATGTCAAAAAAAGGAGTTCTAGCGCCCCAGTTAGTGGGACTAGCCTGCCTCCTACATTTTTTTAAATTCATACATTTGCAATATATTTTTCAAATAAACTGTCACTGTATTGTCTTTATATTCGTTACCAACAAAATTGTAGCTATGTAGAAAGGACTACAGCTCCTTTGGACACAATTTTGTATCATCAACAGAGTCGAGAAAATGGAAGAATCCCGCCTCCTCCATTTTTTCACAAAGTCTGGACGAGAAACTATTTTATTTTTTTTACTCAGTCTGACATTATTTTTCAACCAAACAATTCACAGATGTAGTTTTGGTTCACTGTACCTCATGAAAATTTCCGCAATTGTGAAGCAAATTCCCGATCCACCACCTGTGATGAAGGCCACTTTTCCCCTGAAAGAAAAACCACCAAGCACAATTCAATTGTAAAAAGGTTAAAAGTCCTGATTTCATACTAGTAACATCCTATCAAAATCTAGTCCGAGTAACTTGGACCCAACTTATCGCCTTTTTTAACATTTGGACATGGTCTGGCGATATCGCCAGACCATGCCCAAATGTTAAAAAAGGCGATAAGTTGGGTCCAAGTTACTCGGACTAATCAAAATCCTAAACATCAAAATCCTAGGGCATAACCATCACAGTTATTGCCAGCTGAGCGTTCTTCCTTGTTGTTTCTGCTCTATTATTCTATAATTATAGTTAATATAGTCATGATAGTGATTCTTAAGACAAGAATATATTTGACAAATTAGAATCGTTTATTTTCTTTTATTTCTTTAAACAATAACTAGGCCTATTATTTAAACTTTAGTTGTTAGACTGCAATTGGAACAGATTTTAGACCCCTTGGCTTGGCCTTATCAGTGAAGCTAATACGAGATTACTTAAACTTTAAAATTAATACTTACGTCAAAATATCGGGCTTGAAAACATAGTCGTAACTGGTCAAGCACACATCTACGTCTGGGCTGGCCATTTTAAGTGTCAATCCAACAGACAGTTCAGGCTTGGAGTTGACACAATCATTACAAGTTAATACATTACAAGTTTTACAACTCTAGTTGCAGTTTTGCCGTACGCGTCGTCTATCGCACGTAAACTTTACGTTAATAATATTACCCACCACATGTTATTATCCTAATTTCATACCGCCCTCTTGTGTCAAGTTCACCCGGCATTTACATGAAATACGTACAGCGATACTAAAAATCGCTAGTTTACTCAAATGACCGAAAGATTCTGACCAATCGAATCATGGCTAGATATTGATGAGGCTGAAGGGCCCCTTCAACTTCTGACCAATGGCAAACGCTCATGACGTCACCGACTTCCGATGTTCGTAATGACCCGTCTCATCTGCATGCTATGACGAGCAGAACTTGAAGCAGACTGAATTCCCGTCAATCCAAGTGGGTTCGGTTCGTTCACGTTCGTAATCTTCAATTCATCCAGAAATCACAGACTTTAACTCAAACGTACCATGCACATTTTTCTTGACAACAGGTTTTTTTTAACGACTAGGCGTTTTAAAGCGGGTACATTAATATTTTAGATACTGATTTAATTTTAAAAATACACTGAATAAAATAGTTCTTTGCATTGCAATCGAACAGGATAAGAATTTCTAAGCATCAATAACCATCATAATTATTATTTAATAAAAAAACCCAATAAATTATTGTTTGCATCAATACAATGGCTTGCGTTCCGTGCACTTAACGCAATGTAAACGTTTACTAACGTTGGGAAACGATTCCCCATGCGCAAAAGGATCGCGAACGTTGCAGCCCAAGTGTTCACTTCAAAATGCCTACAACGATGGCTTGGGTTTGGAGAAAACAAAAACATCCCGCCTGACCAGAGCTGTACGTGCTTATCTCACGTTAATTTAGACGTAGAAAGTGCAAAAAAGTTAAAATCCAAACTATTGTAAAGTTGGTCGCAGTTCTCTGTCATCTTTTTTTTTTAATTATAATATATATGAACATAACGCATTTTTTTCTCGATTGGATAATGCGACTGACGGTTTTTTGTCACAACGTTTTTAAAAATCTTTCAGAAGATGTTCGGAAATGTTCCCGCCCAAAGGAAGACCTAGGGGACTATTCCCAGTGTTTGTTATTGACAGTGATCTTTGTATTAATTAAACATTGCGTATACACTCACGAAATATATTGATTTCTTTAGTATTATAACCACGATATGAAAATCTGATGTTTGTTAACTAAGCATCAAAATAACATTATGATTGGAGCTCTTAAGTTAAGAAACACAACAAAACCACTTGCAATGGGCCTATACAGTATTATTTTAGTTTTAACTGGTTATAAAAATTGGACTGGGAACGTTGCTTGACCCTTCCGTCCGCTTCATGTTGGTAATGAGTCTTTTCCATTGGCTGAACTGAATCCAACTGCTCATTGAATTTGTGAGACAAGGTCATCGAACGTTGATGAACACTGAGCATTAAATTTTCTTCTCTCCCTGATACGGTCCAAACGTACTAAGAGTTCTTTTGGGGAACTTTGATGACAACCTGAAATTTGATCAGAAATATTAAAGTCGAATTAGATTTCAGGCAAAAATGGTTCTTTTGTACAGAGGGGTGCTCTCTAAACACGACTTCATCTGCTCACGTCGCCAGAAATGTATTCCTTTATAACTCTTTCCTTTCATTTTGATGTCTTCCTGCAAATGGATTCCATATTTTTCTTATATTTGCGCAACGATAAAGCAGCGCGCACTTTCTTCAGTAACATCACTTTAAATCATAATTCCGCCTTTACTGTTTCTTAAATAAAACAACTTACAGTCTTGACTTCACAGTAGTCCTTGAAACCATCTTCACCTCTACAATGCAAAAACAGAAATTGCGAGGGAAAAAAGGTAAGAAAATGAAACTTTAACCCATTTGGCACAAGTTGTACTGAACAATGTGACAAAGAAAAAGAAGTCTAGATATTTCCTTTGATGAGTTTCCCGCACGATTTTTTTTCGGGGGGGGGGGGGGGGCATGTCACGTCTGCATACAAGCAATGTAGGCCTACTTTGAGTGTATCCAAACTCCAAAGGTTCAACTTACAGATTGTTAATTTTATCAACATTATATAGTCTTATCGCAGAGTGCAAAAGCAAACAGACATAAATTATGCACTGTACAAGTAAACCATGCATAGAGTCCAAAGTCACATTTAAGCAGTGTATAATGGCATTGGAAACAGCCTAAACCAAAGCACTGATTTAAAGCTTGCAAGAGAACAAGCCACCGTGAATATATACTACAAACACATATTAACTGTGTAGCATAAAGTAAAATCTATATACGACTGACATTCTCCAGCGTTTGATACCAAGAACATATTTAATTATATGAGCATTTCAGATGCGTTTTACTATTTACTTCATATCTTTGACTGCTATCATTTAGTTTACAATACAGGGTGAGTAAAAAAAAAAAAACACCCAAATGTCGGGACCATTATTTTAGTGAAGCTCTGCATGTGGCACTTTCAAAATCTATGATATGAAAGCCCCATTCATACTGAGCCTTCTTTTAGTACAAGAATCATTCAAATTACTCATGTAATTTTCAAGTTACGGAATGTTAAACACAACCACCGTTTTAAAGTTCTGTCCACGGATCACAAAAAGGTAAGTGACTGTTCTTTCAGCACTACGAAAACAAATCACAAAGGGTGTGTGTGAATTGTTTGTTTTCGTTTTGCTGAAAGAACGCGCGCCTTTTTTGTGATCCGTAGACAGAACTTTAAAATTGCGGTTGTGTTTGAAATTCCGTAATTTGACAAGTACATAAGTGATTTGAATGATTCTTGTACTAACAGAAAGCTTATGGATTGGGCTTTCATATCCTAGATTTTAAAAGTGCTACATGCAGAACTTCACTAACAAAATTGTCCCGACTTCTTTTTTTTTCACTCACCCTGTAGATCATTACAACTGTTAAAAGTGTTACAAAAATGATAGTTGGAATTCAGTTTCATTTTGCAATTTTTGAAAGAACTTACCCATCCCTACCAACACCAGACATTTTGTATCCACCGAATGGAATCATGGGAGTTATGAGACCGTAGTTGTTAATCCTGGAGGGGGCAAAAGTGAAATTGAATTGAAAATAAAGTGGCCTTTGGTATTTCCCGGTGCATGTGATAAAAATACACGTCTATCAATCAAGGATTTTTTACTGGGCAGTTTCCGCCATTTTCCGATGGGTCACAAGAAAATCCGCTCCGTAAAAACACTGAGAAAACAGTGAGAAAACAGTCAATCTTGCACCAGCTGACTACCGCTAGAGTGAGCTGTGTGCAAATGTCACTGTTTCTACTTTTCAGAGCAGGGGCGGCGGAACCGATGGGGGGAGGGGGGGGGAAGGGGGAGGGCACAAAAGTCGCGGTTATAAATGTGCCCCCTCAAAACTGCTCCTTAAACGCACACATAAAAGCATATGAGAGCGCTACAAATAAAACTGTCTCCTCTCATAAAATGCAAAACTGCCCCTCTAAAACACAAGTACCCCTCTTGCATAACAAGATTTAACAATACCCTTCCCCTTTTTACAAGCTCCCAGTGCATAGTTCGAAATCTGTGTTACCAAATAATGCCCAAATAAAGCGAAAGAACGATATTAAAGGAAATAATTCTCATTAAAATAAACGAAAAATGTACCAGATAAGGCCAGCTCTTATGGTGTTGGCTACAGTCAACGCCTTGTCAATGTCCCGTGTGAACACGGCACCAGCCAGGCCGTATGTCGTAGCGTTAGCACGCTCGACCACTTCCTCGATGGTTTTGAATTTCAGAATCTGCTGGACCGGCCCAAAAATCTGAAGAAAAAAAATCAATCCAATCGAATAGTTGTGTGTTCTTTCTCTGATAATAAAATTAAGAAGTAAATATAATTTGGCTTGAATTTACGAATTTCAGTGCAAAGCTTTTATTGAATGTGACGGCTTACCTGACCTGCGATCTATTGTGAGACGTTAGAATCGCCTCGTCAGGGAACCAGACTAACCTCTTCCTTGGCAATGCGCATGTCATCTGTGACGTCAGAGAAGACGGTGCTCTCCACGAAGTAGCCACAGTCTCCCTTGCGTTGACCTCCGCACTGAAGCTTGGCTCCTTCCTTCTTGCCGCTCTCGATCAGCTCCAAGACCTTATCCAATTGATCTTGGTCGATCTAGGAATGAATCATCGGTGAAACACGGGCCCTAAGGTTGCAGACCAGTAACCCTAAAAATGCCTGTATTCAGGTTATAACCGTACACTGTCAATTTTCTCTTAATAGAGAAATTTGTGACTCCTGCACTCTTGGCATGGTAGAAATGAAGGGTCCCAGATGTAGGCCGAAACCGATCTTTTAGGCCAAAAAAAAATTTCCGGTTTCTGGTCTGCGCGCGCGTCGCCGTAGCTATGCGCGTCGGCATAATTAAGTATAAGCTTTATTTGGCCTCTCTGGGCTCCCGTATATTTGCACTAAATTTAGTCGGGCAAACGTCGCTCTATTTTGCAATTGAGTAGAGAGATCATTTTCCAAAATGGCGATGGGCTTTACATTATTTTAAAAGATACATTTTATGCTTATTGTGGTTAGTGATTACGCTTTGTTGCACGCATAAAACTGGCGCCCCCCCGTACCTGGGGTCCGCCTTCCGTCTTGACATCGTACGGGTCACCGACCACGCGTCTCTCCGCTCTCTCCCTGCTCTTCCGGACAAATTCATCGTAGATGTCCTCCTGTACGAAGATCCTGGTGCCGGCACAGCAGACCTGACCGGAATGAAGGAAGACGCCCCAATGGCTCGTCTCAACTGCGTAGTCAACTGATGCCAAGAGAAAATAGAAAACACTATGAACCAGATAACAGGCGGGGTATAAATGTCGCTACTACGGTCAAATCGGGGTAATAAATGTCGCTACTGTAGTCAAATCGGGACCAAATTTGATCTAAAATCATGTCTCCGTGTCGCTACCTGGTACGGCCTCACACTCTCTAAGATGGGATACCCGAAAGCTGTCACCCGAGACCTGACGCGCTGCCGAATAAGCATCGCTGCACTCACCGAAGCTTGTATCCCAGGAAGCGGAGAACGCCGTGTCCACGATTGAGCTGTATCACTCTGATGGTACAGGCTGCACGGAGGGAGTTGCCTTGCTCCTCAACAAGGTCAGCCCATCCTTTGTACAATGGATGCCAGTCTCTAACCGGATCCTTCATGCACGGCGCCATAGACATTGATACATCACCATTACGGTCTACGTACCGGGTACCACCACGCCGTTTGATGGTAGATCAGTCCGATATAGACAACACAAACGTTGGCACTAATTAAAATGTTGCTGTCAGGCAACAAATTTGAAGCCCTGGGTGCTCTCGAAGAAGACAAACAGTCCGCTTGGTCTACGTTCAACGATTCTCTCCGCCGCCTGCCATAATTCTACTCCACGTACCTCACGTACGACCAACTACTAGTCATTGGAGACCTGAACGCTGTCAGCAGGTAAGAGCGCGCTGGCTTTGAGCTTCGGCTCCGGGCGACCAAATGACAACTCGGCGCGCCTCCTCAACATGTACTTCCTTGCCAACCTGTCAATCGTAATTGGGTACTTCTTCACACTGTATGCAGGATGGCCGCATACTCAGAAGACATTCTTTACGGCAAACTGGTATCCAGGAAGAGAACTGTTGGCTGCCCCCAGCGCACTACAATGATTCCTGCAAGCATGATATGAGGGCACTCAATAACGCCACTAGGAGGACATTGCAGAAGATCGTACCAGATGGAGAAGCGCTCTTGGGCACCGTCCGATGTGGGAAGAGGTAACTCTCCCGAGTCTGGCTGAGGAAAAAGAGCTCGCCGACAGGTGCACCGCACTACAAACGATCCAGAGACAATCCACAGCTTTGGCCAGAGCGGCAGTAATTGTCATGCATGCATCGGCATCTGCTGCCTTCCCATAGCCGACACTGTTCCGGTCGCAGAGGGACAGAGACAATCAAGGTCGACTCCCGACCGACGGAGGCCTATTAGAAAGGCAAATATTATATTTGAAACTCTTATCTTTCGTTTATTTTCATATGACTTACGGTCACAGTCTGCGAAGACAACGTTTGGACTCTTCCCACCCAGCTCCAGATGGATTTTCTTCAGGTTACTGTTGGCTCCAGCTCGCTGAATGATGCGCCCAACCTAGACATCCATACAAAAAGTCTGAAGTTAAAATATTGTATAAATGTCTATAGTTCATCTTGAAATAGGGTATAGAAAGAAACAAAAATGGAGAAAACAAGATGAGGAAATTCTGTACCTCAGTTGAGCCGGTGAATGTTACCATGTCAACATCCATACTGCCTGTCAGGGCTGCTCCAGCTGTGGGTCCGTAACCAGGTACCACGTTGATAACACCAGGAGGGAAACCAGCCTCAAAATGACAACAACAAAAATGTTTTATTTTCCAACGGTCTTCCCATCTATTTTTGTTTTGTCTCGCCAAAAATTTAAATTGTACCCTTTATGGTCCCATCCACGTACGTGTTGCCAACGCATTTGCGCATTGACGCAACGTATAGGTGTTATCGTTATTGCAAACACTTGCAACTTTTCGTCTCTAATTATACCTCTTTGACCAGCGAAGCAATGTAGAGAGCGGTGAGCGGACTCTGCTCTGCCGGCTTGATGACCAGCGTGTTGCCCACGGTCAGAGCGCAGGACAGCTTCATCCCGGTCAGCCCACAAGGGAAATTCCAGGGAATAATGGCTGCCACCACGCCGATCGGCTCGTAGCGCGAATAGCAGAAGTAATCCCCGTCTAATGAGTGTGGAAGAATGATAGTCAGATAAAAAGACGGACGCACAGACTGAGGCGGCAGAGCGAATGCAGGGAAAGTCGATTGAATCAGGGACTGTTATAACAAGCCGCCTAGCTTTGCAGACTGTGAGTTGGCATGTCACGAAGTGCACATGTATGAATAAAGATACTGTAGCGCGGTCTTCCTCGTCTTGTCCTCATCCAATCTGTCGCTAAACGCGACAAAAATTGGACTTGACAAAATGAGCTTAATTTCAGTACAATTCAACTTTATTTGGTAGCGCACAACTGTTATAATCGAGTTCGAAAGTTTCCTACATTTTGATGGTTTACCTGAAGTACTGCAGCTGATGTTTTTAATGTATATCAACTTCACGAGGTCCAAATATGTAATTGATAGCTTTTTTCCTGATTGGTCAGCATCTCATAGGAGTTGGGGGCTAGCTCACCTAGGGGAACGACCTTTCCGTGAAGTTTGTCTGCGTAGCCGGCACCGTACCGCAAGTAACTGACGCTGGCCATGACAGAGACTGTGGCGGTCTTGACTGGCATACCATTGTCCATGACCTCAAGGTTCTAAAAGAACAAGACAATAAGACCAATGTTGAACAAGAGCCATCTACAGCCTAGGGCTCGGGTTTCCCACCCGGTAGAGTTAGAGGACAATGGGTTTGTATCTCTACCTTTTGCGCATTCATTGTTGACAATTAAAACAAAAAAGAGCACCACGTTGTGCCACTTTCAAGTACCGCCTCCACACGGTTGAAAACCTTCATCGGTTTAAGCCCTTACCGTGAGATACTCCTGGTCCCTCTCGATGAGGTCCGCCAGTTTGTTGAGCAGACGTGCCCGACCAGTTGCGTCCATGCGTCGCCATGGTGAACCCAGCTTGAAGGCATCCTGGGCAGCGCGGACCGCCTTGTCAGCATCCGCCTTAAAAATAAAACGAACTCGATTTTATCTCTCATATACGGAGTTATAGACTGAGGTCTTGTAAAAGTTGCTCTTCAATCTTCTGATCTTACCTTGTCTCCTTCCTGAACATCGCACGTCTTCTTGCCCGTGGCCGGATTGAGAGTCGCAAAGGTCTTTCCGCTCACGGAGTTGACGAACTCATTGTTGATGAAGATCTTGACGAGAAATAACAATAGGTTATTTTATGATAAGGCAATAATAGTGTATTTGGAACAGTTTTAAACGTCTGGTTTAAAACCGCGTATACAAATGTATACTGGTACATGGTCGCCGCTAATGGCCCGAGCCAAATGCTCCCCACATGACAGCTAACATCACCTCTCTGAGCCCCTGAAGAAAAACCCCTGATTCTGTTAGAAATAATCAAATTATATCGCCAACCTGCGTGTATTTCACGTCAACGGGTGCCATTTTCTATGGTTTCCAAGCTATATGGTTGTACACTGGATCCCTCCAGCCGGCAAAGATGACGAAGCGCAGAAGGTCAGATAGTCGCCTATCACCGTTCTGTTATAATGAAGTTGTGTCATTCTATAAATGTTGGGTCCAAAGTCTAACTTTTGTCCTGTTCCTGTGACCTCGGTACTTTGTAATTTGCCAATCAAGTGTTATAAAGAATGACTGGTTGGTTGGTTGGTTGGTTTGTTTGATTTTTTTTGGGGGGGGGGGGCTGTCTGTTCATAATCACTCTTGGAAGACGATTACATTAGTGCCCAAATTTGGACCCCAAAATTTTAGAAAAACCCTGTTATATCACCATCCTTCATATGAGGGCGCCATGCAGGTACCTTTCCCAGCATGGCCGATTAAAAAAAGTGAATGTAGCCTATATTCCTTGTACCGTGTAGATTAAGACCTCCAAAAAAGTTCCTCATAACCGGAGGCTTGGCACATCCCCCTCAAAATCCCGTTGCCCCACATCCTCAGGTGCCCCCCCCCCTAAGACCAGGAAAGTTGTCCCTAACCGAAGAAGTCGTTTTAAGTAATTAAACCAGAAAAGGTATGCTGTAATTCCCCTCATTTATGAAATGAATAGAGATATAAGTAAAATGTACATGTATATATAAAAGGGGCCCCAAGCGTCAAATGAGGTCCAATCGTTCCCCCCCCCCCCCCCACTTTTTTAATTTGCAGACACTGAACATTTTTGGGAAGAAATCCCCTTGCTTACTCCCCTCCCATAAAAAGCTGGTCACCCCCACCCCACGGGAAACAAATGTTGGCTAAGCCACTTGCGACAAGCAGATGGATCAGAACTTAGAGGTGGGTTCGGTTCACCCTCCAAAATTTTTGTGTGATGCAATCAAGCTAAATGAGTCGTTTGTCGGCAATTACAGCCCAAAATAGGTCTGTAGGGGTGGACATTTCAAAATAAACTTTTTTTGTAAAATCGGAAGGCTACATATGTCCTCTTTCATGTCAACTAAAAACTCAGGATAAAGTAGTTAAAATGTGACATTTGATAAGGAGTTAATATTCAATAATCTGAAATAAAGCATGTTTATTGTTGCTTAATAAATACTTCAATTTTGAATCGTTGATTTCTCTGTTTGATTTCTCTGTTTTTTCCTTTCTGATCTGCCTGTGTTCTAAGTCCCATAACTTCTGAATGGACGGTCGTATTCACATGGGGTTTTCATCAAATATAAACTGAAAGATAGCTCTATTCAAAATTGTCAAAAAATAAACAATTCGATAAGGGCCGACAAACGACTCATTAAGCTTGGTTGCAAATTCATTCACATATCTGTGACTTCAACTCAAAACTGCACTTTTTTCTTCACAAAAACAACATTCGTTTTGATTTTTATTAACGACTTGGTGTTTTATAACGGATATACATGTATTATTTTATTATTCTCAGATATGCATTTATATATGTCTTAATTATACTTCTTTGGTTCAAATATAAAACTGCACTGAATAAAAGACTTCTTTGCACTGCACTCAAGCGGGATGTGACGTGAGAAACATCAACACCACAACGTGATCTTCTTAAATCAACAACTTCAACAAATTAAAACAAGTTTGCAGTAAATTACAAAAATAGTATTCAATTCCACTCGCAGCCTATGTTACGGAAGCATTAGGTGGCCAACTGCGATTCCGCGTTTCCGTGAAAAATTATCGAGTTTCCTAGATTTAGCATCAAGGAAAGACATCTCTAATAGGAAAGTACGGATGCCGTCGTTCCGTGTTTCACAAAATCACAGATGGTCACTTTAAGCCCCTTACCATACTGATTGGGGGAAAGGAAAATCCTTGCCAAAAAATCTTTTCTATCGACTGAAAATATAATTGGACGTGCAGTTACAAAACAAAAAGAAGGTTCCTATATAAAATTTAATACACTTCCAAAATTTGGACCAGTTCTCTGTACATTTTCCTCTTTCCAGCGGGCAAGCATTTAGAGTCCTCTTTTACCTATCTTTCCCACTGACTGACCGACCGACCGACCGACCGACTGACCGACCGACAGATGACTATACTCTCAGTGTTTATAGAAAAAACCAATTGTGTCTTGTTATTAGAAACAACTTTTGGAAACAAACTGTTTTAAAATGGAGTTTTGACAAATTGCATTTCATCTATGCATTTGATCTGATTTCGTTGTTATTATTACAATTATGCTATTATGCTAATTATGCTATTATGCTAATCATACAAGTATGATTCCCCTTTTTATTGTCATACAGCTACGAGGCCTCAACATATTACGATCGGGCTTCTTAAAGAAACACAATACAACATATAATTTTAATTTTATTGAAAAAATAAAACATGGATTAGGAACGTTGCTTGAACAAGCGTCCTGATCATGATTCTTTTAAATCGGTTGAACTGAAACCACTTGATCAATGCTCTCGTCAGTGTGAAAGGTCACCGAAGGTTGATGAACATGAACATGCCTTTCTCTCTGTCTGTCTCCGATGCGGTTAATACGTACACCATCTAAGAGTTCTTCTGTGGAACTTTGATGACAACCTGGAATTTGGTAAGAAATATTAAAGTTTAATTAAATAACAAAATGGCTTAAATAGTGCTTAAAATTTAAAATCGGACACTAACTGTAAACAGTTCTGTCTGCTCAAAAATACAAGGGCTACTCTCCTAACTTTCCCACAGTCTGCTGTCTATAATTATATACCTCCTATACATAATTTGTCAAGAAAGTTCTACTGGATTTTATTTTCCTGGACCTTATTTTCTGCGTTGTTTTTTTTGCCCAATCAATTTTCAATCAGCTACATGTTTAATCCTCATTGATAATAAATTCAACTTACAGTCTTGACTTCACAGTATTCCTTGAACCCGTCCTCACCCCTACAACGCAAGAAAGGAAAATCAAAATGTTCATTTCAAAACACGACAAAGTCGATCCCGATGTGGTAAATTATAGAAAATTTATAGTACTAACATTACCTCTCCTTTGGGGGGGGGGGGGGAATGCTACGCCCGAAGCTAGACGAGCAAAGTACATGTACTGAGATCCGACCAGTGCTTTAATATCACAGAGGGCACAAGTCGTGCAAATGCAAACAGCAAGTACATGCTCCGTACAAATACTTGGAGTCCAAAGTCACACATTCAAGCAGGATATAATGGCGTTCAAAACAGCCTAAACTATATCAAAACACTGATTTAAAGCTTTCCAGAGTACAAGCTATGGTAAATGTTTGTACAGGCACTACTTAAGGTAAAGTGGAGAACAAAGTTCCTTTTTTTGTACACGTAATCAATAAAGTAATATAGTGCATGTAAAGCATGACACATGAGCATAAAAGGCACGAGAGTGGACTGAAAACGTATATCTGTTGATGTACCCTTAAGGAGAGTTTTTTGTCATAAGATATACCTTAGGGAGACACCGAACATTACGGAGACGTTTAGGCAACATTTTAATGTCGCAAATAGGCTCGATCGATTGTTCATGGTCCAAAACATAAATATACCAAAATCTCGTGGGGGTAGGATTAGGGATAATTGAGGTAAGGGTTGTTTACAGTTGGACACATTTTGTGCACAACCCTATGGGAATGTCTCCCTAAAGACACCATTTCCCGTAATTATCATTATTACATTGTATTTGTGAGGCATAAAGGAATATCTAGACGAATGAGAATATTTAGTGTTTAATTACATTTAAACCTTCGCATTTATTTACTGTCATGGACATTAATTAAAACAATCAGATGTTTTTCTCGGTCATGTCCACTTGTCTGTCGATAGGTTATAGGATACAAAAGCATGACGCTTCACCTTATACCTAAATGTTGTCGTAAATTTGTTATAGTATTGATCCATGTACATTATTAAACATTGTACACCATTACATAATTCATTGCATTTTGCTCTGTATAATAAGTTTGCAAGACATAGTAACATTTTATAGTGTGGAAATGGCAACATTGAAATAAATGTGTGTATACTATTGCTATTAATTACTGTCATTAGATTATAATACAGCATGAGCAGTATTCAAAGCGTCATAAAAATATAATATATTTCATATTAATTTTATCTCATTTTACAGTTCGGAAAAGAACTTACCCCTCCCTGCCAACGCCGGACATTTTGTATCCACCGAAAGGAATCATGGGACTGAAGAGACCGTAGTTGTTAACCCTGTAGAGAAATTGAATTAAAAGTTAAGGTTAAAAGTAGCCTTTGGTACATTTCTGGTGAAAAAAAATACATGTCTATCAATAAAGTTATTTTCAAGTTTGTCATTGAGCGGTTTCCGACATTTTCTGATGAAACAAAAGAAAACGCATGGTTTTCTGATTTGATGAAGAGTGGTTCTTGTAAAGTAAGGACAAATGCACGCACTGCAGTGAGCCGAGATGAAGTTTTCATCACGACACACTCGGAAAGGGTGCAAGACAGTTCTTATCTCCGTCGACTCGATCAAACTACTAGGGAAGATAATACAAGGGGGTTGTCTTTGATCACACTAGGAGTCTTACTGTGATGTCATGGCTACAGCCGAAATGTTAGTAAGCTGCATTGTTCAGATTTCTGTAAGTCATCTATAGACATTGCCAAAGATGGCTTTATTAGTTTTTTCAGTGATGTCTTACTCATGATTTCCTTATTGCCATAAACAAAACTATAGAGACAAAAGCAATACACTCTTGACAGCAATATGCTCTTGGGAGCACATGAAAAAACAAATTGTATTAAAGCGTATTATTCTTGTTGAAATGAACGACTGATGTACCAGATAAGACCGGCCCTTATGGTGTTGGCTACAGTCAACGCCTTGTCAATGTCCTTCGTGAACACGGCACCAGCCAGGCCGTACGTCGTAGCATTGGCACGCTCGACCACTTCCTCGATGGTTTTGAATTTCAGAATCTGCTGGACCGGCCCAAAAATCTGAAGAAGAAAAAAAGAAAGAAAGTCAATCCAATCTTTAAACTAGTTTTTAAGGGCTCATTTGGAAATTCAAAAATATTTCATGGTTAAGCCACTTCACACAGATGTGTCTGCAAACTTCTCCAAAGTATGTAAGAGGTTGTCTATTCTCAAACATGATGTGCATCCACTGTTGAAAATCAGATGAGAGATTGTTATGTTTACCTCTTCCTTGGCAATGCGCATGTCATCTGTGACGTCGGAGAAGACGGTGCTCTCCACGAAGTAGCCACAGTCTCCCTTGCGTTGACCTCCGCACATGAGTTTGGCGCCTTCCTTCTTGCCGCTCTCGATCAGCTCCAAGATCTTGTCCAGTTGATCTTGGTCGATCTATAGGAGTGAATTCGTTTTAACAAGAGCTGTAAGTTCACCGAACAATAAACCATTATCATATTGCGGCCATCTTGAATTATTCCCATTCAAATTAACGTAACCATGGCGAGGCTAGAAGGAAAAATAGTCTGGTTCCTTTTTTGCACCAAAAAATTATCATTCAGTACTGCTATTGGATATCGGGAACATGACTAAAATGGTGGCCGCAGGATAAAGGAATATATTGGCCATTTTTTCAGCCCATGCCATAATATTTATCTGGTACCGGCCCCGATTATGATATATTTTGCGATCAGCAAATGTGTGCAGAACAGAATCAGTTAGTTCCCCTATCTTCCCGAAAATTGGCACATTTCGTTCGGTGCAAACAATAATGGACCAAAATGGCGTGCACAAGTGCCGATGATTGGCTGTTCATTTTTTTTCTTAACACACAGATTGGCTAAGCGACATTTTCTGTTGAGAATAATTATTCCAGTGTCCAAGAGGCTCTGCTGTTTTGATGCTCTTGCCTCAGTATGTATTTTATCAGCTGTTAACGGAATGGTTCTCGGGCTTTTATGCATCCTTGATAAAATCCTCCACAGCCATGAGTTGGGAAGAAAAGGTGAATTTTAATTGAAAAAATGATTAATGTGCCTTATTCATATTGAATTGAAAGTTAGGTAAAATCTTAATTTTTTGAACCTGTGATGAGAAATGAAAGCAAGTTAATTTATAATAAATTCCAGTCTGCTTCAATGAATATTTTAAAATTTGTAATTAAACATTCTCTAATGTTTAAAGTGATATTTCAAAAAAATGAAAGTAAAATAAGGCTGCATTGTGTCTGCATAAATAGTCTGGCGCCATCCCATTTAACAGTTAACAATTAAGGAAATACATCCAGGAACTCGACAAAAATGGCCAACTCGTCAATAAGGCCCATTGAAACACGATAAAATAAAGGGAACAGAGAGCGAGAGAGAGAGAGAGAGAGACGATGATGCATTGATTCGAATCTACGGCATTCCCATTTCAAAAAACACGAGCCTTAACCGCGAAAAATCAAAACCAAATAAAGTCATCTCACGTGGTAATCATGAGATACATGTCGAGAAACATTTTGATACATGCTTCTGAATGATGAAGAAGTTGTAGCTACGGAAATGCAAACTCTCATTCTTGTTATTGGTTTCAAGTGCTGTCTTTAATTTCCAATGCTTACTACAGCAAGTATATACGTGGTTGCAGAAAACATATAGCGTTTTCGGCGTACCTGGGGTCCGCCTTCCGTCTTGACATCGTACGGGTCACCGACGACGCGTTTCTCGGCCCTCTCCTTGCTCTTCCGGACAAATTCATCGTAGATGTCCTCCTGTACGAAGGTCCTGGTGCCGGCACAGCAGACCTGGCCGGAGTTAAGAAAGACGCCCCAGTGGCTCATCTCCACAGCGTAGTCAACTGATAATACCAGATTATCAAAAGAGAAAACATGGTGAATTGGATAACACAAGATACAAAATCAATTTCGCTGGGATATTGAATAATTATGATCAATTAGTTCATCAGAAAACAGTGGAGGGCGACATTTTTAATTGTACTGCTAAGCACCGTAATTTGCTTAGCAAAGAAACTAACAGAGCACCAGCCAAAATGTCATGCAATTTATATTGCTCGGGACTGGGGTTCTCTGTTCATTTTTTGCTCAGCACGAAAAAATGGCAAAGGTCGTGGAACTGTACGTTTTCAATTAGGTAACATTGCTTCTTTGCGAGGCATCTGGTAGGTACTGCAATATTCATGGCACGTGCCCCTACCTCCGCCCCCTCCCTTTGGTTACGTCACAGTCACTTAATGATCGAATTATTCTGGACTGATATGAAATTTTGATTTTTTTTTTATGACTTACGGTCACAGTCAGCGAAGACAACATTTGGACTCTTCCCACCCAGCTCCAGATGGATTTTCTTCAGGTTACTGTCGGCTCCAGCTCTCTGAATGATGCGCCCAACCTAGACATACATACAAACGGCATGGTATCTCATGTTTAAGCTGTCAATTATCTTATTTTCGGTATACGTGAAGCCCCTGTATGATTAGGGCCTAAATACAAGTTGAAGATATTTCTGTACCTCAGTTGAGCCGGTGAAGGTTACCATGTCAACATCCATACTGCCTGTCAGGGCTGCGCCAGCTGTGGGTCCGTAACCAGGCACAACGTTGATAACACCGGGAGGGAAACCAGCCTAAAAATGAACAGGAAAAAACCTGCATTATGATTTCTGCAGATCTCTTTTATTTTTAAAAGCTCAACAAAAAGTGAAGTTGTGCCCGAATCTTTTCAACTGACTGGTCCATCAAACGATCGATCCATTAGGCCCCGCCCACTTCGCACCTGGGCAACATCACGTGTGCGTCTGTAATAACGCACGCGTCATAATGTAAGACACGCGTGTCGGACATCAGTCACGGCTGTGATTGGTCAAAGCATCATAAAGGCGGAGCTATAGTGGATCGGTCTATTCAATGATTCAAATACAGAGTGCAAAATAATGTGTGATTACCTCCTTGGCGAGTGAAGCAATGTAGAGAGCGGTGAGTGGACTCTGCTCTGCCGGCTTGATGACTAGCGTGTTGCCCACGGTCAGCGCGCAGGAGAGCTTGGCTCCGGTCAATAAGCAAGGGAAATTCCAGGGAATAATGGCTGCCACCACGCCGATTGGCTCGTAGCGCGAATAGCAGAAGTAATCCCCGTCTGGGAACGGAAGCATGAAAGTAAGCCAGACCGGAAAGACAGACGCAAAGTTCAAGGTAGAGAGTTTGGAACGATACGGATTTGGTTCAAAAGGGGGGAGGGGTAGGAGCATTGAATGGGGGTAGCTGTGAGGTCCGGGAGGATGCTGCCCGGAAAAGGTTTGGAATTGAGAGATGCTTTCTTGTGCATTCTGCCATAAACAATTTAAGGGTTATGATTTTGTTCGGTTTTATTCCTTGCTATCATTTCCTTTTGGCAGAAGGGGAGGGGCGGACCCTCCCTAAAATAATTATGCAGATCTGTCACTGCATGCACTAGTCAAAAGCTTTACTAAATAGTTTTGGCCAGTCTCGCATAGAGGCATTTTCAAACTCATTTGGTGATAAAAAGCTCCTTAAACAAGGAGCCCCAAACTAGGTCATTTACCAAATTTACTTGATCTGAGTTCGAGACTTAAAAAGCTTTCCCGCATTACGAAGGCGCATACGTGTAGTACTGATCTTTAAACTAAGAACTCTAACTTCATGAGAGTTCAACTGTTATTGACGGATGCTAGTAGTTTTTGATATGTCATCGTCTCCTTTTTCAGGGGGGGGGGGGGTTGGGTGTTGGGATATAGCTCACCTAGGGGAACGACCTTCCCGTGAAGTTTGTCTGCGTAGCCAGCCCCGTACCGCAAGAATTTAGCGCAGCCCATGACAGAGCCCGTGGCATTCATGACTGTCATACCATTGTCCATGGTCTCAAGGTTCTAAGAGAATGAGAAAATGTCCACATTATGTATCACCGGAAACCTGTCACACTGGACTCGGCATTAAAGGCACATGAGGAACACTGGCATTAGTATCCAGAAATGAACCTACGATTTTAATGAGAAAAACCTTCTTAGATAGTTCTATAGAGTATATTCTGTGAAATTATTCAGCCTGAATTTGTATCGTTCAAAAGAAAACTAACCTTGAAGGTGAATTTAGTCTCAATTTTCCCTGAAAATATTAAGCCACATAGGAACCATGAATTCCGGGTGTATAAAGTAAAGCAAGAAAAAAATAGTAAAGTCTGTTATGAGCCAATGTGGCCCATCGGGCCGGTGTTTATATCCAGTTTCAGTAGCATGAAACGACTGAGAATATCCCTGGATGGGATGCTAGTCCATCGCAGGTCACTCCTCAGTTATATGCCGGTACCTATTTATACTCCTGAGTGGAGAGAGGCAAGTGGGGGTGAAGTGGCTTGCCCAAGGACACTATGACCAGCAGCTGGATTTGAACCCTGTCCCTCTGATCATGAGTCACTAACCCTAACCACTAGGCCACACTCCCCACAATTCCGGGTGTATGTTACATCTCCATGCCCCTACCACTTGCAGGTACCTATCCTCCCTTTCTCCTATTCATAAGCCCTTACCACGAGATACTCCCGGTCTCTCTCGATGAGGTCCGCCAGTTTGTTGAGGAGACGTGCCCGACCAGTTGCGTCCATGCGTCGCCATGCTGAACCCAGCTTGAAGGCATCCTGGGCAGCGCGGACCGCCTTGTCAGCATCGGCCTTTAAATAAAATGACCTGGAGTTTATATAATTATATCTTATATATACGATCTTGGATATGACGTGTTCAGCACACAGTTTATCTGATCTTGATGCTTTAATAAGAATATCTGATATTGACTTTTGTGTTTGCTCTTCACGTACGTAATTTCATGTCCGATGAATTGCGAGAAAGAAATTCACAATCTTACTCGAACCCATGACGTCCTGCGTTAAGGCGGAGTTGGAGTGAAATCTTCTAAAAGTTGCTCTTCAATCTTCTGATCTTACCTTATCTCCTTCTTGAACATCGCACGTCTTCTTGCTCGTGGCCGGATTGAGAGTCGGAAAGGTCTTTCCGCTCACGGAATTGACGAACTCATTGTTGATGAAGATCTTTATAAAACAAATAAGGAAACTGGACAATTAATATGAAGGAATCGTATTGTTTTCGCGTTCGAGGTACTATAAACGAAGTCGCGTCTGTAGCAGAACGAGGAAGAATATAAATACTGACGATTTGAGAATCAAGTTTTACTCCAACACAAAAACAAGAACTCTGCCCCTTGCCAATAAATGCATGCGCTGGTCTGGCTTAATAATCATGTTGCTTCGATTGTTGTCGAATGTCTCTTAATTCGTACGCGTTATCCATAGACCAAGTGATATTTATTTACCTTTATTTTATATCCACCACGAACAAAATACTAAACTCAATCACAGACCACGAACAGAGAGTGTCTTCTCCTCTAACTAAAAAAAAAGGATCGCATTATTAACTCTGATGTCTTTTAATATAAGCCCCTATCTAAAATAGCAACTTGCATTCGCCAACAACTTAAATCTGCACATCTGTTTAATAATGCAGTCAGTCACCGACAAGCGCAAGAATCAAGATGAATCAAATCCAGTATTTGGAACGTCAGCAACGCTATTTGATTTAGCGACTTCCATACCTCGGCACGGCTTCATGTTACCACGGACCTAAATGGTCCGTGATGTATCCACGGAAGAGGATCCGTGATGTAACCATGCTTATCGGGGATCGACTAGCTGAATCAAATCCAGCCTTGGACAAAGACTACTCAACTTCCACTAATTCACCTTGCACGTGCACAATGTTAGATTAGGGCCTATGGAAGGAATACATGTATATACGTGTTGAGCCATGTACAAAGTTCCTGTTACGCAGAATGAGCTTTCTTTCATGTTCATGTCATGTTTATTTTTTCCTCTCTTCAGTTACATGCTTGAAAATTGTGTTTTCCAGATGATCAGATGGGACAAATAAAGCAACAGTTATGTTAGAAACATTCCAATATAGGTCTACATTTATTGCATATGTATGTACATGTATCGCCTACCTTCGTGTACTTGACTTCAACGGGCGCCATTTTCTATCGTTTGCAGTCTGACTGTATGTTGTACGCTTGTCTGATTTCCCTACGACCGGCCAAGGTGACGAAGCTCAAAAGGAACGAGTGCCCGCCTACCACTGGGTTTTTAATGAAATGTTATCAGCCTTGAAAATCGCTGACACCGCGAGTTTATGTTTGTTTAACCTTCGCCCGTCGTAAATAGATTTGTGTAATTTTTGATTTTCTATAAGTAAGGCACAGCACGACCAAAGTGCGATTAGCTATTGTTACAATAATTGCACTGTCATCTCCCAATCACAAAAAAAGCGATGGTGTTTTTATTATACTTATTGTAATGAAACACCTGTTTGTTTCTCTTCCGGCAAATTATTGTATTCGTCATTTTCAGGCGCGGTTTTTTTTTTTTTTTTATTTGCAGACAGTTTTGATATACTTTTGGTAATCACTTAGAAAAAAATGTGGGTAATTGTAGAAAAAAAAGTTGAAAAAAATATTTCACCGAATCAATTTTAAACGGTCTTGTTCATTATATTTACGATTATCCGAATCTAATTTCTTTTCTGTTCGTTGTCTCTCTACAATTTGTTTGCCTTCAACTTTTTGTTTAAAATTTATTTACTATAGGCCTGAAATGATCGTCGAATATGTGTGAGCAGTGGGGTAAGTTCGTATAGGTACATAATTATGATCATGCTTGATTGCCTTTATTTGGTTTTCGCTTGAGGCAAAATTGTTAGGATGCATATATAACAACTGTAATAGCTGTGTTGATATACATTTTGAGAAAACAGACTCCATACGCACGTTGCTAGCGCTCCTGATTCAGAATTTGCCGTGCCATACTTTTTTAATTGCCCCCTCTTGTGTTCAATTCCTTAATCAGCATTATTATTCAGCTAAGTATCGAGGCACACTTTTTTAAATTCATCTTCAGTGATGGTATTTCATCCGCCAAGTATGCACCAATTTCAAGTGGGAAAATTTGCAAAGAAATAGGCCTACTGTATATATTCTGGTAGAAAATTAGCAACGTTTTTTGCCCAACTCCGGAATTCGTGGCTCCATGTATGTACCCAACAACTACACGCGCATAATCCGTACTACGGTGGCTGTGTTCGCCAATCCGTTGCGCAAGTACGGCGTTATATCGCCGTACAATTGCGTTATGTATTGCTTTACTACTGCCCTGTAAATTTCCAAGCTAACAACTTTGTGATATATAGGGGGTTGGCAACGTGAGCGTGCATTAGGATCCGCACAAAGTGTTTTTTGTCTTGCATTTTCTTGTCATTAGTTAACTATTTTTTTCCTTGAAGGTCAATATTCCAACTGTGGCACCCTTAAACAGCCTTTACTATTAGATCAATTAATGTGCAAATTAGATAAACTGCAATTATGAAACTACATGTACGAGTTTTTCTTCAGGATCTCTTCATTCATGAACTAAGATGTCTACATCGACCAGGTTTGGGGGTCAACGAATTCATTTATGTTATAACAATGAAAATTCGTGTATTTTATGCATGATAATTATGTAAATTAGCAATCTCCATTATCAAAAAATAAGTTCTATCTATATCTTCGCAGGACGTATCAAACGAGATGTCTATTAAAACCATAGAGCTTTATAATTATACAGCTCTATGATTAAAACCCATTTTTTTGGATCGACAAATTCATCGGAAGCCATTCTTACAATGATAATGTAAATATATCATTCGTAACATGCAATTTAGTATCCGTCATAATCAGTATAATTTAAAAGCCTACCAGTACCTTTCCGTAGGAATTTATTACCATATCAATTTGAGGTATCGAACTATAGACCCATATTGTCAGCGTGACTTGTTCAATTTAAGCTTCATTATGGAAATGTAATTTCATATCATGTAGAAATAGGCCTATGCAGATTAGCTGTAATAATTAGTTTGTCGTGAATGTCGTGAATGTCGTGTTTTCTAAATAGGATCTGTTATTTAGAAGGCACTCATTAGCGACACTACAAAACAAACATCACACGTATATGTATACACAGAGGTTAACCTACGTTCGAAAGTTTAAAAACTAAATTATAAAAAGACGTTAGGCCTAGACATACTTTTGAATAAAATACATGTACGTTTGGTACAAAGTACACCCCATGTGTGCTGTTTGACCCTGCATGATTAAAATAAGTTCATTAAAAGTGTCCTTTTGTTGTAAAATATACTTGAAGCAACCTTGGGAGTATAGATTATTTTTTTGGCACAGTTTTGACTGGTTGGGTGGAGAGGGTTGCTGGACAGACGTTAGTTCCATCTTCTCCTTTTTATTTAACTTATCTTTAGAAAACAATTGACATTTAAAGGATATTTCTGTGTAAATATGGTAGTATTCATATGGGCTCTAACGGAATTCTAAAATTATCTTTCCTACGCCCGGTATGAAATATGTTCCCTTAAAATATGCAAAATATCATACTTTATGCACACAAAACGTGCATAAAATTTGAACGCGGCACGCGCGCTGACAAAAGGGAATTTATTAAGGCCTAAAATATTGTCCTGCTTCCGATTACATGTCATGCGGAAATTGGGTAAGTAGGGAGTTTTTCTTTTTGCCAATTTTGTGTGTGTGTAAAATGGAGGGTTCTGCGTATAAGAGTAAAAGGTAGAAATTTGTGGTTTTGGGGGTTTTCCTCATTTTTCCCATAAAAAATAGGGTAGGCCTAGGGGCTATCAGAATAAGGTAGGTAGGTAAACTGGAAGTAGACCTCCTTTTTTGGCCTAATCTTCTGCAAGACCTACATATACCATGTAAACATATGCATATTAGCTGTAATAATTAGTTTAAATTTAGTGTTTTCTAGTTATCTTGATGTGTAATTATAGAAGACACACAATAAACCTACACTGCAAAACAAACATTTTTTTGACTTATCATGGATTAGTCGACTCGAAAGCATGCAGCCTGAATGATGTTCGCTATCCTGAAGTAAGAAAACGAAAAGACCTGGGCCCAATGTCTGGGCTCTGCTTACAGTTAGCGAAATATCCTTGCTTACTGTAGCAGAAAAGTCGCGTAATTCACGCGTTAGCGAGGAATTTTGGCTTGTGCGCATGAGTACACCCCGTAACTAAGGATTGTGTGCTTACAGGGTTAGCACAGAATTTTTTCTGTTAGCGCGGTTAGCACAAAATGGTGATCGTAAGCGCGGAGTTCTGTGCTTAGCAGAGCCATGGAATTACAAATAAATCAGACAAGCTTTCCACATATACCTTTGGGGCCGAGTACCAGTTACAACTTTTATTGATTCCTTCTCATTTATAATACCAACAATTTAGTGATTATTTTTTTCACACATTTTTGTTGCACTCGTAATTTGACATATAATCTGTTAAAAATCAGTTTTAAAAGTTTTAAGAATGAAGAAAGTTGCGGATTATTCCTTTTTAGGGACCATAGTTTCTTTATCATGAAGATATTGACCAATCACAATCAAGATGTCAAGCTTACAACTCCAAACACTGACCAATCACAACTGTTCCACTCGGCCTGATGACTGGTGAACTGTAATAAGTTTGTTGATTATTTATGATATTGATTTACTAAAGTTAAAAAGTGAATTATATTTGCAACTTATATTTCTTAAATTCTGTGCATTTATAGGTGAATCGATGATCACTTATCCTTGGATAATAATGAAGAACAATATTGAAAAGCTTTGCTGGTTGACTTTAGGCCATACGACTGGGGCTAGCAACCCAATTGTATCCATATCTATTTAGGCATGCTGTGGCTTCCGAGCCCCCCCCCCCCCCCCGGAATGAGGTTAATGGCACTCTGGATTTAAGACTAGGAAACGTAAAGCTTTGAGGGTAAAATTTTCAATCAGGGGCCAAACAGAAATTTGAACAAATTGTTGCTTCCTTTTTGGCCTGACAGGTTAAGGTTACACTGAAAAACTGATGATGGGGAATACAATAGAACATCCGTCTGTGGAGCTTCCCCCTGAGAAGATGGTGATGGTCACAGGTGGAAACACTGGTACAACATGTTGGTCTTTTCACTAAATCCCTTAGCATTCTTTCAAACTAAACATTTTTGAGGGGGAATAACTTCCAGAATCCTTCTCTACCAGGTTCCCTCACAATCCACCAGATTCCTACATAATCTACCAGATTCCCACACAATCCACTAGAATCCTACACAATCCAACAGAATCCCATACAAACCACCAGATTCCCACACAATCCACCAGATTCCCATGCAATCCATCAGATTCCAAAAAGGTCCACAGATTATCACACAATTCACCAGATTCCCAAACAATCAACCAGAATCGTACAAAATCCACGAGAATCCGACAGATTTTCAATGCATCAAGCTCCATGTAAAGTAATACCAGTTGGATTGAACAATCTGTGTAAATACTGCAAAATCCTCTTGAAAAGTCTAGGAGATTATGGATAAACAGTTTTTTTTTATTTGTATTATATATATCAAATGTATCAATAATTCAGAAAGGCAAAGGAAAAGGCCTTACGCTTCTCCTACCATCAGGATAACTACAGTTTTTACTCCCTCTCTCGATTTATCCCCAAAGGTTTGCAACTGTCTCACACTCCCTGCTTAGGAAACCTCCCACCACACCTTCAAAGGAGATGGAATCAAGTTATGCATGGTGCCTCTATTAAACTCATCAATATTCTCTCTCAGCAGTGTCAATTTACACGTGAGGACCTCCATCAGAACATTTCCCACCTTGACTCCCAACTCAAATCCAGTTGTTCTGATTCCACGTACAGGAATTTCCATGATGAGATTGAAAGGGGTTTGTCTAACCTTGACTCTGTCCTACTCAACAGGAGAAACAAGAAGATTGGTGGCTTGCTTGCCAAGCAACAACAACGCAGACACAGACGTTTCAGACGTCCTAGGTCCCCATCTACCACGCCACCACCAGAACCCCCTGTCAACACTGTAGTTAATCTTTCTTCCTCATCAATATCTGACGCAGAGCACAAACTTCTCTCCAAGGGTCTCAATTTTTGTCCCGCTCCCCGTTCTGTGAACCAGGTTCAGCTCAGCCAAGATCTCACGGAATACTACCGTAGAATCCGTCTGCGTGAGT